TTTCAAAATCCAGGTTTCAAATTTCTCAGCTTCAATCACCCAAATTAGTTCCAAATCAAAATTAAACCATAAACATGTTCAATTTAAGTTAAAAACAACAATTTTATTATATAATTCATCCTTAATTTCAAGAATTTCGAAACTTTCAAACGAGTGAACAGCTCATCGAATCGAAATTCTTCAAAATCGACATTCAAATAATTCATATCTCTACTCCTATTCCTTATTCGCAGAGTACCCAACAATTCAATTTCATATATTGAATGAATTAAACTTCCCCTTACTTGGTATGGTATTTCTATCGAAGCTTTCCCACTTAATTCAAGCTCTCTCCCGTTTCACCAGATCCTGCACGAGTAGAGTCTCGTTGCTTGAAATTTAGACAAATGAAGAAGAAGGATGAGAGGAAAATTTTGATTCTCCTCCTCCCCCGCTTCAGTATGCATTTATAAGAAAAAAAATTTATTGTGCATGAGGAAAACTTCGTTACGAAGTTTTCTTGCACGATAATATTAATATAATATTAAAATAAGGCATACGTCACAATTCATGTTCATACATATAAATCAGAATATCAATTTTATAAATATGTTCTTTTTACTTTTTTTTAATCTATTTACTTCAACTTGTTTTGTTCAATTATATTATACTCGAATTATATGAAATATCACAAACAATTTTATTCTCACAATATAATTTGATAGTGGTATGGAGGGATATCCAAAATCTTGTAAGAGAAATATTAGTAATAAACATTTACAAACTTCTAAGTGTCAAACTTTTAAATTGAGCTTCTGCGCTTGAACGATAAGCCATATTTTATTTTTTGTTTCTCCATGTAACAATATTACCAATATTAAATGCAAAATAACATCATATTGATTGTCTATCTTCTAATGATATAGTCCAATATGCATTAGTGTATACATCAATAATTTCTATTCTTAGTGAACATTAACATTTTTACAGGTGTTGACTTTATATATCTTAAAATGTGCATTCATATGTTGCTCTACAGGATTATGCATAAACTGGCTAACAATACTTAATGTGTATATGAGATTTGGTATTGTGCTTGCTAAGTATATCAATTTCACTACAAGTCTTTGATATTTCAATTTATCAACTGATACTTGATTTAATGTAATAGATAATTTCAAACCTTCCTCTATTGGTATATTTGTTGACTGACATACCTGTTATTGTAATAAATCTAAGGTAAAAAAAATTTAAGACAAAAAAAAATCTTATCTTAGATCTAAATACTTTAATCCCAAGAAAATATTTCAAGAGGCCAAGATATTTCATTTTAAACTCTTTTGACAAATATTCTTGTAATACTTTACTTTCATCTTGATCATATTTGTAACAATATCATTCATATATACAATAAGTATATTTATCTCATCTTCTTTTTTCCTCGTTGATAAAGTGTGATCTAAATTAATTTGATGATATCCAAATGTTGTCATAGATTTGTCGACCTTTTAAACCATGTTTGTGGGAATTATTTCAACCCATTTTTTCAATTTGCATACCTTTCTATTGTATTTTGCAGATACCATGCAACCTAGTGGCAATTCCATGTATACTTCTTCGTTCAATTTCTCATGTAAAAAAACATTTTTTACATCAAACTGTTTCAATGATCAATTCAGATTTGCTACTAAAGATAATAATACTCAAATAATATTAATTTTTGCTACAAAAACAAATGTCTTTGTGTAATCAACTTGATATATTTGGGTATATTATTTTGTCACCAATTTTGCTTTAAAGTCATTCTATTGTACCATATACTTTACGTTTTACAAAGTACACCTCTTAACCTCCTGGTTTCGTTTTTGGTGAACAATCAATAAGGATCCAAATTTTATTATTTTGAAATAAGTTCATCTCATTCATAGTGGCATTCCATCTTAGGCCAACTAAAGTTTCCTTCACATTATAAGGAATATATAAAGTAGATAACATATTCATAAATATATATATATATATATATATATATATATATTTAACAATTTATGATTAAATATATAATTACTCATAATATATTTAATTTTACTAGAGGGTTTAGGTTCATAAGTAAATTTTTAAATATTTTAGTGAGATGATTTGACAATTATTTTTTGACCGATAAATGATTAGTAAGATCTTCATCAATAGTTTCATCATGTGGTACTTCAATATCATCTTCGTGTACAGATTCACATAGTTTTTCGATATTACCCCATTAAGGGATTCCTACGATGTTTTAATGTTATATTTGTTAAGAGATTTTTGTGATGCTTCAATATCACTCTATTCTTTATCTCTTAAAAAATATGATATGAAGTTGTATTATTTAAATTTATATATTTTAAAGTCTGAATTTCTTGTTGGTTCCCTTTCTAAAATTTAGACTCGAAGAAAAAAATATTTATTATTATTCACATATGATGAGTAAAAGAATGATAACACTTATAATCTTGATGTACATTATATCCAACAAAAACATATTGAATGACCTCTAGGGTCAACTTATTATGTTGATGCATATGAAGATGAACAAATGCAAGCATATTCAAATATACAAGGGAGTAATTAAGAACTATTGGAGTAACAGTTAAATTATGTAAAGTTTTAAAAGGTGTCTTAAATTCAATAGAACTTGAAGAAGACCAAATTATTAAATATATTGCGAAAGTAATAGTTTCTCCCAAATAACATAATGACATGTGTGCATCAATTAATGAAGCATGAACAACTCTTACCAAATATCGATTTTTTTTTCAACAATTTCATTTTGTTAAGATATATTAAGACAAGTAATTTGATTAATAATTCTATTAGTTTCTAAATATTGTCATAGTTAAATTTTTTTATATTTTATACCATTATCACAACACAAAACTTGAATTTGAGAATTATATTGAGTTTTTATCATTTCATGAAATTAAAAAAAAAATTACCTCATTTTATTAAATATAACAAAGTTATATTGTACAATCATTAATAAAAGTGACAAACCAACTAAATCCACTTAAAGTTAGCTTTAGATGAACTTCACACATCAAAATGTATTACCATAAAATATTAAAGATTTTTATTTAAAATTAATGTAAATACTATTTTATGACTCTTTGCAAATCCATAAACATTATAGTGAAAACTAGAAATGTCATAGTTTTTACATAAAGTAAGAAATAATTTTTTAAATACCTAAATGAGACATGACAAAACATCAATGTCACAACTAAATTTCAGATTTTATATTTTTTTCTTAGATTTATCAACAGTTTGTTATGAGTCATCATATTTTTTATTTATTTAGATAATATAAGTTTTATCTCCTACTAATTGATTATTTTATTTTAATATATTTAAGAACATAAGAGTTAGGATAACAAATTATCACACAAAATAAATCATATTTATTTGAGAAATCAATAAGAGATTTAAATTTAATGAATGAACAATCAAAACAAAATCAAGATTTAAAGTACTATCAAAATTTAAAGATCATTCCCTATTAATCTGGGTTTTATATCCATTTGCACTAAAAACATATTTTTTGTGTAGATAATTTAATTTTGGTGACATTAGGATAAAATGTCATATGATTTGTAACGATTAACAAATCTTAACTATTCATTTTGGTGAGACTAAATAATATATTATTAATAAATAATAAATAAATATGAAAGAGTAAAAAAAATAAAAGAATGAGAAGATAAAATTATAAATATACAAATAAATATATTTAAAGATTATTAAATTTGAGAATTAAAATCATAAATATTTATGCAAATTCCAAAAATTTTGAGTACTGTAGCTCCTAAGTTCTATCAATTGTAGCTCTCATATTAATAATTCATGTACCATTAAAAATATTAACTATCTTATTAAGATTTTTCAGAGTTATTTGTAATACAAATATTTTTTTATTTTGTTTGGTAATAAATATCTCATCTTTCTATTATGACATTTGTATTTTTTTCTTGTTTGAAGAAGTATTGGAATTTTTTTGAGTTTAACAATCAGAACAAACTAATTTGATTCTACATTTATCAAAATTTATTTCATCCATTCAAAAGTTTTAAAAGATTTAAAATCTAAAATATGTTCATTATTTATCAACTTAAAAAATATAAACTAAAATATATTAATTATTTAATATAAAATAAAATATATACATCTTATTTATAAAATCCAAGATATATGTACTAATTAAATTATTAAAAAATTAAAATATTTTATAATTATATTAAATCCTAATTAAATAACATACTGTATAATAATATTTTATTAAAAAGGAAAACACGCCGATTTTATTTTTCTAACACTTTGTAAGAACCTAAAACTAATGAATGAGCGAAAAAAATAGAAATCACGTGGATGTATGTTTATTTTTTAGTACTTATATTTGGTACAATTATTTATATTTTTTAAATTGTTTAAAAATTAATAAAATAATTGATGTTGTGAAATCACAATAATAATTATAAATATTTTTTAAATTTTATTGTAACAAATAAAATCATTAATAATAATTTTTTTCTACCATCTTCTTTTTATTTAATTTTTTTTCTCTGTTTATTTTCATTAGAATAGACTTTTCGCGAACCAGTTAGTGTTATGTTAAAGTTAGTTCAAAGCCAAGAGAGAGTTAATAGTTTGAACAAATCCGCTGCCGCGTTTCCCCCACAAAAAACACGTGCTTCAAACAAAAAATAATATATTATCATCACTATTATTATTATGCATCTGAATTTTTAATTAAAAATAATAATTAGCAAGATAAAGACCACATGGTCTCACCCTCCTTCTCAGACCATAGCAGATTCAAGGAACATGTTTGGAAAACTGCCAACCCTTCCATATTCCCCCTCTCAAACCTCTTTCTTTCAACTATGAACTGAACAACAGGATCATCCACCACCAAAGAGATCGTTTTTACAAACATTCATATAATTTCACAGGCTTCCCTGTGAAAATATCTTGCTGGACCTCTCTTCAAAATGTCAACTTTCCCCAACACCGTGTCGGAAGGCCGGAGGTTTGGCAAGGCACCGGAAAAATCCTCTTTTTCTCAGACTTGCACTCTCTTGAGCCAGTTCTTGAAGGAGAAACGAGCTTCTGGAGATTCCACCCTTGGCATGGGTGGGAAAATGGAACCTAAAGGTATAATCTTTGTTGTTGTTGTTGTTGTTGTTTAATTTTCTTTCTGTATGATTTTCCCTCATGGAATCTTGCTTTTGTTACTAGTGTTATTAGCTTTGGACACCAAGTTTTTATCATGTGATGTGTTTCCCATCCAATTTTCGTTGTGGGTAGGCTGTGTGTCACAATTGATGGTTTGGTATGGGAAATTATTTAGCTTAATTGCGTAGAAATATGCAGAAAGTGTGTAAAATTGCTTGTGATGCGAATTGCTGATGGGGGTGTTGTTTGTTTGGATTTGGAAATTCCAGCGAGTACAAAGGATATGTTAGGCAGCCTGCAAAACTCAGATGGGGCTTTGAAACTAAGCGCTTCTGCCATGGATTTTCTTCCCCAGCTTGTGGAAAACCCCTGCATTAAGAAGTCTAATCTTAGGTGTGTGTTGCTATTTGTTTATGATAATTTTTTCTGAATTCTAAGCCAAAAATGGTTGCAGAAAAAAGTGTTTTATTTTTTTATTTTCTGGGGAATAGTTTGGGGAATGTTCAAAAATCAGAATGACCCCAAGAGCCATAGACTCTTGAAATTACCCACATACCCTTTCACATGGAAAATTATAGGAGGCATATGCTGTGAATGGTGATACCCTTTTATCTTGAAGGGTATGCAAGAAAAATTGAACCAACGTTTGTGCGGATCCAAATAGTCTCTAGTTGATGACGATCTGTCTTACAGAATATATGCTTGATGAAAAACAAGTATAAGCAGCTTGAAGTTTTAGAACCATTAGATCATGACTAGACCTCATATGGTTGAAAATTGAACCCTTTATCCCCATCTGTACCTAGATCTGTTTAGTTTATGGGCATGTATGTGTTTGTTACATCATTATTACTTCACCTCCCATATTTGATCAGGTTCATGTATACATAATGTTCCTATTATTCTCTTATTGTAGATCATCGGTTCCTGAATCTCCTCAAATGACAATATTCTATGCTGGAAAAATGTTGGTATTTGATGCTTTTCCTCCGGAGAAGGCAACTGAGGTTATGGAGTTGGCCACCAAACTGGCATCAGACACTTCCGGTGCCGCCGAAGAAACTCCCCCTAATGATCCGGTTACTACTGAAAAATTGGCTGTGGCCGAAGTGCCTCAAACAATTACTTCAGAAACCCCTAAGCCAGGAAGCCAAGGGGTTGGTTCAGGTATTTAAAACTATATCTTAATGCCCCCATCTGTCGTGTGAACAAAGGAAATACTACTCTCACGAATGTGCAAGTTCATACACTAATTCTAGACTACAACTTTTGTCAAAACAGATATGAGGTATCCAAGAAGAGCTTCACTTCTAAAATTTCTCGAGAAAAGAAAAGAAAGGTAATGGCCTGTTTTCTGCTTGCTGCTTTTAATCATGGAAAATGCTGAACTGTTCCTCATAGAGGAGGAGATTGGTTAAAGAAGTGAAATATTTCAAAGTATTAATTTTTCTCTATTCTTTTCGATAAAACTTTCTTCTGGGTGGAGTTGAACTTGGATCTCTTAAACAAGGTCTCATTTTCAATTTCTGGAGATGAAAACAGAGGGAGACTTCATTACGGTGATAAGCTTGTTTCTTGGTGAAAATTTGTTATCAGTATAAATGGTGAATACTTCGCAGCTGTTGTATGGCGAAAAGACTTTTTATTTACTAATTGTTTAACGAGAATCTTGGAACACTGGTTAATTAGACCCTCTATTCATTTGGGTAATCTTTTATAGCTTTTTATGCTAATACTAACTGTTGAATGTTCAAATTTTGCAGGGTTAATGCCAGAGGGCCTTACCAAATGAACAATCACAAACCAGAAGGAAGCAGTTCGGGGGTTGAACCTGAAGATCAGTGTTCTAAACAGTTTGACCTTAACTTGTAGATGTTTAGCTCATCGCGAACTTAGGATATACAGGCTCTGGTCAACCAAAAGCTCCTAACTTCATCATTGTAGTAGGCCTTTCCAACATTGCTGTGGCCTTCATACGAATTTATCATATCCTATATATATATATATATATATTTTATATTTGTATGTATTTATGTATTATTATTATTTTATAAATCAGGTCTTCTTCTGTGGACCAAACCAGAGATCAATTTCAGTTTTATTACTAAGATTAGTTAGCTTCAGAAAGTTGAAAGTCTCTGTGTGCATTATTTTGATCACTATTAATGAATACAAAGTCTGGTTTACACCTGATCCTGATTTCGTTTGCTTAATTTCATGTGTGGTTGGAATTGTACGGGTGAAAATATCGTGTAGTCACTCGTTTCCATTAATTTATTGTGATAATTCATCGTGACTCACGTGAAACTCTTGGGGTTCTTTATCTGAGCGTAATAAATATGGGAAAAACTTATTTCATAAAAATAATGATAACGATAATGAAATATTTTCATAGCTTAGAGAAATAATGGAACCTAAAATGTAGAGTTAATGAGGGAGGAAAAAAGAATAAAGAAGAAAAGAGTGTGTAGAGTAAACGAGTTGCGTGAAAGAATAATGCAACGTGAAAAATGCGGATCCACACCGACTCAGAAAAAATGCAAGTGGTTGTGTTTGTCGCTATTATGGAATGACAAAGAGCACTCACATTCACACCCTAACTTTGTTCCAATGTGGCTATTATTATAGCTACCTAGGGTCCAGGGTCCTGTCTTATTCCTACACCATATATAAAACCATTCAAATTTATTAAACACTTTTTATACAAACTAAAACCATAATTAATTTATTTCATTTCCAAGAAAATTAAAAATTTAAATTATATTCATATTATGGTTACTTTTTTAATTGAGTTATTTGTTTTATTGTAATGATACGTTAAAGAAATTGAAATGTTTCCTCAAATCAATATAAGTGAATATTGTATTAACATGTGCCCACGTTTGACCACCAAGCATCTTTTTTCACACTTGTTCATATTGTGTTTCAAATGCTAAACCCCCCTTTAATAATTAATTATGTTTCCCACCTTTTTCTATTATTATTATTTTAATGGTTACCTTTTCATTGGATTTTTCTTGTTGCTAGTATCTTAGCATTAGATGCGAAATAAAGATTAAAGAAAGAAGAAAAATAAAAGTCAAAGAAGAAGTACTAAGAAAATGGTTTCTAAAGTGTGTGAAATTAACCACATGTTAATTTTGATTTCTTAAATACTAAGAAAATGTATCGTGAGGTTATTTGTGTGCATTATTTAATCTTAATATACTTAGATGGAATTTGTCGGTGTATATTTTTCTAAGATTATCATATAAGTGTTTGTTAATGGGTTTTCCACCCATTAAGTAATAATAATATAAATGAAGTGAATTAAAAAAAAAACAAAAACAAAACTTTGGTTGATATGGGAAAAAAATAAATCCAATTGACATTAATTAAAAATAATGTTAGTTAACATCAACCCAAAAATCACATCAATTAAAAAAAACACTAATAATATTAATTAAGAAAAGTATGACTAACGGTAATTAAAAAATAACTCTAACTTATATTAATAATAAAATAACTCCTGTGATGTGAGCTGAAAAAAAAATTATAATAGACTTTTATATAAGAGAAATTTTCATCTGAAAAAAAAATTAGAATATAACTATATCTTGATTTTGACCGAAACAATTATATATAATCTTAATTAAATTGATGTTATCATGATAAAAAATATATTAATTAAAAAATTGAATAGAAGAGACTAAATTTAAGATTATCTTCATATTCAATTTCATTTTAAAAAATAAAACTTAAAATTATAATAATTAAATTGTTAAGAGTTTAAAGGTTAACTACATTATAACATTAAAAAATCATTCAAATTAAATATAAAATTGAATATATTATAATAAAAAACTATTTTTTAAAATATTATAAAAATATAACATATAATTAATTATAATATTTATAGTTTTATTTTATTTTTATATATTTTCACATTTAATTTAAAAAATAATATATTTAAATTATAAGAAATTAATTAATCTACTCACAACTAATATTATATTATATTTTAACTTTAATAATGTTATAATTTTAAATAAATTTATTTATTAGATTATGGTTCTAATGCACTCTGCATTTTTTGTGTGGGGTTGAGTTACTTGTCTTCGTATCTTTTGCCTTCGCGTACCCAAACGCGTCACACCAAAAAAGCACAAAATTCATGCACATGCCACTTTCTGTACTAAATTTGCCTTCACCTCCTGTTTTATCTAACTACCAAAGTTTTTTTGTTGCAATTCCCATTTAATGCAAAAAACCTAATTTTCGAACAACCCTTTTTCAATCGAGGCAGAAAAACATCTTTTATGAAAATGATTAAAAAAAATACAATTTTTAAATTAGACTGTCTAAAAGTTTTGAAATTACAAAAGCTTCTGTATTGTATTTTATAACAGAGTTACTAGATCAATTTCGATTTGAGCCCAAAAAAACAATCAAATAACATCTTCCACATGGGCTCCTGTTATTTACGCTCCCTTATTGCTAATCACAGTACACCTTATTACCCTGTCCCAGAAAGATATTTATGAGATATTACGAACTGTGTTAAACAAAAATTTATAAACAGAAAATTTGTTCAAGAGAGGACTTTTAAAAACTCTCTTTACATTTTAGAAAGTATTGACTATAACAATGTTTATAATACATTTTTATTTTCCAATATTCCAAAAAATATTTACTCAAACATTAAAAATGTTTTTTGAAAAATACCTTTTTAGAATGTAAAGAGAGTGTTACTTTATTTTTAACATCTTGGAAAAACAGTTTTTCCCTAACCGTTTTGAAAGTACGTTCTTAAAAAAAATTATTAATAGTGTTTTATAAAATATTAAGAAAATAAAAATATATTTATTAAATTACTTTTGTTTTAAGAGATCAAAGTTTTATGAAAAAATAAAGGAAAGTGCGTGAGTGTAGAGGAGACAAGAATGTTTTGAAACAAAAAAAAAAAAACCTTAAATAAAAGAAACAAAAAGGGAGTGTAGAAATAAAAAGAGAAGGGTAAGTAGGAGCATTTTCAATTTGGAATATTCTCCTTCTTGAAATTATGGGCTAGCCAGCGGATACTGGGCTTTTTCTTTGGGCCTATACTGTTTTCATACTCGGGCTATTCCATGATTGAGGAGTGAAAATAGTGACTGCGATAAAGAAAAGTTATTAATTATTAAAAGTAAAAACAAAAATGTAAATATAATTTCAAATATTTGTAAGGATGTATTTTAGAAATTAATCTAAATTTTGTTTATTTTAAAGAATAAATCACTACCTATTTACACTTAAAAAACAAAAATAATCATTTATCTAGTTATTTTAAAAAAAATGTATGTAGTTCTACACTTTTGGTTCAACAAGTTAATGTTTTTATTCTGTCATATTAATAAAAAAATAATTTTAAACTTAAAAAAGATACACTAATTAAATTAAATTAAAATAAAATTGTTCAATATAAAAATTGATTTCGAATATAAGCATGTTATTTCATCTGTATTTAAAAGGAAAATGAGGAAAATGATACTTTGATAACCCAAATCCATACAACTTAGTATATAACTCTCTTTTAATATTATAATAATAATTTTACTTTATTTTAATTTTTATTAAATCGTTCTATAGAATATTATATTAATAAAAAGTGAGTTGTTTAAAAGTTTGTATGGTTTCCAGTTGTCAAAATATCACCACTTCTATTTAAAATTTCAAGACAAAAAGCACTACTACCTTAATGATTTCCAAAAGTTAATGTTACATCAATTTCAAAATTTTATTACAACATTTTTAAATTTTAAAAATAAAAATTTTCATGATCAAATTTATTAAAAATCAAAATATCCAAGCTAAAGACACAATAGATTGTGACTGATTCCTAAAAACTAGTGAGTGTAAAATGTAGTCATATTTATATAAACGAAAAAAAAAAATGAGGTATATAAATAGTGGTGGAGTGGAATCGAGTAGAGTCCTCTGGTTTTTCTGAGGCCTGTGCTCTGTGAGGGGCCATAGTTTGGGACCCTTTGAACCCTAATCTCCACCGAAACCCATTTTCCCGGAAAATTCCTTTGGAAAAGAAAAAGAGAAGAAAATGCAGAATCACAGGCTGAAGCAGCAGCAGCAGCAACAACAAGCTCTGATGCAGCAAGCTCTTCTCCAACAACAGTCTCTCTACCACCCTGGCCTTCTTGCTCCTCCTCAGGTTGGACCCCGCTCTCTCTCCCTCTATGTATCTATGTCTATCTCCTCTACCTCTTCATTTCCTATTATTGCTACGATCATACCATGTAGTTTCGATCTTCGAGTCTCGCATTTTACTTTTTGGGGTTTGATTGCAATGACTAGGGTTTTGTTGCAGACATTAATTCCTGTTATCCATATCAGGAGCTGGTTGTTGGTTGTGTGGTTCATTTTTCTTAGTTTCTTAGTTTCTTCGATTTTTTATTTTTTGTTTTTTGCTAGAAAACTATCCTTGCTGTGTTGGGCGTGGAGGATAAACCGAATTTTGGAGTTATTTGGTTTGCCTCGCTGTGTGAGGGTTTTTCAGTAGTCGGTCCACATCAACAGAAGCATGTGTTTTGGGAAATAGAAAAGTATAAAAAAAAATGTAGTGGTTTTACTTTCGTGGTGGATGATGTTTTAAGGCATGTTATTTGTGTCGGGTGATACTTTTAGACCCCATGGCATAGTAATTGAACCAAGCCTTGGATGTCAACTTAGACTTTCTGGAGGAATTGAAGAGGCGTTATTCTAAACTAGGGAAGGATAATTTGAACTGTCCTTCTTTTCTTTCTTTTCTGTTGCTGTTTCTTCTATGTGGTCTTAGGGTGTGTTTGAAATAACACCCAAAAACGTAACGATTTTTTTCAATCTTTCAATATTGTAACTTCTCAATTTTGTGCGTCGGAGATGTGAACGAACGTTTGTTGGTGGGGGGGGGGGGGGGAACGGCTATCAAACAAGCACTTAGTGGTATAAGAGAGTTGAGGTGTGTATGCTTGGCATGTTATAAACAGTATTATATGTAGTTCTACATGTAAGAACAACTAATTAATTCATCAAGCCGATAATATAGTCAAGTTAATTTATTTTAATTGCTCATAATTATAATTTTATTTCAGAAATACTCAGAATGAAGTGGTGGTTGTATATTTAATGACTATATATTTTAATTCAAGGGATGATTTTTTCATTCAAAGAGTGTGTGCCGAAATTGTTAACAGATTTCACAATAAATTAAGAGTATAAAATAAAATTAACAATTACTACATTTGAAAATGGGCCTATGCTTCTCATAATTAGGACAAAAAAATGCATCTGTTTGTTTATTGTGTAAAAGACCGGAGGATATATGATTTTATTGGAAGTTTGTTTGGGAAAGAAATCTGAATAGTTGGGCTAAAAGATTTAACATGAAACTAGATTTAGTATTAATTTGTTGATTTTTTTTTGTTACTGCTTTGCTATTAATTTGTATTTTGCTATGTATTCTGAGTAATCTGGGTAGCTGAAAACATTCTCATTAACTTTTGCTTAACAATTAACTCATGTATGCAATTTTGTTTGTTTGTTATTAGTTGGATTACACGCTTTCTTCATTCCCATTCACCCCAGTAAATGATGCCATACTTCTGTATTGGTAGATACAATACAAATTTTCTCTTTTGATTTGTCCTCCGTTTCCTTTCTTTTCTTTTTCACTTCTTCGTTTTGCAGATTGAACCAATTCCAAGTGGAAATCTGCCTCCTGGTTTTGATCCAAGTACTTGCCGCAGTGTGTGAGTGTTTGTCTAGACAATTTTTTTTGCCATTTACTCTTTTATTTTATATCCCATTTTTCTTTGTTCCATGATAGTGATTCAAACAATCTTAGGCTACTTCAATATTTTATTTACTCCTTTTCTTATAATTATTGGTGTTAAATGCATTTGTGTTGTTGTTATTCAATATTTTACTTAAGTAGGTAATTTTGGCATGCTTTAAAGCAATTTGGGCCGAAACTACCTATGTGTGACTTTTGTGTTTATTCTGTGACTAAAATTAATTACTTGTTCCCTAATTTTTTCTTCTCTTCCTTTTTTCTTAAAAAAATTGTAGCTTCCTTATCTTTGAGAAAATGCAGGTATGTCGGTAACATCCATACACAGGTAACTGAACCACTTTTGCAAGAAGTTTTTGCGGGTACTGGCCTAGTTGAAGGTTGTAAACTTATCAGAAAGGAGAAGGTATTTTTTTTAGCTTTGTTATTTGAATTTTAAAGCGTAGCTGAAAGTGGTGCTTTATATTTAATATCTGGTGCTGTTGTTTTGCAGTCATCCTATGGATTCATTCATTACTTTGATCGAAGATCTGCTGCTCTTGCCATATTATCTCTCAATGGAAGGCATCTGTAAGTGTTGCTCTTTACTTTTGTGTATTGATTTCAATATGCATGCAAAATTTAATTCAATGTTTTGCAGATTTGGGCAGCCTATAAAAGTTAATTGGGCATATGCTAGTGGTCAGCGAGAGGATACATCAGGTTGGTTCAGATTTTAAATTTAATGAATTGATATTTATGTTCAGTCTAAGTCTGATCATTTGGGAGCTTGTGGCTCTTATATACCATGTCTTTTTAATTTACAGGACACTACAACATATTTGTCGGTGATCTAAGTCCTGAGGTTACCGATGCTACCTTGTTTGCATGCTTCTCTGTCTACCCCAGTTGTTCGTAAGTTGCACTCACGATTTCTTAGTAAAACAGTCATCCTCTTTATTTATTTGGATCTAAACCATTCTCTAGCCATCCAAAATAGAAAAAAAAAATTATACTTTCTCACATGATAGCTATACAAGTGCATTGGTAATTTAGCATGACTCATCGATTATTTTTTTTTCTGGTGTTCCAGAGATGCAAGGGTAATGTGGGATCAGAAGACTGGGCGTTCAAGGGGATTTGGATTTGTTTCATTCCGCAATCAACAGGTCCAATTTTGGTTTTAAATCTTAATTTTTGGTGTAACAGGGCTCTTCATGATGGTTTTGACTTCGGATTTTTCTTAAACTTTTGTAGGATGCACAAAGTGCTATAAATGATTTGACTGGTAAGAAATTTGTTATCGGATTAACAACCTTAGCTTTGAACCCCTTTAAATTTATTATAATTTTCTATGACATTTCATAGTACAATATCACTTGATGCCAAATTAATATTACAGCAAGGAATTGTGTGCATTCAGGTTCTTTTGTAGGAATTGGTGTTGACTTTTTATGTTTATATACTTTATATTCAACATGGAAAATTATCTTATAGCATTTTTAGAACTACCTCTTGTGAGTATGTGCACTTTGTAATTTCATGAGTCACAGACACTTGTTCTTTCTTGTCCACCTGTATTTCCTGTATGATCCAAACACAATTTACGATGTCTTTCAGGTAAATGGCTTGGAAGTAGACAAATACGCTGTAACTGGGCAACAAAAGGTGCTGGTGGTATTGAAGAGAAGCAAAACTCAGATTCAAAGAGTGTGGTGGAACTAACAAATGGCTCATCTGGTCAGTGTAATGTAGTTCATGAAACAATGATAGAGATGGTTGAATTTAAATAATTTATTTTTAGCCTCTGTAATTCTTGATTAGGGGGTGGACCTGGGTGATTTCTAACGTTTTGTTGCAACCTTTTTTACACATTTGATACAAAACATGGTAGTTAGTATTGTATGATTCATGAAGCTGGTGATACAAATCATTGGACAAATTGCAAAGTGATTCGCATAAATCAGTCTAGAATTGTAAGAATCACGATTTTTTGTTGAATCTCACTACTCTTGTTATGTGGGTCCCAATGCATTGTCTTCCATTGACCTTCATGTCGTATCTGGCTGTATTTGCTGGAGTGGTGGTTTTCAAAGCCAAAATTGCAAAAAATAACACTCTGAACTGCCAAATAGTGATGCACTCATAGTAGTTAGTCACAAAATTGATCTTGCAGCTCCGCAAAGGTGTTGCAACTGGCCACCGCACTCCAGATCTACAGCTTCAGTGCTTCAGTTCACTTCACTGTCCTGCTCTAATGGCTGTGCATCTGGTTAGTGGGTTAGAGAAGAGAGATGACTCATTAGCAACTCTAAGTCTAAACGCCGCAGTTCTGTGCTTTGTGTTTGAGTTTGGGCTGTCAGTTGCATTGTTATTTTGGCTATTACTTTTAATTACTGGACCGTCATTCATATAGGACTTTCTTGTTGTCTCTTTAATCAGCACTACATAAAATAAATATATCAAATTAGATACACTATAATCAAGTTTTATATTTTATTTAAATTATATTTAAATAGATTATTTTCCAAATAAGATATTTTAGAAACTAAGTTATTGATTATGAATTTGTGTATTTTTGTCTGTTATGCATATAAATATTTTGTTTTATTATTGATATGAATCTTTCCCCTATTCTATTCGTTATTTGAAAAATGTGTCTTCCAATTGACAATTTGTATCATGATTCAACTACCATGCCGTTGCATGATTTTCTAGATGATTGGGCTTGTAAAAATTATGGTGTTTGAGTATTCTGTTTTCCCAGTGAACTAATGTTATGATAGGCATGAATTAACCTACATGTTTTATCCTATTTGCACAGAAGACGGCAAAGAGGCATCTAACAGTGATGCTCCTGAGAACAATCCTCAGTATACCACGGTTTATGTGGGTAACCTTGCTTCAGAGGTAAGACACCTTATTTGTGTTTTTTAATTTAGGACAATACAAATTCATTAAACTCCATTTTGTTTGAAAAGTTTGCAAGCTTATTGTGATTTATGCAACAAAAGCAATAATTGAGGGTCACTGCCAATATTTGCATTGCCAAAACGTTGTGTGCCATATGTTTGAATTCTGCGGAATTTCTGGTGTTGTTTTATTTATTACGACCTCTGATAATCCACAGGTAACTCAACTTGATCTCCATCGCCACTTTCACTCTCTTGGGGCTGGAGTTATAGAGGAGGTACGTGTCCAGCGTGATAAAGGGTTCGGTTTTGTGAGGTACAGTACTCATGCTGAAGCAGCTCTAGCTATTCAGATGGGGAATGCCCAGTCTCTTCTTCTTGGAAAACAAATTAAGGTGTGTATCTCATTGACTTTTGATGCCATTACTACTTGCTGTGGAATTTTTTTATTAATTGTCGTGGGTCATGGATCTTATTGTTGACATACTTTACTGTCTCTAACTTTGCTGTATATATAGTAAGCTGTATTAATTCTTTTATTTTCACTGGGGAAGGGACAGGGACTGGGATGGGGACAGGGGAATTGTTGGGTTTCCTCCTATTCACTGAGTCAGAGACCGCTTATATATTGTGCACATGGAATTTGAAATATATGTATTCATTGGCTATTTGGAACTTAAGAGCAAATTTTCTGTTGGTTATATGATCTTTTCTGCAATTGAATTTGAACTGCCGTGCACATTTCTACCATTCTGGTGTTTCCCTGTTGTATATGGTAGGCAGTTCCTTGGATATTATTTGTTTGAAGCTTTGATACTTAACCTACTTTTGACCATATCTTCATTTCCCATGATCCCTTTTATCCCCTCAACATTCCACCTCCAAACACGCCCAGTCTGCGTATTGTATTTGAATTCTGACAATTATTATTATGTTAAATACAGTGCTCTTGGGGCAGCAAGCCGACTCCACCTGGAACTGCTTCAAATCCCCTGCCCCCACCTGCTGCTGCATCTTTACCTGGCCTGTCTGCAACTGATATTTTGGCGTATGAGCGACAACTAGCAATGAGTAAGATGGGGGGCGTCCATGCCTTGATGCATCCCCAAGGGCAACATCCTCTTAAACAGGCAGCAGCTATTGGAGCCAGCCAGGCAATATATGATGGTGGGTTCCAGAATGTTGCAGCTGCACAGCAAATGATGTACTACCAGTAACATACCGCGGTTCTCTTGATGTGGTTTAATGCAACTATCTATATATCTTACCTCTGCACATTGATTCGGGTTAAATTCTAGGGAGCTTTTTCTTCTTACCTTTTCACTTCATGGTGGTGTGGTCGTTACATCTACTACCATATTAGATAATTATGAGCAAACATTTGTATGGGTTTGTATCATGTATGCGGTTTTCTACTTAGTTGTGATGAGTGTTTATGATGTTAAGAGGGATTGTCTGTCCTGACATTTTTCTTCTCACCCATTTGGGTGTTACTATGCGATGGTTGTCGTCAATATCATCCTGTCCATATAGACTGTTATATATTTATTAAATATTTCAATGCACTGTCAATCTGGTTGTCCGAGGATGGTGGTGATGTGCTTATATTACATAGGTTTGTTGATTGTAGCTCTTGTAATCTAACCCACGATTTATTTACCTGTAAAAAATAAAATGATGAGTATTTTTATTTTCGGTTGTTCTAAACGAACGATTTATGAATCAATAAAAAATAAGGTGGTAATGATATACATTAACTCGTAATAGATATTTTTTTAGTAAGGATTTTTTTTATTTCAACTTAATGATCATTCTCAACCAGGAAAATTATTTTTAAAATATCAAAGAAAATTATTTAACATCATAAAAACAGGAATTGTTTAATCTCAGTATATGTAGAGCAATCTTCAACTTAAATGAATAGAGATTATAACATACAACAGAAAGTAAAGGTCTAATAACAATTTGTTAATCTCTTAGTTATGCAAGAGTAAACAACATAAAATATCTCCGTAACTCACATTAGGGACTAACATTTCAATTTTGAAACGTAGTATATGCTTTCGACGAAGACACTAAAAGTGAAATTAAGCATTTCCAGCCGATAAAATTATTAGGAACCGAATAATCTATTGTTTCGAAGAGAAGGGGGTCAATGAGGAAAATCCGAATGAAAGAGATGGTGGTGGCAAAACATGAGGAAAGTGTAGCAGTCCAACAGTGATTATTTCTTTCAAGAAACATGTTAGGTCAGTCCTTTTCCAGCCTTGCAATATACTTGTCATAGAATTGGCCTGCTTTCTCGAGCTCTCCAAGCTCAGTGTAACAATCAGCAATTGCCCCAAACGCTTCCGTATTCCCTGAGTCCTCCCCTTCTCGTTCAGAGATGGCCAAAACCATGGAATGGTATTTAATAGAATCTCTGTACTTTCCTTGTCTTTGCAGTGAGGCTCCTGTAATATGCAATATTTCAATTGTATTCATGGAGCACCTTGTAAAATCCTTCAATCATCTATCACACACACACACACACACACGTAACAAAGTTATAATGAAGGAGCTCCTCAGATTCATAACAAGATAGGAAAGATGACAAACCTAGACCTCTAGCAGCTTTTTTCTCTTCAATAGGGTCCTTCAGATTCTGGGCAAGCTCGAGTGCATTCTTAAACTCTGTAAATGCTTTATCCAGTTGTTGATTCCTTAGGAAGTTCTTTCCATTTTTCAACTTAGAAATTAGCTCCTGCTTCTTTGGGTCAACAATAATCTCATTATCAGGTATCCTACCACCACCAATGGGAGCATAACTCAAGCTAGGGGCATAGGACTCGATTTTGGCTTGCTTCCTTAATGCTGCGTTGATTTGGATCAATTGCTCGTTTACCCGTTGCAATTCATTTCTTCTTTGCCGAGCAAGCAACCCTGCCATATGATCATTGAATTCAGGAAAAGGAAAGGATATCACTCATCTATAGAAGTACATGCTCTCTAGTAAAAGCACAAGTTATTAAAACTAGTGATATCAGAAATCAGATATTCAAGGACATTTTAGCTGTTTTCCATTTTTTTTCATTTCTTTTACTTTCTCTTAAGTTTCTACTAAATAATATTTCTGTCACATAGAGAAATAGATTTTGTGCAGAGATCTTTCAATTTTACCCCTTAATATCTTTCCTGTTTTCTTCTAGGAGGATCCCTGACTCCTTTGCTTTCTAATCATTCCCCTTCTTTCTTCTTTTATGGTTAAAAAATAGGTTTCTGCATACATGACCAATTTTCACTTTGTGACAGATAAAGAGTCTGTTGTTTAATATTATACGAGAAACCCTGAAGACAACAAGTAAAAACTTGGAACTTTAATGATGCATTCATGCTTCACATAGCTAAACATCTCAACTTTCAAACGAGTCTCATGCATTTTCAGATTTGTAGTTTCATACAAAACATATTTCAGTAATATGCTAGTCCTTTATCAGATGAAAAATGAGTTAATGCAACAACCAAAAATAATTTCCACAAAATCATCTTACAACAAAATGAAGTTCCACCCTCGAAGCCCTTGGAATAAGAAACATGGAACACAAGCTAGTATAACTGTACAAAGTAATCTCACACTACCTTACCTCCAACTGTGGCTCCAATGAGGGCTACTGCCAGCAGTATAGGCATGTTGAAGAGGGAGTTATCAGCCTCACACGTTTCAGCGAAAGCTCTATTAGGCATAGAGAACATCAAAATATTGCTCGCTACAAATATTAGCGAGGGGAACCTTTGGTGCATGTTTTCCTAGCAAGGCAAACAATTTTACTCAGAAGTCAGTAGTTCAAGAGAACGATTCAACAAGAGAATAGAAACTGAAAACCAACAGAATGTAGAGATAGAAGAAGCAGTGTCCCGACATACATAAGTGACCAACAAAGAGAAATTCAGTGTAGAGAACAGTATCCACGACTGCCATTTTTTCCAATAACAGCATTTTAAACAGAAGATCATAAACCTTAACCTTCAATATTTAACAATAAAAAATATTTTAAACTTTCACATTTGACAATTGATGTACTTTTTGTTACTTAGAAACACATTTATAGTTAGAACTAATAGTAACTAACAAGTACATAAATCAAATGATTCAAAGCAAGTAGCGGCAAGAATGCCGTGACTCACCATCATACCTTACACTTTGAGCAGTGCAGCGAAGTTGGATCCTTAGAAGACCCATAGAGCGTATATTCAATGTGTGGGACAATCTTGTCCGGTTTTAGAGAAAGGCATGCCAATTTCCCTGAATCATTAAAAAAAGTTCAATTTTGCGGTAAATTTCCCAGACCCAACAACAGAAATAGATTGTTTCCAAAGCCACACTAGACAAAAGTTACGACTTCAAAATTTGAAGGTGGGTGCAAAAGATAACTGACCCGATAGTAAAGGTTTGGGGTTGTGAGAGTAGAATTGAGACTGTGAGGAGCAAGGACGAGCGAGGAAACAAGAGCAACGAATCAACACCGCCATTGGTGAGTAGTTTGGCGTGCTGAGAGGATAACAACGTTGGGATAACAATCTAGCGTGTCTGTGTTGGCGAATCACAACACAATTCACAGCTCTCCTTGTATGTCTTCTACCTTTTATATTCCCCTTTGGTAAATATTTTAATTAAATATATTTAAATATATTTTGTCTCAATTGTGTGTATTTGGATAACAATAAGAATCGATCTAGCCTTTTAAAATCACATTAAAAATTTTAAACTTTTTTTTGTTATTTTGGATTTTAACGTAAAATCCAAAGATACCCGTAATATAGTAATATTATTACAGAATGGTTTTAGTGTTTATAGCTTCTTCTTCTTTTTCTTGTGTGTTTGGTTTTTATATTTTTTAATTTAGTTTATAATTTAAATTGTAAAATAAAATGTTACAGGGTTAAAACGTGTATAAATATTTCAACCAAATATTTATGTAGTGGACATAATTATTTCGTATAAGTAACATGTATCTTTCATTTCATTGGAGAAGGAAAAAGTTCTTTTTCTGAATTTTCTTTTTCTTTTTTCTTTTCAGTGTAAGCAAGTATCCAATCTTTAGAAAGCGGCATTTATAATAATTCATGTTGTATTGTTTTTTATATATAAATATCATATTAATTGATTTTGAAAATCCATGTATTTCCTCACACTGATTATTTGCTTATAGTTAAAGAAATAAAAATATTATAAAATGGTATATATATTTTTTAAATAAGATATTTTTCTTTATCAATCAATCTTCATGTGCTGAAAATTATTTATAAATTTAATAATTAAAGTAATGATAAATTAATGGAATTGAAATGTAATTTGAATGAGACACTAATAAATCAGACTAAATGCTTAGATTAAATTTAAATCTAATAAAAATAAATAAATTGAATGTATAATGTATATTTATATTATTATTTTTTTTACTTCTAATCTTATGTTTTTTACTTTTTTTTCTTGAATATAAAGTAATAAAAAATAACTTTTTTTTTTATTTTCTCAATTGTACATTCTTTTAAGTTTTTTCTTTTATAAAAATTTTGACTCAGGTTTATTTATCTCCATCAATTCATAATTCTAGAAATTAATATTTATATTTTAAAATTAATATATATATATATATATATATTAAAAAACAACAACAAATATACGAATACACATTTCCACTAATCATCTATAATATATGAACTTAAGTTAAATAATAAAAAATAATATAAGAACTTAAGTTTAAATAATAAATAAAATTATGTAAGTGACTGCTTGACTCATTGACGAGCCCGGATAAATGTTAAACTTTATATAAAATGTCTTAAGGAGAAATAAAGATAAATAAATTGAATATAAACATTTACTATTAGGTTAAAGTTTAATTGATTATGATCTTCATCCTAATGATCAAACATATATCTATAATCTCATACTGTAAACATGTTATATAAACTAAATGCGAAAGCGTACCTGAATTAGCCATAATGATGATATTCTTTGTAGAGCACATTTGAGTTGATCTTATGGTCTTCCACCTGAAGAACACCTGTATTTCCCTATGGATTTTCTCTCTTGATGGGGATAGAAAGAAAAGAACGGGACTGTATCTGTATTCTGTCTGTGTGCTCTCAGAAGGGGACCATGACCCTTTATATAACCAAAATTAGGTTAATTACTTAAGTTTTAGTAATTTCAATTTGGTCCCTCATCAAATTAAAAAATTACTCTATGGTCTCTACACAATCATATTTTCATGACATATGCCTTTAGTCAAAACTTTAATTTATTCAGATCACTTTATTATTTGGCTTAATAAATAATGACCCTAACACATTTAAATATGTATCATATATATACATGACCCAAATTTTGCCAACAATCTCCCACTGGTCACAAATATATATGTCCTTACAACTTTACAAATGTGTTAGACTTTATGAGCTCAAAATTGTCATTATATTCCTTTAGCATATTCCAAAAGTCCTGTCCATTAATCATATCAGGATATAGAACCAAACCAGCTTTTCATTGCATCATCGCAACTAAAACCAACAAGATTACTCATCCTGACATAACCAAATGACATGGATTCATCATGAAATGTGTAGCATGAAAAATTACGTGAAGGTGATCTGTACACGTCTATTTTCAAGCTGGTCCAAACTTTAACTTATCGAGATCGATATAATAACCTTAATGTACAAAGTGTAATGAATGAACAAAAAACCGCATATCTATAGATAACCAAATATGTCCAAAAAATCAATGTATACATATATAAAATTAAACATAGAACATAAAATATATGAAAATGACTAACTCCCACTAAACCACAAATTCCTCAAACTGTAAAACACCCATGTGAGCAACATGCTCATGAAAGACCTTGGGCGGAAGTCCTTTAGTTAGAGGATCTGCTATCATGGAGTTTGTCCCCAAATGTTCTATGGAAATCTGTCCACTTTGTACTCTTTCCTTAACAACTAGAAACTTAATGTCGATGTGCTTTGACTTAGTCGAACTTCTGTTGTTGTTGGAATACAATACAGCTGATTTGTTGTCACAATATAACTTAAGTGGTCTTTCAATGCCTTTCACAATTTGCAGCCCTGTGACAAAATTTCTCAGCCATATTCCATGATTCGACGCCTCATATCATGCTACAAATTCTGCTGCCATGGTGGATGAAGCTGTAAGGGTTTGCTTGACACTGCGCCAAGAAACCGCACCACCTGCTAACATGAAAATGTAACCTGAAGTGGATTTCAAACTATCTTGACATCCTGCAAAGTCCGAGTCAGAAAACCCAGCGATCTCCAACTGGTCTGACCTCCTGTATGTGAGCATGTAATCTTTTGTTCTCTTTAGATATCTCATGACCCTTTTTGCTGCTTTCCAATGGTCCATTCCTGGATTGCTTAAATATCTGCCTAGAACCCCAACTATGTATGCTATGTACGGACGCGTACATACTTGGGCATACATCAAACTCCCTACAGTGATGCATAGGGAATCTTTTGCATTTCCTCAATTTCCAAATTTCCCTTTGGGCACTGATTGAGACTAAACTTATCTCCCTTAGCAAGCTGGAGTATCCCGGATTTACATTCATGCATGCCAAACCTTTTAAGAATTTTTTCGATATAGTTCCTTTGTGATAATCCTAAAATACCCAGACATCGATCTCGGTGTATCCGAATTCCTAATACAAAAGACGCATCACCAAGATCTTTCATTTCGAAATTCTTTGATAAAAATTTCTTGGTTTCGTGCAATATGCCTATATCATTAGTGGCAAGTAGAATGTCATCGACATACAAGATCAGGAAAATATACTTACTCCCCTTAAACTTGTGATATACACAATCATCAACAATATTCATCTCGAAGCCAAATGAGAGAATTACTTGATGAAATTTATAGTACCATTGACGAGATGCTTGTTTTAGTCCATAAATGGATTTTGTCAGTTTGCAAACCATACTCTTTGAATCTCCCTGCACAAAATTTTCTGGTTGCACCATATAAATCGTCTCATCAATGTTGCCATTAAGAAACGCCGTCTTGACATCCATTTGATGAAGCTCTAAATCATAATGTGCTACAAGAGCCATGATTGTCCTAAAAGAGTCTTTCGATGAAACTGGAGAGAAAGTCTCTTTAAAATCAATCCCTTCCTTTTGGGTATAGCCCTTAGCTACCAGACGAGCCTTATACCTTTCCACATTACCTTTAGAATCCCGTTTGGTCTTAAATATCCACTTGCAACCAATGGGTCTCATACCTTCCGGTAATGGGACAAGTTCCCAAACCTTATTGTCTTGCATGGACTTATACTCCTCCTTCATTGCTTCGATCCACTTTTCGAGTTAGAACCTTGCATGGCTTGACGGAAGTTAAGCTGGGTTATCTTCCATCATACCATTGTTTTCTTCATGTTCCTGAAGAAATACCATGTAATCATCCGAAATAGCACTTCTTCTTTCTCTAGTGGATCTCCGCAAAGTTATTGGCTCATGATGCACAGGTTCTTGAGGATCTTGAGTTTGTTCTTCATGAACAACCAAATCATCTTGAGTAAGGGGTTCATTAACAATGCCTTGTGAAGGTTCCGAACTTACTTTATCAAAAGTAACTGTTTGAATCGGTTCTGGAATTGTTACCGATTCTTCCTCTAAGACAAAGTTCCTGATTTTATTCTTCCCCCCAAACTCAATATCCTCAAAAAACGTAGCAGTTCCCGTCTCAAAAATTGTCTTTAATGTGGGATCATAAAATGTATATCCCTTGGATCTTTCAGCATAACCAATAAAATAACTACTTACTGTTCGGGAGTCCAATTTCTTTTCATTTGGCTTATAAGGCCTTGCCTCAGCTGGACAACCCCACACATGGAAATGCTTCAAACTAGGTTGTCGCCCAGTCCAAAGCTCATAAGGTGTTTTGGTCGCTGCTTTAGTTGGTACTCTGTTCAGAATATAAGCTGTCGTCTTTAGTGCCTCTCCCCAGAGTGACTCTGGTAAGGTGGAATGACAAATCATACTCCTGACCATATCTTTAAGAGTTCGATTTCGTCTTTCAGCTACACCATTCATGCTAGGTGATCCCGGCATGGTATACTGTGGGACAATTCCACACTCCTCTAGGTACCTGGCAAAAGGTCCTGGACGCTGTTCACCTGACCCGCCAAATCTGCCATAGTACTCACCACCACGATCAGATCTGACAGACTTAATTCTTTTATTGAGTTGATTTTCAACTTCAGCTTTAAATGTTTTGAACACGTCTAGAGATTGTGACTTTTCATGTATAAGGAATAAGTATGCATATCGTGAGTAATCGTCTATGAATGATATAAAGTATTGTTGACCATTCCACGAGGGTGTAGGAAATGACCCACAAATGTCCGTATGTATCAACTCTAAGGCGTCCGTAGCTCTATATGCACCTAATCTCTTCGCTTTGGTCTGTTTGCCCTTAATGCATTCAACACAAACATCAAAGTTTGTGAAGTCAATGGACTCTAAGATTCCATTTAACACAAGTCGTTCAACTCTATTTTTAGAGATGTGACCTAAGCGCTGTGCCATAATGCTCCTAAGTGAGTATCATCAATTTTATGTTTAGTACCCAGTGATTACGTATTAAGGGTTTCAGTTATAGGTGGTCACGAGTATCAAGTAAATACAGATTATCATAAGGCAAAAGTGAACTAGTTCCAATAATATCTGAATTAAAAGACAAAGCTGAACTTATTGTTTCCAAATGAACACAAATAACCTAATTTGTCGAGATAAGAAACTGAAACCAAATTCAGATCTAAATGACGGCACTAACAAAAGTGTCTTTCAAATCCAAATAAAAACTAGTACTCAATAACAATTTAAAATGCCCTATGGCTTCCACCTCTACCGATTTGCCATCTCCAACATATATCCATCTTTCAGAATCAATTGGCTTAGGTAGCTTAGGCAACCCTTTATAGAAACATCGATGTTAGTAATTGCACCGAGTCTAACCACCAAGTGTTACTTAGATGCTGACGCTAAATTGACTTGAGCAGAGACCAAAGTAGGAAGCATACTTTTGAGGATCAGAACATAATTTAAATTGGCGAGATACAAAAGCAATTGTAGTTGGATTAGAACAAAAGAAATAAACTAATTATGCTCACATTAAAAAAAAATAATTATAAATAAAATATATATTCAAATAATGGTTTAACCCATCTCAAGACACCCAATGCACCATCAATATCAAGTCTTTGGACGATAATATTAAGCTGCTAGAGGTATCTTGTTGTAATAATCAAACATTGACAATAAAGCACGTCCAACAACAAATCAGTCTTTGGATTGATTTATCATCGACAAAGCTAATCTTTATAATTATCACATGTTTATCATTACAAGTGTATATGCAATTCGACCAAATATTAATCTTCCTTTAGGCGACTAATACTCGCATGAATATACTATAAACACTAACATTTAATATTTTTCATGAACTACCCAATTCAAGAGATGTTACTTTGGTAACTTCTTGACTCAATTCTGCTCACAAAAAATATTAAACTACCAAACAAAAATATTTTATTTATATAATAAAACCGAATATTTATAATTCTAAAGAAGAAAAAAGATTATAATTTCTATATACCAAATATAATTTATACATATATATTAATGGTTTCCACAGGATCCTTCCAATTATACCACGTGACCTTCCACCTGATGCTCCATGGAGTAACGTCACCACTTTTGATACTATGGCCGTTAGACGTGGTGGTGGGCCCGCGGAACAAGCCCATGATCATGCATTTGGACGAGCAGGCAGAGACGGATTGCAGATTGGGGCTGTTTTCCGCCCGCATCAGAAATGCCAAAATTGTGTACTTTTGTCACTTAATTTCGCTTCTGGCATTTATTTCAATGATTTCAGTAATCTTGATCATGGATTGAGTCCCCCGTCAGAGAGAGTTCTAATCGAATAAAATCTTAACTTATAACAACGGCAGCCGTGTCGGGGGTGAGATATGGAAAGCCCACACGGCCATGGCAATGGTGCAGTTATTCAACGGCGGCTTTCACGTCATCACCAAAGTCGCCCTTAACGTTGGCGTCAACCAAATCGTCTTCTGCGTCTTCCGCGACAATCCACACGCGGAACAGATAATTGAAACCCTCTCTCTCAATTTTGGAAATTGGGAATTTACCCCAAATTCGAAACTAGGTTTTAAAAATGGGAATTTAGCCCGAAATTTGATTTTAGGGTTTACAAAATTGTGAGATTATACTCCACTTAGGGTTCTGATTTAAATAGAATCTAAATTTTGATAAATCTGATTTCCAAATACAAACATGAATTGAGTATGGCGCTTCTCGATACTGCAATTGTTAGGTTAAAGTTTAATTGATTATGATCTTCATCCTAATGATCAAACATATATCTATAATCCCATACTCGTAAACATGTTATATAAACTAAATGCGAAAGCGTACTCGAATTAGCCATAATGATGATATTCTTTGTAGAAGCACATTTGAGTTGATCTTATGATCTTCCACTGAAGAAGCACTCGTATTTCCCTATGAATTTTCTCTCTTAATGGGGATAGAAAGAAAGAAACGAGGCTGATATCGTATTACATGCGTGTGCTCTCGAAGGGACCATGACTCTTTATATAACCAAAATTAGGTTAATTACTTAAGTTTTAGTATTTTCAATTTGATCCTCATCAAATTAAAAAATTACTCTATGGTCTCTACACAATCATATTTTCATGACATATGCCTTTAGTTAAAACTTTAATTTATTCAGATCACTTTATTATTTGGCTTAATAAATAATGACCCTAACACATTTAAATATGTATCATATATATACATGACCCAAATTTTGCCAACATTTACAACATTAATTACCTTCAATTATTAAAGTTTTGTGGTTAAACTTGTTTGTTTTTAACCAGTGAAAGTACCTTTTTTATAAACCCTTAAAAATATATCAGAATCTTAAGATATATTATTTGAAAATATAAAACAAATTAAAAAACTTAAAAGAGTAAAATAAAAATAATAAAAAATATTAACCTAATTTCACTTAAAAATAGTTATTTACAAATTTAAGTGATTCATAACTATGTATTCTTTTTTTATATTATTATTTGTTGTCTCAATCACGGCTTTAATAATAAACTAATTGACATAATAACTTATTATTTAAGTTATATCCATAAAACAGATTATATTCAATATGTTTCCTTCAACAAAATCTACTCAGGGCTAAAAACAATAATCGAAAAAAAAAAGTTGAATCTTAACTCTTATACTATTAATATTTCAATATATATTTAAATTCTACCACATGATAATACAAGACATAATTTATTATCTTTTAAAACAAATTTAAATTATATTATTTTAATACAATACAAATGATAATTTAAAATAAATGCACTTTTTTAATAATAATTATAAAAAATTTATAAATAAGAGATAAAGCATATTTTTTATAATAAATTTTTAATAATAAATTAATCTCTTTAGTATAAAATATATATTATATCAATATTTTTTGAGTGGGTTCAATTTAAAAAAAATATAGAATTAGATTTATTTTAGTCATTAATCTATAAAAATATTCATAAAAAATAATAAAAATCACAACTCTTTTTTTTTATTATTTTATTAGTAAAAACAAAGATGCGGATGTATTTGTATTCATATTATATTTTTATTATATTTTATACCCTTCATTCCCGGAAAAGGAGAAGAAAAAGAAGAGGAGGAGAGAAGAAGAAGACGAAGGGAGAAGGGGAAATGACCAAAGAGAAGAGGAAGATAGGTTAAGGATTAAGGCATTATATTTCTTCCTTCAAGTTTTTTAAGAATAATATGTAGGGTTTTAGTCATTGCTATCTTCAAATCAAAACCAAGTTTTTATGGTTTATGATGCTGTTAGCCTAAGTTCCTTAAAATCAGAAGTTGCTTTGTATTGTTTACACTTTACTGTAATAAATGAAAATGGAGTTGAAATTTAAGTGGCTGGAGGCAAGCATCCTGAAATTTAGACAATGGCAATACCCTTAGAAGCTGTTCATGGATTTCATAGAAGAGAGAAAGAAACCCCTTGTTTTTAGTACTCAAGCTTACCTTTTCAACACTTTTAGGGTAGAATAGGAATAAGTATTCAAATTAGTTTTAGACTATGCTCTTACTCAGGGTATGGTTTGAATTGGAACTCGAATTCTGAGACGGTTATGATCAACATTTTGGTTTCAATTGCATTGTGTTTAAATTTCTTGAATAAATTGATATTGCTTTGAAATCTGCTTATTTTGTATTACTTTTAACTTTGGTGGATACAATGGTGCTACTTCCTGATTGAATGCGCAAATACCTTAAATAGAACAACTTTATGAAAAAACTGTCTCATTTTTTTTTTTTTTTGAGTAGTGGTTTGAGTAGAGGGGAAGGCTTGATGCGAAGTTAAAGTTGCTTCTTGGCGCCCAGTTGAACATGGGTTTGAATTCGGAACCAGCCTCTTTGCTTGCATATATGCTAGAGTAAGGCTACGTTACAATAACCATCAACCATACCTTTGTATAGCCAGAAACCTTATAGCACTGGGGTATGCTATTTTATTTATTATTTTTTTTTATATAAATGGTTTTGAGTAATTAGCATTAAATTGTTATGGACATGGACTAATTAGTTTAATATTTGAGTCAGTTTTCTTTGAATCCATATCAGATTCAAGTTAAATCTGTGATAGAAACCCAGAAAATTTTGGGTTGTTCTAAGTTGATTTAAATTCAGATAAAAAGGCTGAGTAGAATGACTTGAGTCAATTTGATGTTTATAAGGAAGAAGATAATTATTTAAGATGGTGATGTTACCAGAATTTTCTGTTTCCTATTTTGGATATATGAATTAGTAATTGTAGCCTAATGTAATTTTGCTCTCGTGTGCTACTGGTAATTGTGATGTGTGCTTATTTTTATGATTAGCATATTAGTGCTAATTTAATGAGTTGAAAGCTGAAATTGGGTGATATTTGAATAGGTGAAGGAACTGGAGTAGGGGAATATCAGAAGGATTGGGGGAGGAGGAATTGAGGTGGTGAAAAGGAAGGGGAGATTGAGTGCAGGGTAGACTTGTGCTATCAGTCTGGGTTTACTTTGCTATCATTTACATTTCCATCTTGTAAGAAGCGTTGCACCATTAATAATCATTTATTTTCTTTTTTCCTTAAGTATCTCTCTGTTGAATTTCTCTGTTATGTTTAGTGCTTCATTGGTGGAGAGAGGGGATTATTAATATCGACACTGCAATTACTTCTATAAAATTTTGGTTCTTAACCTTCTGATTGAATAAACTTTTCCAGAGGTACATATAAAAGGGAGGTAAATAACATGGTAAAACGAATTGAGCTTTCCCTTTGAGTTAAAATTAACTTCTTCACATATTTTTTATAGCAGGTCTCTCATTTAATTTCTACAAAATCTGAAATGCACTAGTTGATTCTAGATTATAGGACAAACTCAATTCACTTTACTTTTTTTTTCTTCCCCTACATGTGGTTATAGTGAAGTTTATCCAAAAATAGGGACTTAACTATAAGTTTTGTTTTCAGATGTGCCTAAACTAAAGAATTGTGCTCCAGATTCTTTAGAGAAGTATATACTATTTAGCTATTAATTAAATTATGTTGAATTTGTATGGTTTAGTAATGAAAGAAAGATCCGACTAAAACTTTAGTTGGTTTTATAATTAAATAAAAATGGGGATTTAGTTCTATGTTTGTAGAATTTTGAGCATTTATTAATTTTTATATAGATAATAATAAGAGTTCTGGGTCATACAAGTTTCTGATCTGAAGCCATTGGCTAATATCACAACTTTGTTCTCTTTTCAGCACACCTAGCTACTCATCAGTGGCACCGTTGATTATTTGCTCTTGTTTCCTCGCATCTCAGTCTCAATTCTGCGCCAACAACCTCAAATCTTTAGTTCCAGGTCATTTACTTTTTGCACCCTATCTTCAAATTGATTTCAGAGTCGTAATAACATTTGTCTTGTTTGTACTTTGAAAACACTCCATATGTGTTTTTGGCTTTGGGAAATTTGTCGCAAAATTAAACCTTTTTTAATGATTCAGGAAAATTGGCATGTCTTTCTCTAAAACCGGACAAGGTTGTTCCAGACACAGAATATACACTTTATGGGTCTTCTAAGGGTCCAAATTTGCTGCACTGCTCAAAGTGTAAGGTATGATGGTGAGTCAAGGCATTTTTGCCACCATGTGTTTTGAATCATTTGATCTATGTACTTGTTATTATTAGTTTTAACTATAAATGTGTTTCTACAAAGTACATTAACTGTCAAATATAGAAGTTTTAGTAATTTATTATTGTTAAAAATTGAAGGTTAAGGTTTATGATCTTCTGTTTAAAATACTGCTTTTGGAAAAAATGACAATCGTGGATACTGTTCTCTAAACTGAATTTCTCTTTGTTGGTCAATTCTGTATGTTGGGACAATGCTTCTTCTTTCGCTACATTCTGTTAATTTTCAGTTTCTATTCTCTTGTTGAATCGTTCTCTTGAACTAACTTCTGAATGAAATTGTTTGCCTTGCCAGGAAAACATGCACCAAAGGTTCCCCTCGCTAATATTTGTAGCTAGCAATATTTTGATGTTCTCTATGCCTAATACAGCTTTGGCTGAAACGTGTGAGGCTGATAATTCTCTTTTCAACATGCCTGTACTGCTAGCAGTAGCCCTCATTTGAGCCACAGTTGGAGGTAAGGTAGTGTGAGATTCCTTTGTACAGTTATACTAGCTTGTGATCCATGTTTCCTATTCCTAGGGCTTGGAGAGTGGAACTTCATTTTGTTGCGAGATGTTTTTGTGGAGATTATTTTTGTTTGCTACATTAGTTCATCTGTTATCTGACGATGGACTATCATATTCGTGAAATATGTTTTGTATGTAACTACAAATCTTAAAATGCATGAGGCTCATTTTAAAGTTGAAAGGTTTAGCTATGTGAAGCATGAATGCATCATGAAAGCTCCAAGTTTTTACTTTTTGTCATCAGGGTTTCTCTATGTGACAGGAAATATTATTCGGTAAAAACTTAAGAGAAAGTAAAAGAAGTGAATAAAAAGGAGGACAGCCAATGTCGTTGAATATTTCTGATATTACTAGATTTAATAATTTACTAGAGTGTATGTGCTTGAGTGTTATTGTTTCCTTTTCCTGAATTCAATGATTATATGACAGGGTTGCTTGCTCGGCAAAGAAGAAATGAATTACAGCGGGTAAATGAGCAATTAATTCAAATCAACGCATCATTAAGAAGCAAGCCAAAATCGAGTCCTATGCCCCTAGCTTGAGTTATGCTCCCATTGGTGGTGGTAGGATACCTGATAATGACATTATTGTTGACCCAAAGAAGCAGGAGCTCATATCTAGTTGAAAAATGGAAAGAACTTTCTAAGGAATCAACAACTGGATAAAGCATTTACAGAGTTTAAGAATGCACTCGAGCTTGCCCAGAATCTGAAGGACCCTATTGAAGAGAAAAAAGCTGCTAGAGGTCTAGGTTTGTCATGTTTCCTATCTTGCTTATGAATCTGAGGAGCTCCAACATTATAACTTCGTTACGTGTGTGTGTATGATGGATGATTGAAGGATTTTACAAGGTGCTCCATGAATACAATTGAAATATTGCATATTACAGGAGCCTCACTGCAAAGACAAGGAAAGTACAGAGATGCTATTAAATACCATTCCATGGTTTTGGTCATCTCTGAACGAGAAGGGGAGGACTCAGGGAATACGGAAGCGTTTGGGGCAATTGCTAATTGTTACACTGAGCTTGGAGAGCTTGAGACAGCAGGCCAATTCTATGACAAGTATATTGCAAAGCTGGAAAAGGACTGACCTGACCTGTTTCTTGAAAAAAAATAACCACTGCTGGACTGCTACACTTTCCTCATGTTTTGCCACCATCTCTTTCATGCGGATTTTCCTTTTTTAACGCCTTCTCTTCTTCTAAACGATAGATTATTTGGTTCCTATCAGTTTGTGGCTGGAAATGCTTAAACTCACTTTTAGTGCCTCCGTCTAAACATGGCTTAATGTATGTAAGGGAGACACTTTCTGTGGCAGTTGTCATAAACAAGACATTATTAACAAATTATCATTTTGTTACTTTTTATTGTATGTTAAATCTCCAACAATTTAAGATGAAAATTGCTCGATATATATCGAGATTAAACAATTCCTCGATTTCAAATATTTTTCTTTAATTTTTTAATATAATTTTCCTTGTTGAAAATGATCAACAAGTTGAAATAAAAAAAATCCTTATTATAGAAATATCAGTTAATGTATATCATTACAACCCTAATTTTCAAAAAAAGCTTCATTTATTCATATACTGTTGATTTAGAGCAACTGTAAATTAAAATACCTATCAAATCATTTTTATTCAGGTAAATCAGTAACCGGGTGTGGGTTCAGTTTCAATTGCTACTACAATCAACAAGCCTTTATACATATCTAAACATTCCTATGACTACCAGATTGTTAGAATAAAAAATAAAATAGAAAATCAAGCTAAACAATTCCCCAATCCCTGTTCCTCTCCCCAGTGAAGATAAAAATAATTAATATAGCTGACTATATAATGCATAGTTAGAGCCAGCAAAGTTTGCCAACAATAAGAACCACGACCCACAACAAAGAATATAAAAATTATACAAGTAGAACGACGTCAAGAGCATCGCTTTTAGATGCCTCTTTAGTACAAATTAGATAAAACATTAGGTTAATTCATGCCTATATACCTAGCATTAGTTCACTGTGAAAACAAAATACTCAAACAAAATAATTTTTATACACCCAATTATCTATAAAATCATTCAAGGGCATGGTACAGTTGAATCAGGCTACAAATTGTCAATTGAAAGACCCATTTTTAGAATCACTAATGGAATGGTTAGAAGATTCATATCAATAATAAAACATAATACATAAACATAAAAAGTAGACAGTTATTTTTTGCGATTTTGGCTTTGAAAACCGCCACTCCAACAACAACAGCCAGACCATGTTACAAGAATCGTGCATTTCAATAGGAAATTCTTACAATTCTACACTAATTCATTCGACTCACCTGCGATACATATAAAAAACAATTTGTTCAATGATTTGTATCACCGGCTTCATGAATCGCACAATACTAACTACCATTTTCTAGGGTCAAAGATAAAAAGGTTGCAACACGACATTATAAATCACACACTAAAAATAAAAATATTTAAATTCAACCATCTCTATCATCAGCACACTATTAAAAGTCCAGCCATTTCTGATAATATTGACAAGTTGTTGGGGATATAATACCATTGGGTGTACAAAATTTAAGCCTAGGACAAACCCCACAAGGAATAGAGGCCATGACACCAACTTTAACATTGGTGCCTACCTTCTTCGCCAACCTGAAACAAATTTCACCCGCAGGAATGGATGAAAAATCCCCAAAGCCAGTGCTGTTTACCTCTTGTAACTTATTTTCCATAACCAAAACTTTCAAAATTTGTTCCACCTGTCCTGGACTAACTCCACCAGGAAAAACTTCACTCCCTAAGGTTTTAGTCCACTCGAGGATTCCATCACGGGTTGCAACCTTTTTTCGAGAAATGAGTTTTAAGCATACATCCGACAAAGCATCAATAAGTTGTGTGTCGAGTCTGCCTTCGGTATACCATTCTCCACCAGTTATTTCTTTAGAAGGTTCGAAATCCATGGCCATCAACACCTTCTTGGACTTGTTTTGGATGTTCACAACCTCTTTGATGAGAGTCTTGGAGATTAGCAACTTGATGGATTTTTTCAATATACTGTCAGGAATGTTGGTTTCTCTTTTGATCTCCCCTTGCCATATCCCCATCTCCTTCTTCCCGCGAATGATGTTGTACACCACGCGCTCCTCGTTAGTCATCGATGCAGAGAGCGTCGATAGGTCTTGACGCTTGCGTTTCCCTGGTAAAAGGTTCATTGTTCCTGCTGACATTAAATATGAAAATTGTGTATAAGAAACATTTGAAAGTCAACATACGATTTTAGCATCCAATGCTTCGATTTTTGAATCAAGAATGACGAGGACTAAGAGAACAAAACCAATATATGAAAACAATACATATCTTGTAATTGTTATCACACAAATATCACACTACAAGACTAGAAACCACATAACACTATCATTACACGGCTATAAAATATACATATGAGACGTAATTGCAAGTGGGTAGGGATTTTAATTTTATATTTTTTAATTTTATTTTTTTATACAATTTTAGTTTTTTATTTTACTTATCATTATCTTTATCATGCACTAAATTATTTCTTTCATTTATCTCTCTCAATATATAAAGAATTCTTTAGTATATATTTTAAAAAAATAATGAAAAGAGAATAAAAAGTAAAAAATAAAAAATAATATATTTAAAACATAGCATTAAAAAATAAAATAATAATTTAAAATAAATTAGTTATAAAAAATGTGATAAAAAATAGTAATTAATAAAAGAGATGAATAAGTGTAATCGAATATTGAATCAATGTAATTTTTTTTTATATTATATAATTGAACTTTAATTATTTTTTAACTTTTTATCTAATCAATAACAGTTTTTTATTGTTATATTTTTAATGTGAACACATTATTGTTATTTTTTTAATGTAAACACATAATTAATCATAACACATGTATTTATGTTGATATATATATATATATATATATATATATATATATAATTTAATTGAATTAAAATAAAATATTAAAAGATTTAATGATTTTTTTAATATAAAATTATATTAAAATTACGATTTTTTTTATCAACCGGTCTTCTAGCGTGTTAACCATTTAACACGACCGAACTGTTGACATTAATTTAGTCAATGAAATAAATAAATTAAAGTTTGTTTTTAAATTCATAAATTAAGTAATTTATTTTTAAATTAAGTGAAAGCTTAACACAAAATTATTTAAACTCACATATTCTTTTCAAAGAAATTGTCATTTTCATAGTTTTTTGTTTTCAATATAGAAATTTTGGAAAAGAAGATGATGAGGGTCTCTATTATCCATGACACACATTTAGGGAACTTTTTATAGAATATAAACGTTTACTTCTTCAAAAATTTAAAATTATCTCTTACAAGTAGTTTAGAATAGTTTTATTTTTATATATGTAGAATTTTCCAATAATCATTCTATAAAATATGAAAACCTAATTTTATCAGTTAAATTAAAGTTTTACTATAAAAAATATTATTTATTAAATTATTTAAGATTAAAAAAAAAACATTTGGTAGTATCAGTAACAGGCTTATATTTTCAACTATAATAAACCTAAACCTAGATTGGAGAAAAAAATTTAACCCAAACCGAAAACTATTTATACACAAATCCCAAATTTTAAAGAAACTTGGATAACAACGTTATAAACTATCAAAATTTGGAGATTATCGATGATTAACCGAAACCTAGACCTAAAAATCTAAAATCCTATCTAAATATAATTTGATGGAAGAAATATAGTAATGCCTAAGCGTTACCTTTTTCTCTATCTTTGAGACCTATCTTCTCCTTCTCTTTGGTTCTTTCTCCTTTTTCGTGACTCTTCTTCTCTCCTCTTATGAAACTCTTGTGTCGATGGAGAAATGTTGTGTTCGAAGGAAGGATATATGGATTTTGATTTTCTCTTCTAGACCGTGGTTTATAGCGACTTTGGGTGAGAGTGTAGTATGTCTTCCTGATTTGAAGGAGTCAGTTTTCCAACAGAGGAACTTTTCTTATTCATTCTCTCAGATAAACTTGGCAACCGAAACCTGCTAAATTGATAACTGAAATATTTTTAACGCTAATACCACCGAAAACACAGCCAAAATGGTTTTTTATTTTCACGAATTATATATATTAATTCTACATTTTAAATATTTATGTTTAAAATTATATATGGTTGAAGAAAAATAAATATATGAGAAAAAAATATAAAATAGATAGTCTTTTAAACAATACGAAATGATTAAAAAAGGAATTTCTTTCTGATATATTATTATTATTATTATATATTATATTAATAGTTCTATTGGTTAATTAGTTAAATTGTATTCTTTCTTTTTATTAACGTTAATTGTTAGATTTTCACATCCGAACCACGATCTATTCCATCACATCTACGGTTGCATCTTTTAAATCATCGTGAGAGTAGATATTAGAATATTATAATTTAAAAAAACAAAAAAATATATTAAATATCTAATTTTGAAAAAAATTATAAAAGCAGTTACTAAAATATTAACGATGAAATATAATTAAAAATATAAATAATTATAATTTTAAAAATAACTATACTCTATAATCCTATGACCCATATTATCATTTATAATTATTTGTATTACATTATTAATAAAAAATATAACATAAAAAGTAGTCATTATATTATAATATTATATATTTAAAAAGAAAAAAATATATTTGAAAGTGAAGGGAGATCTTTCCATAATAATTACCACTAATCTACATTTTTTATAATTCATCATTAACAAAATTTATTCTTTATTTTAGAATACTTTATATTATTTTAAGAAATCTCAATTATCAAAATAAGATATAAATAATTATCATTATAATATTTTTATTATTAATTTTTATTATTTAATATTTATTTAAAATTATAATTCGTCACAATTTTGTTATTATAAAAATCTTAATAGATTGAGAGAAAATTATATATAAATTACTAATAATTTTAATTTTTAAACGATGCATCGCAACATATATATTGGACTTGATAGTTAACCTTAATTATATTATTAAAATAAATATGGCATCGATAATTATGTTATCATAATAAACATAATGATAATATATTATCATAATAAATATGTGGTTAAAATATTGTATTTTATGAGTTTCATATTTTTTTAATCAACCAATCCATATATCTTTTAAACTAAAATTTAAAAGTGAATAATACACATATAATTGTCTTAAATAATATTATTGTAACAAATGTAAAATCTAAATATGTTCTACAAGGAACCCGATATAATATTTTTTATATTTTAATTAAATTTATAAAATTTGAATTTGTGTTTTATGTATGGATATAAATATTATGTTTTTATTATTGATACGAACCTTACCACAATTTCATCGAGTGATTTTAAAAATGTGTGTTCCAATTGATAATTTGTATGCCAATTGAACTACCATAGTTGAAAGGTTTTATATATAATGGGGTTTATAAAAAGTTAAGTTTCTTAACTAATTATAATAGCCATGAATTAAGCTACATGTTTTATCTTATACGTAAGGAAGATGATAAAGAGGCATCTAACAGAGATGAAATAATCAATTTTTAAAAACTTTATTTTAATTAAAATATTAATTAATCTGTCTTCACTTTTTCCAAAAGTTGTAATTTAAATTTGAATAAGTGAAGAAAAATTGTAATGATAAATGTTATTAATTTATCATAATATCTTGATTGGTTAAATACTTGGCAATATTCATTTTTCCTTCCTTACAAATCATGATACTTCATTCTAAAAAGATAGTATAAAAGTGTCACTTTTCAATTTATTACCATTCTCATTAAAAATAAAATAAAAATCATGAATTGAAGCCAACGAATAATTATAAAACCTGGTTATGTACTCTATTTTGTAATTTGTATACAAACAATGAATTTTACAGAATGAAATAACAAAAAGCAAATTTAATATTTAAACCTATACATATGATAATAGTGAAATGAGTGCTAAACTAAATTACGTTAATAAATTGGATTTAGTCTTTAAAAACATTGGCGCGTGAATGTGAATGAAAAGTGAGAGGGTGAAGTTGACGCGACTTGAATCAGCGAGGCGCAACGTAAACGAAGACGAAGGGTTTTAACAAAGCCTCAACCATTACCTTCCCGCGCTGAGTGAGGGTTTAAGCTCACTCACACATCTAAAATTCTCAATTCCCAATGGAAGAAGAAATGGCGATGGACACTTCTCCTAATCCCGGTGATAATTACTTCGATCCTCAGAACCTCTCTTCGCGACAGCAGTTCCGCAGATACGGGTATTGTATTCCATCTCTCCATTCGAACCAACCTCACTCTCTGATTAACAACTTCTTAACTTCAATCTTCATCACTCACATCTTAACAATTGCCGTATGAGTTCCTTTTACTTCGGAGGCAATGGGGTTTTGTGCAATTAGGGTTTATGCTTGTCGCTAATCGAGCAGGAAAAGGTTGAGTTTGTCAATTATTAGAGAACGGGGAAGAAAGTTCAAATGAGGGGCGCCTCTCGAAAGTTTTCGCGAATCTGAACACTTTAAATAATTTTAGTTGTTTGAGGACATGCTTGAACAAGTTTCTTCTTTAGGATTTGTAGAAGATTAAAAAAAAGTTTCTCCATAAGTTAAAATTAGATTTTATGTATAAGATAATTTTGTAAAAGTTATTCTATATAATTTTTCTAATTTTTTAGTTTTTATATTGTGCTTGAGTTAATTTTAACTAGTGGAGAAGTTCATTTTATTTTTCTCTCTTAGAAGTCTTTATGCAGAAGTTTATCCAAACATTGGGAAAACAAAACAGTGAGGTTAGTGTTGAAGTATTGATTAGAGCGAAATGACTCTCTGATGATGTCTTGAATAATGAATGGGATAGAGTTGGCAGGGAGAAGGATTGATTGACTGCTTTTTATGAAGCTATTGAATTTCCCTACATTTGTTGTGGTTGCATCACTTATCGAACCGTCGTTTCATGTATGATCGAGGGTTGGTGTGTTAGATGTTATATGGAACCATTGGAATTTTTTTGGAATACAGTATACATTATATAAACTACATAAGTTTTTTTCAAATTAGTGGTTATTCAACTATGGCTCTCTTGGGGCAGGCCTCTATCTGGGATTTATAAACCGTTTTCATTTGAGAGAACTTGGTGATTTTGTCTGTTACTTCATCTTTATGTCTTCTGTAGCTGCTAAATATTGTCCTCCTTGGATATTGTTGCATTCTGTAAGCTTCTTTGTCAATTTTCTATATGAAATTTTTGCAGGAAGAGGCATTCAACTTCAGGTGCTTCAATCCAACAGGACAACTCGGCTTCCAAGTTGAGTAAAACTGGGTTGTTATATGATGGCCAAAGCATCCATAGTCCTACTAATGCAGCACTTGTTCTTGAAAATATTAAACAAGAGGTTGAGAATCTTGATGCTGATTACTTGGAAGAGAAGACACCATATTCCACTAGGAGGAGGTTGTCTTCCGATGTTCATGGAGTCCCTGGTGTGGATGGTGGTATTGACTCTGTACGCTACTCATTAAAGGCTTGTAAGACGGAAGGTGACTCGTTGGGAGATGGTGCAGAAACAATATTTACTTTGTTTGCATCTCTGCTTGATTCTTCTTTGCAAGGTAATGGAAGTATGTTCATTTATGCACCCCAGTACCAGAAAAAAGTTATTTCATTCATCTTCATTTGTCCCATTTCTGTATAAAGATACAAAATGATCTCTTTGAAGCTTGAAATTTCTGATGAGGAAACCTTGTTTCTCTTATACCCTTATTTGTTTGGAATGTGCTGGAGCATAAAGGTTGATACTTTAAGCAGGAAACTATTTCTTTCTCTTTTAGTAATCAAACGCTGTATTATTAACAAAGAAAAAAAGAAAGCTCTTCTTTTTATTTCCTGAGCTTTTTAGTTTCTCACATTTCTCCTTGCAGAGGAATGGATCTTGTTGGTGCAAATGCTATATTTTTGTTATCATTCTGCAGAAAAAAGAAGAAGAAATAGTGCAATTTTGATTGTATTTTGTTTCAGGACTGATGCCTATTGCTGATCTGATACTAAGGGTTGAGAATGCGTGTCGAAATGTTTCAGAATCTATAAGGTTTGTTTGCTACTAGACAGCATAAATATTTGCATATGAAGCTTTTATAATGCAAACATTCAAGATTTATATACTTATAAGTAATATTATTACTTAATTAATATAATAAGGCTCTATTTATTGATATGTAATCTTGTTGTCTTGGGGGGTTGAAAGCTGGAAGTCATTTTTTTTTCATTTTAGGTTGTTAAAGCTTTATACTTTGTTATTTTACTATGATTAGTTTTTTTACTGTAGTTCTTTAGAGAATTATCTGCATATTCATTCAATATTTGTTTTTAATTATGAATTTGTTGAGAAACTATAGAGATCATTTAGGTGTTCTTATTTTTTGCTGGATTTGGCTGTTTTGTTTTTCAGTTGAAGGTTTTAAGAAGATTGCCTGTCCTCCATCTCTTTGTCTCTGTCTTTCTCTCTTTTAATAAGGTGTTCTTCATGCATAGATATATATAATTTAGGAAATATGTTTGTTTTGACTTCCTTATGTTGCTGATATGACACCTTGGACTGGGTTGAAGCTGTCTTTAGTTATTTTGTTTTACGATGTTGCCAACTTGTCATTGTAAATTGTGACGTTTTTGTTAATGCTATAGACTGTAGAGACATAATAAAAAAACTATAAGTTTCTCAGGAGTTAATGATGATTGTATATTCAGTGTTTGAGTAGTTAATTGTGTAGCTACAACTTCTAGTTACTCATTTGCTGAACTATTAGGTAGTTATAGTTGGTAGTCATTACAGTTGCCAGTCTCTTCTATTCTTAACTGATAATTATTGTTTACTAGTAGCATGTATAAATATCTCTGTTTAATGCTTTGAGTGAAATTAAATCATAATTTTAGAAATCACCGATTCTCTCTGATTTCTTGTTGCCTTCTCTCTCTGTCTTATCGTACACTTCCTTGCATTTCCTCTATTTTCTATCTGGTTTTCTCAAGTTTATGCAGAGTAGTAGGGATTTTCTCTTAGATGCATTTAGGAAGAATTTCATTACTCCTAAAAATTAGCTTACAGAGTCAATGTTTTTAAATAATTGTTATAGTGTGTGACCATAATGATGTAACGTGGTGTTTTTTGACCCCTCCATCATAGGCAATTTGTGAGGTGAGGTTCACTATAGCAGCATCATAGGCGTTAATAACGTGTGTAATAGGTTAAATTTTGTCATTCTGCCATATATTCTTCCATTGATAACCTTGCCCAATGTACCACATATTTTACATTTTTCTTCCTCAAAGATCACATTTTAAGTGGAATTTATATGGTAATGTTTAAATTCATTTATTTGTAGCTTATATAAAAAAAATATTTCCATGCCTAAAAATACTACCGTTCCTTGTCAAAATAAAATTGATATATATATATATATATAATTTTTTTTTGTCTGTTTGTAAATTGGAGCGAACATTGTGTGTAGCTTGAGTAAATGAGCTTACAGTATGTGTTATTTTTCTCTTCTTGTTATTATCTGTTGTTATTCTCTTCTTACAGCTATTGTGGATTCTATTTTGCAGCTGTACTTGAAAACAGGGATGATATTCAATAGGATAGCGTTTTTGTTGTGGTTATCCTGAAAATCTCATTATTTACCATAAAGAGAAAATTTTGTTGTGATTGATAGCCCACACGTAATTGGTTAGCAGTCTTGGCTGTTTTAGGAGGACTCTTGTTCTCATTCTGTCTGTGTTTCTCTTATTTTCCTTGATGAATTCTTACATACAAAAATGAGAGTTAACTTGAACTTTTAAACTACATTGGACAGTTTATAGACTCAACAGTATAGTGAGTACTTGTTCATGACAAAACTACTTTGATTATAATATTTTTGTGGCCTTTCTCCTTTAGGTATGATTTGAATGTAAGGCATCGAGTTGTTGAGGACAAATTGATGAGGCAGAAGGCTCAACTCTTGCTTGAGGAGGCGGCAACGTGGTCTCTCTTGTGGTTCCTTTATGGGAAAGGAAATATATTGCAAACCATATACTTTTGGTTTTTTTATGGACCACTTACTTCTCTGTCCTAAATTCTATTATAATTGTTATTCAATCTATTTCCTAAAATCAGTTTATTGACTCACGTTCCACTCATTTGACTGAATCAACTCTTTGGATGATTAGGCTTCCCATTTGATTGTCATACTTTTGAATTTAAAATATAAGGAATACTCAATATGGTATGTGATCTTTATCTCAATCTTGAGATACAGTTTGCATTAATTAGTAATCAACTCACTACTAATTAAATAAGAAATACCAAAGTTTTCTTCAAAGGAAATGATTTCGCCTATATATAAATGGACTGTAAATTCCTATAAATACTTACTAAATTGTTATAGGAGAAACATGAAATTGAGCTCTACAGCTATAGTTAATTTTCCCACATGTTAATTGCTGCCTCTTATTGGGATTTTTTTATGTTTTTTTTTTCTGATAGTTGTTCTTCTATTTTTCAGTGACTGAAGAACTATCTAAAGATCAAATACTGGTAATATGAGCGTGATGCTACTTTATGTGACTATCTAATTGACATGTTAAATTTAATTTACTCACTTATCACAGGTGTCAGGAACTTCACATGTGGTTGCTTGTGAGTTTGTTGCGGAGGATCATACAGCTCAATTATGCCTTCGGATAGTCCAGTGGTTAGAAGGTTTAGCTTCCAAAGCACTTGACTTGGAAGCGAAGGTGGTTTTTTCTGTTTTCTGCATGGAATTTTGTTTTTTTCACAAAGAATATCTTTTATTTTTATTTTGAATTTGATCAGAATACACTAATAATGATTTTTTTTTTAACTATCATCTAATCATGGATTCTTATATAATTGGAAATTCCTTAATTTTGTAATGATTATTTAAAAAGACATATCTATGATGATTTCTAATTGGCTAACTGTGTTAATTTTTTTTACAATAATGTTGTATCAAAATTGAACTCTTTTATTTTTTAACTGATGCCATGAATAAAAAATTAATTATCTTAAATTTTGCAGGGTGCTGGTTTAGATAAAAAAGTTAGGTAGTTAACAAGGACTTTTAATGAGGGAGAGGTGAAGACATTAACTCATGAAAACAACATGCAATGTTAGAAACATCTAATCATTTGAGTGGAAAGGAAACCCTTGAAAACGCAAGAGTTCCACTTCATCCAAATGCACTAAAGAATTATTAGTAAACACCAAACATCACCATAAAAAAAACTTTGCTCCAAGTGTTCATAAACTGATTTTGAGGTAATCATTAGCTCACTATTTTGAATTAAACAAAAAATTTGATGATGCAAGAGATGTTACTTTTCTTGCCTAAAAAATTAATCTGTGGCATGTCTTATGGTTAGTATAGGGTTGGAAATCATTTTTGTGTTTTGATTAGGCATATGATAAAAATACCCGTGATACACTTTGGAAGTCCACCTTTAAATATTTGAGTATCAGTTGGAAATTTAGTTTCAATCTTTTAAGAAATAAATACAGGAAAAGGTGTATTTATATTTAGTTATGTGAAGCTCATATTGTCTCCATTTAAAAGTTTATATTGCTACCTTTTGTGCATACATGTCATTGTCTGATTAAAGATTGACTGTTTTGGGTTCTTCCTATATTCATGCAGGTGCGTGGATCTCATGTGGGTAGTTATCTCCCCAGCTGTGGAGTATGGCATCATACTCAGCGTTACTTGAAGAAAGGAACTCTTGACATGAATGTTGTTCATCACTTGGACTTTGATGCTCCAACTCGTGAAAATGCTAATCTTTTGCCTGATGACAAGGTACTGAACAATTATGGCTTGCAATTCTTTTGCAGCTTTCACATGGTTGTGGTTATGATCTATATTAATTGAAATGCTAATTAATTTGTCATGTACATTTATCTTTTGACTTTCAAATGAAATGTAATTTCTCAAGTATGCTCCGACGTGGTGCATGCACTAATTATCTTATGCAATATGCATTCCATATTTTTAATAACTGTACTGGGTTAGCTGTACAGAGTACAGACAACTCCGAGCAAACTTATGCTAGGTTTGGGTAGCATATGCTATATTGTAGTTTCTAATACATGGATTTTTAATTTGAAACACGAGCGTGTGCGTGTGTGTCTCTGTGTGTGTGTGGATTAGGCTCTAAATACAATATTGAAAAAAATGGTAGAATCATATGATGAAATCCTTGTTTGTCTCAAACACGACAAAGGAACAAATATGACTTTACCTTTTGTCTTAATATGGTATCAGGAGCCTAATCCAAATCTCTTCCTTCTTGTAGTACCCAATGTCCATCAATGCAAAATTTTTCACACAAATCTTGTCTCATTCTGATTTTCGGCTATCTCCAAGTCTACCATTGTCATCTTCTTGACTAGCGTCCCCACTCTTAGAGTCAAGCTGACAAGTCAACACTTGATCCCTTTGAATCATGCCCATTAGAGCTTTGATGTGCTCTCATGCACATCCTACACCTAACATGCATTCTTTCCTCCACCATCACTAGCCATTGCATGTGACAAAGGTAGAGAATGATTGTTTTAATTAACCGACTCACCTTCAACAATTGGAGGAGTGTCAAACTAGCTTTCAAAAATTGAAACTACTAGTGCATAATCTTGCAGTCATCCTTTTAGAATTGCATAAACATGTTCTTCCTGTGTGCACTACCATTGTGCTCATCAACAATGTTCTTGATCTAAGTCAAGAACTCAAAAATCATTTTTTTTCCAGGGAGGCAACACGGAAGATCAATACGAAGTTGATGAGCATGCACCTTTGTCTGCATGTGAAAGTACTGGTGAATTTTATCCCATACTTTCCAAGTTTCATACTTGGGATTGACATTATCAGCGACACACCCACTGAAGCTTGTGTGGTGAAGATAATTCAAATCATCATGTTTCTCAGCGACAAAATTTGGAAAAGATTGAGGTGCATAAGGGGCAGGATTCGAGTTAGGCACAAGAGAAGAAGAGGAATAAATAAATTCCAAGGATGGTCAAGGTTTACCTTGAGAATCAGTGGCTCTAATATAATTTTAGAGAGGAAGAATTAAATTGACAATGGAGTTTTTCATTTTATTCAATCCATTGAAAACAGAATACTGAGGGAGCATTTATAGTACTGCCCTCATTGGTACAACTATACAAAGGCTGATAACAGACTAACAAACTATTACCATTGGCAAAACAAACTAAAAGAATATTTTGTTTTATAACAGAATGAAAATGTAATGTGTTTCATATTATACTGTAGGAGGTTGTAATGTAATTTCCTAATTATTGATTAGTCCATAATTTTTTGTGTCAATGCTGTTTTGTTTGTTTGGATACAGAAACAAGACGAATCTCTTCTAGAAGATGTGTGGACTTTATTAAGGGCTGGAAGACTAGAAGAGGCTTGCGGACTTTGCCGGACTGCTGGACAGGTGACCATAACTTGACCTTGATAAGTTTATGGATTTCATTGGTCTATGCTTCCCATATTAACATCTTGTTATTTTGGTAGCCATGGAGAGCTTCTTCTCTTAACCCATTTGGTGGCATGAACCAGTTTCCTTCTGTTGAAGCTTTGGTCAAGAATGGTAAAAATAGAACTTTGCAAGCTGTTGAATTTGAAAGTGGCATTGGTCATCAGTGGCATCTTTGGAAATGGGCTTCATATTGTGCATCAGAGGTAGGGTTCTATGTTTACACTGATTGAACAAATTTCTGTGTTGTTTTATTGATGTTCATGCTACCTGCGTACTGACACCTTCCTCCCCAGATTTTCACTTAAAAAATGCCACATGTGCTTTGTTAGGAAAAGCTTGTATATAACTGAATAGGTCTTCCTAAAAATTTATTAGTGTTAGATATTGTTTAGATATGGTTTAGATATTGTTCGATATTGTTAGATATTGTTAGTCATAATATCAAACAATATCTTCTGTTTATTCTGTTTACATTCGGTTATTCTTTTAGTTCTCTTTATTATAAATAGATTACCCTATGTGTGGTTTATACACAAGGAAGATTAATCTCAAACCCTATTTCCTTTATATTCAACATGATATCTAGAGCTTAAGGTTATTTTGAAATTTTTTCGCCTTTGTCCATTATTGGAGCCGCCACCGCCGTCGTCGTCGGTTAAACTGATCTTCCACATCAGAAAAAAGTTACTTTTGTTACTGGATATTAGTTGGTAGTGTGAAAGTGCATGTCTAGGAAAGTTCATTAGTGACTCACCTTTCTTTCCTGGGAACTTACCTGGTGTACTGATTCACGCCGTTGTCGCCGCCACTGCCAGAGCCGCCGTCAGAGTTTCATTTTTGACCGACAACATACAGTTTTGCTCGTCTTGGTCAGGCCACCATCGTGCCATTGAAATCACCATTATCGGAGTTGGTCGTCCGATGTCTTCTATGTCGTTTAGTCTCGACGAACTTGTTTTGGTCTTCTCGTTTTGGATTTGTGCTTCGTGGGTTGATTGGATTACTTTGGATTTTTTTTAGAATTTGTTCTCCCGCCCTTTATGACTTCTTGCACTCCTTCTACTACTTCCAATTCTGATAATGATTATTCTGCGTTGGCATCTCATTGTGATGACCGGCCTCACCCTCGCAAACAGGGAAAATGACGTCCTAGGTGTGAACATTGTGGCAAGCTAGGTCACAAGATTAACAAGAGTTATGCATTGCATGGTCGTCCTCCTTGATCTGCTGCAGTTGTTCAGACTGATCTTTCCCCACCTTTGTCTGCTGTGGATCCTCCCTCTTCTGTTGCATTTGACACATCTACTATGTTCAACAAATTTCTCAAATGATATAAAGATCAACAGTCTTCTAGTTCCACTACATCTGTTGTACACACAGACACATATTTTGCTGGTCTGACCCAATCCTCTTCTCCTAGTCCTTGGGTTTTTGATTCAGGAGCCACTGATCGTATTATTGGTAACAAATCTTTGTTCTCCTCTTTATCCTTTCCTAATCCTATACCTTCTGTTACACTGGCTGATGGCTCTAGAGTATCATCTCATGGTGTTAGAACTGTTAAACTTTTCCTTCTTTAACCATTGATAATGTTCTTTATGTCCTTGGATCTCCTTTTAACCTGTTGTCCATTAGTCGTCTAACTCGTTCTTTTGATTGTATTGTTTCTTTTACCAATAATTTTGTGTGTTTACAGGACCGAAGTTCGAAACAGGTGATTGACACATGATGTGAGTCTCATGGTTTTTATCATCTCTGTCCCTCTACACATGTTGGTGCAATTATGGAGTTTCCCTCTTTTCTTCATGCTTAGTTAGGTCAACCAAGTCTTGCCAAGTTACAGAAGCTTGTCCCTGCCTTGTCCAACTTGTTTAGTTTGGCGTGTGAGTCGTGTCAATTAGGCAAACATAGTCGTACTTCCTTTCCTCGTAGTATCACGTGGTGTTTTGTCCCCTTTTGCCGTGGTTCACTCTGACATTTGGGGACCTAGTTGCGTTAAGTCTATTTTAGGTTTTCAATACTTTGTTATTTTCATTGATGATTATTTCAGATGCACTTGGTTATTTTTGATGAAAAATCGTTTTGAATTATTTAATATCTTTCAAACTTTTTTTAATGAAATTCAAACTCAGTTCGGTATTTCTATTAGAGTTTTGCGCAGTGATAATGACCGTGAATATCTTTCTTATTCTTTTAAACAATTCATGGCTTCTCATGGTATTTTGCATCAAACTTCTTATGTTTATACACCTCAACAAAATAGTGTAGTTGAACCTAAAAATAGACATCTTATTGAAATAACTCACACTCATTTAATTCATGGAGAGGTTCTTCAACATTTTTGGGGTGATGCTCTTCTTACTGCATGTTATCTCGTTAATCACATGTCTTCTTCGGTTTTAGATAATAAAATACCTCATTCCATTTTATTCCCTCATGAACAACTTTATCCTTTACCTCTAAGAGTTTTTGGGTCTACATGTTTTGTTCATAATTTTAGTTCTGGTCTTGACAAACTTTCTCCTAGATCACATAAATGTGTTTTCTTAGGGCTTAGAGAGTTACAATTTGGAGATGTCACTCAAATGAAACTTGTGTATGACAATCAGATTGCTCTTCATATTAGCTCTAATCCTGTCTTTTATGAGAGGACCAAACACGAGATTAACTGTCATTTTATTCGAAAAAAGACTATGTCTGGAGACATCAAGACTGAGTTTGTTAACTCAAGTGATCAGTTAGGAGATATTTTTACTAAGTCTTTACGGAGGCCTAGAATTGATTATATTTGTAACAAGTTTGACACATACGATTTGTATGATCCAGCTTGAGGGGAAGGGTTAGATATTGTTTGATATTGTTAACCATAATATCAAACAATATCTTCTATTTATTTTGTTTATATTCGATTACTCTTTTAGTTGTACCTCTCTTATTGTAAATAGATTACCTTATGTGTGGTTTATACACAAGGGAGATTAATCTCAAATCCTATTTCCTTTATTTTCAACAATGACCTGAATGGAATTTCATGATGTCATAGGCCTGATTTATAATCTGATAATTTTAATGATATATATATATATATATATATATATATATATATATATATATATATATATATATATATATATATATATATATATATATAGAGAGAGAGAGAGAGAGAGAGAGAGAGAGAGAGAGAGATGTATATCATTTGATGTAACTTTATGTAAGGTATTGTACTGTATGGGATGATATGATAATATTGTATTATGTTTAGGATGCATTATATAAACATTAGGCTGGACAATAATTATTTTTTGATACAAATATTATTAATTTTTTATTGAAAGGCAAAATACTTTTTACCCAAACTATACTAATCGATTTTTGTTATTTTTCTCAGAAATAGATTATGAACATTCAACAAATGGGCTTAAGCCAGTCTTACCCTTAGGACTTGTTTCTAAAAATAATAATATAATTTAAAAAATTGAAAAATATAAATATATAATAAATCACTACATCGAAAAATTAAAGTTAATTTCATTTATGTGACTTCAATTTTAAAATAATAAGTATTTTATTTAATTATTTAAAGTTTAGTATTATTCTTTTAACTTTTTAAATTTCCTTTAAATCGGGCAAAAATGATCTATTGATTTGATATAAGTTGGGCTATAACATGGGCTTGACTGACACGGTTTTTTACATGGTCAGGTGCTAGGCCTAACACGGTTGCCATTTTACCAGCTCTATAAGTGCCCGCAATTTTATTTTAAAATAATCTTCTTCACTTTTTTTATGAGCTATATATTGTAAAAATGTTCATTTTCAATAATGTTTAATAAATTTTTTATTAAAATTAAATTCTTTTGTTTTAAAAGAATTAAAATGAACTATTATTTAAACTAAATTAATGTTTTTAGTATTCTAATTTGTTATTGTAATGTTTTTATCCAAGCTTATGGATAATGCTTGCAACACATTCTTTCAAATGTGTTATTATTATTATTTTAAATTTGTTGCGGCCAATGTGGTCAATTAATAAATTTAAGTTACTAATGTGTATTGGGAACAATGTGTTGCTCTCAATACTAATTCTTCAAAATTTAATCAAGTCTTACGCTTATGCAACCCATCAAGTTAATCCATCGTTATAGGAGGGGACTTAATGGATAAACTACATAACATAGTGACTGTGCCAAATTACTGATAAAGTCATAATGTGTTATATATTATATTAGCTTATCGAATCATGCTCAATATGATGAGCTAAACAAGCCATAAATACTTGATTTTTTTAGGAATAAAAGGAAATACAAGAGGATAAGATATCTTCAAAATAAACTTTTTTCCCTCCCTTTTCTCACCATTTTTTTTTCTTTCAATTTTTTAGATTTTAGGATTTACCTGTTGAAGTTTTCTCATTGTTATGACATTTTCAAAACTATTTTTAATTCAAAGAAAATGAAACTCTTATTTGCACTTTTGTTTTTCAGAAAATAGCAGAGCAAGGTGGGAAATGTGAAGCAGCTGTATATGCGGCCCAGTGTAGCAACCTAAAACGGATGCTTCCACTCTGCAATGACTGGGAGGTCTCTCTCTCTTTCTCTTATAATTGTTACGGAAGTTTTTTGCTCCTTCATCAATACATATTGAGAATATGCATTCTAGTTGCATACTGACTTGCAAAGGCACCATCACAAGACTGAAAACAAGCAATTGAGGTGTTTTCATGGAAATTATTATTGTTTCATTTTTTAACTCAATAATTAAATAGAATGGTTTTCCATCTCGGTAAACCACTTTGAATTTCAAGCTGTCTCAGGTTAATTCTTTTAAGCCAAGTATGGAGCTTAATTGAATTGATAATAATGTCATGTTGAAGGTATACTGGCCACGCAAGGCTCCTTCCCTGGTTTGTGTTTTTTTATTGATGCTTTTACAGAATTGATTCCTCATCTTTTCTGACATTGCTCTGTCCTATCTATTTTTGGAATACATTGTTCAGTCTTTTTGTTGAATGCTGAGTTAAATTAGACTAATTTTTGGTGATTAATTTTATGATTTTGTTAGAAGTAAAGAGACTGGATTTTTGTAGCAATATGCAATCTATGCTACTACTTGTTACAGTTGGGTTGATTGCAATGCAAGTAGTTTTAAGGAGGTTTCTTTGGCCCAGCATCTGAATTGGGATAAATATGTCTATATGGTAGAGATAATTAATTCTTGAATGATAGATTCTAATGAGTCAACTCACTAACTTGAATAAGTTTGGGAGTCTAGTGAGTGGCCACGAATTAAGCCGTGAGTAGACCCGTGTTTTAGCATTCTTGTGTAGACTTGGAGCAAGTTCGGTCAAACTCAAGTTGACTCATGGGTTTAACATTGACTCACGAGTTCAACGGAGGGGACAACTTACATGAAACATGTCATTGTGTTGCGTTTTGACTGTGAGTAGGGTTTCTTCTTCCCCCATTTCATTGCATCCTTCATCATTTCTCTCCTCTCCGATTCAAACTCATCTTTGTCAAACATGTCATTGAGCTCATCTATGTATGATGCCTTCTGCTTGTCTCTCTCTCCTTTGTGTGCTAGTGTTCTATTTGTCTCAGTCCTTTAAGTGACGCAAATAGACATCTTAGGACACTCTATGATGCGTCTCATCGTCTCCTTCAAGCATGCAACTTGTCTCCTCCCCTGATTGATTTAGTTTCTCATCATCTTCATCTGTCGGTGCACTGCTTGGTTCTCTTCTTTATTCTCGTTATTTTCTTTCTATTTTTTTTGTAGTTATTTGGTTCTCTTAACATTCATTCTCTCTTCCTATTTTCTTTCTTAATTTTTTTTACTTTTTATTTTTTTTTATGCTGTTTTTAGTTGTTTCTCCTTTAAGGGATTAGGAATTTTTATTCTTTGCTTTTATTTTCTTTTTCCTGAATTAGTTGTTGAAATTATGAAATGCAGTGAGTCTGTTTCATACATTTCCTACATAAATATAGCTGCAGAATCAATCCATAAAGTAAAAATGCTACAGAAGAAATATGGAGTAGATATTTTGGATAGTGAAAAAAAAAATTAAATACAATTATTACTCAAAGATGCTTAGCGGAGGAATTTTCATATTGGTTGGAGGAGATATATAAATCTGAAGACATTTGTTTATTAGTTATTTAATTATTATCTTATATTTTGTTATATTTATTTTAGTGTACGTGTAGCCTTAATTTATTGTTTACTATTTTGCATAATTATAGTCTTAAAATATTGAATTCATTTGTTATTTTTCATATGAAGTAGATTCTTATGGGTCCACGAGTCGAGTTTGTGGAGCTTTAAGTCTATGTAGACTCTTAAGTATGATAACCTTTGTATCACTCCTTTGTGAATCTGAAGAACTGTTATGTTTATTAGTTTTTTCATCCAACTATCAATTTTGGAAACCTTATTTACAGTGTAACACCTAATATTTGCAGTCAGCATGCTGGGCAATGGCAAAGTCTTGGCTAGATGTGCAGGTGGACTTGGAAATCACTCACTCACTGCCAGGGGGAGTTGATCAACTTAGAACCTTTGGAGATGTAATTGATGGAAGCCCTGGACATGCTGATGGTTCCCTTGAGCCTTCTAATGGACCTGAGAATTGGCCAATTCAAGTTTTGAATCAGCAGCCTCGACAGCTCTCTTCTCTTCTACAAAAACTTCATTCAGGGTAGTTGTGCAATTCTTTTCACATTTTCTGTTTTTGTTATGGTTGTTATATATTACAAATCTGTTCCCTTTCCATTTTAGGGAAATGATCCATGAAGCAGTTACTCGACAATGCAAGGAGCAACAACGACAAATTCAGGTACTTTTTAAGAAATGTATGGTTCCTGTGTTTTTTTTTTGTCATTTTTTAAACTGTTTCATATTCAAACATAGCATTTCAGCTATCACAAGAAAAGGAATAAGGGGAATACAAACTTGGGATTTTTAGTTCCAACTATATGTAAATATGTAGCTGCCCATTATAAGACAGAGCCTTTAACTTATGAAGGACAATCTTTAGCTTTTTTTTCAATGTTAATTTTCTTACAGAAATGAAACTAATGGTGCAACCACTTTGGTGTGGTTAACTTCCTATATATTTTCTCTTTACTGATGTCCTAAGGTGTATATGATCTCACAGATGACTTTGATGCTAGGGGACATACCACGTGTACTAGACCTTATATGGTCATGGATAGCACCTACTGAAGATAATCAGAATGTATTTAGGTAAAGTGTCGTTAAGCTTTTAGAAGTTTTTATATGAAACAAATTTTAGAAGTCTTTTCTGATTGCTTTCCAAATGGGTCCTGCATGTCACATTTAGAGACGTGCATGACAGTAAATCATTTTTATATTAGTATTGCTGTAACATTAACATGTAGGATTACTTTGAGCTTGTAATAGAATAATGGATATATTATAGAAAATATTAAATTTTAGGGTAAGTATTGAGTTTTATAGGTATGACTCACATGAATGAAAATTTTAATTTCACCGTCTTATGATATCTTAGTATTATTAAGTGTCTAGAAAATTTATTAAAGGAAGAAGAGAGTTTTAGGAATGCGATGATGGAAATAGTTTTATTGATTTGGCGATAAGGTATTATAACCAAGTATTTATTATTTATTTATTTTGGCATTTGTTTGGATTGTTTGGTTGGAGTATGAGATGTATTCTTTCCATTTTCTTCGGGCTAGGGTTTACGAGATGTATGAATGGGAACATTTGTTGTATTGATACGGTCTTTGTGTTTTCTATGTGTTTTGCTTGATTTCAGTATGTTAACCTTTATCTTGGTACTATCTGCTTCTCTAACTTCCAAAATTTTCCTCTTTAAAAAACAAATGAAGGGATAATGGGGTTCAATATTCTTCAAATTGAAGAATAGATACTGTGAAACCCTTATGTCCTTTGGTCATCTATATACTAGGGGAATTCTGAAAAAAAAAAAAAATTCTAGAGTAATGGTGATGGAGACCTTTTTGGACTCAAGAAAAGGGTAGATCTATCCATTCAAGCTTCAATACTCAAGAGACACTTTCTTGGACTTGCGCATTGTGCCAATATTGATTTGATGTAGAACCAAAGAGGTTTCGGCTTGGGTAGGCTATTGAAGGGTTAGTGTTGGCTAGGACAAGGTTAGGACAAGTTACTTGAAGGTTTTGTCATGAACCAAGGAAGTTTGTGTGGAAGCTTGGGAGAGAAGTCAACTATGAGGTTTGTGTTCCAGGAGCTCATTTGGATTGGTTTATGGTGCCTTGGCTTTGTATTTGGTGGGTTGAAGGTTTGCTTGGTGTTAGGTTATCTTGGGCATGGTAGCTTCTTGTAGAAGATATCACTAGAAGTAACATACTACCTAACAATTTTTAACTTTAAATGTTATCTTATATGATGGAGGTCCCTATTAATCAATAATGAATTATTTTCCTTCTATCTTTGTCAAGAGTTCTAATAATTGGTATCAGAGTTGGTTGTCGGTGTCTCAAAAAGGACTACCTACAAAGGGTTCTAGCCAATGGGGAGTTAAGTGAAGTATAATAGAGTGAAAGTTGCTGAGACTTTGGCTTATAGGGATGGTGCTATGATTGGAACTTTGGTATTAGGGAGTGCCTATGTCTCACATCTAGTAGTATGAGATGCTCAAAGAAGTATTTAAATAGTTGGTTCATTCCCCATAATAGCTAACATTTTTGGGTGCTTATTAATGTCAAATCACAACCATATACAGTTAATTGATCGTGAAAATCCATATTAATGGAGATAGAAAAGAAAAATAGGAGATTCAATATTCAAGCAGCAAGGAAGATGTGAATATAATGATCAGGATAGGATGAGAATGAATGATATAACCAGCCCACACACATGGCAGGTGTGTAGGAAGTGTAAGGAAGGAATGGAGGGAATTGGGTAAGTTTTGGGAAGGGAGGCTAGCAGACCCTTGAAGGGCTGCTGCTTTATCTTTCTAATCTTTTCAGTTTGGTCAGTTGGTATACTTGTTCAGACTTCTGCTTAGTTGATATCCTTATATCATCTATGAAAGAGAGCAGTGTATTTCAGGTTTCCCTAAACAAGTTGACCTGTTTAGTTTCCTTTCAGAATATACCTTCCAGCTTGTAGGATTGAGTTGATCAAAATTCTTTGTGCTTTCTCACAGGCCTTGTGGAGATCCTCAAATGATACGATTTGGTGCACATCTGGTCCTAGTGCTCAGATATTTACTTGCTGAGGAAATGAAGGACAACTTCAAGGACAAGATTATGAGTGTTGGTGATAATATTTTGCACTTGTAAGTAATTTTGTATGAAGTTGTTTACACTGTTTTCTTTAATAATATTAGAGGGAAAATGACCACACTCTATTCTGAGATTATGTTAGCTTTCCTGCTTGTTGCATGACTTCCTAGTCTGTGACTGTTAACATAATTTTTAAGTATATAATGGAAGCAGAAAAACATTGTGTTGAATGAAAATTTGCTTTGCTATATTCATTTTGTTGCATCGGAAAAACATTAGGTATGCCCTATTTCTCTTTTCAAAGGAGCATGAGGAATTGGTGGGCATATATGCTTCTCAGCTTGCATGTCACCGTTGCATTGATCTCTTTGTGCACATGATGGAGCTTAGGCTAGACAACAGGTAATATGGACTCTTTCCTTGTTATTTGGATGTATTTTCTTCTTGGAATCACAATGTCTTGTCAAAATTTTAACTTTATTTTTTTATTGATGTGGTTGTAATCTCTGTTTTTGTTGTGTGATTATTGACAATTCTCTCAAGTGAACTACTTTGCTGCAAATTAAGATTATATTCTGTCAGAGGATCATTTGTAATATAACATGAAAGTTCATGACTGGCAAGTATGGACATTGATGATTTTGGACATCACATTTATCTATTTTCTTAAACAATTTTAGACAAAGGGTTCATTACAAGGAAAATAAGAACAGAGAATGAGGGTTCAAGATATCTTTCTAAAGTAAAAAAAAGGTAACAATGAAGAGCATTTAGTCAAAAAAGTAAATCAGTCCCTTTTCATAATACTTAGACGTAACCACTTAAATAAGTCTATAAGTTGTAACCTTGAGTGGACTATGAAACAAGCCTGCAAATAAAAAAGGTAAATGGAAAAAGTGCTCTGTGTGAACATGACACCGTCCATATACACCAAACACTATCCATCAATTGTGCCTGTAAAATGTTTGTAATTCTAATATTCTATTAAGACAGAAAGTTAACGTGCTTGGAAGAATCAAGGGGTGACTAAGTAGTTAGTCTTGGCAGTTAGAATTAGAATAGTTAGTTACCTAGATGGTATTAGCTAGATAAACAAATAGGGGGGAAACTGGGAGGGGGATTATTCAGCAATTGTGTTTTAAGAGAACTGAGCAAGCGAGCAATTATCTAGGGCGGATCTTTCATATTAGAGCAAGGATCTTTCTCCTTTTTGTGTTCATTTAAGCATTAAAATTGTCCCCCCTCCCCCCCCCCCCCATTTCCTCGTTGGTTCCTAACAATTATGATGTATATTTTAATTAAACAGTGTACATGTAAAATACAAGATATTCCTTTCTGCTATGGAATATTTACCATTTTCTTCTCTGGATGATTCCAAGGGTAATTTTGAAGACATTATTGAGAGGTATATAAGCTGTTGATTTCGAATCTAAATCTTTTATGTACATAAGAAGCTATTTCTTTTCATAATAAATTCATTTGGAACAGAATTTTGTTGAGATCCCGAGAGATTAAGGTGGGCAAATACGATAACCTGTCAGATGTTGCAGAACAGCACAGACTACAGAGTCTTCAAAAAGCTAAAGTCATCCAGTGGCTTTGCTTTACACCACCATCAACAATTACTAATGTCAAAGATGTCAGTAAAAGGCTTCTTCTTCGAGCACTGGTTCATAGGTAAATAATGCATCCTACTTAATGCCCCATCATCATGAGATTTTTCTGATAAACTGAACTTGTGAAAGTTAAGCAATTGAAAGTAGTGAAACCTGGGAATGATGTTTGACCTTTCGCCCCAATTATTGTACAGATATTTGCAACATCTTGTGCCTATTCTTATTTAACACTTGAATTCACCCAGTGGGAAAGAAGCTTTTGTTGGAATATTATTATTTGAATTTCCTAGGTTTTAATAAAAACCTGATCTTTCCAGTTCTCGTGTTGGCTGTTGTTGTACAAAACTTTTACATTATATAGAATTTTTAATCCATCCCTGCATTATTTGCTCTTGCAGTTTAATTTTGCCCCTCATTCTGAATTTTTTAACCCTTTCCCCCCTTTGTAGCAACATACTCTTCAGGGAGTTTGCTTTGATTTCTATGTGGAGAGTACCAGCAATGCCTGTAGGTGCCCACACAGTACTTGGTTTTCTTGCCGAACCCTTAAAACAGCTTGCCGAAACTCTTGAGACCTCGGAGGATTATAATGTTTATGAGGATCTGAGGGAGTTCCAAGATTGGGTACACCGAACTAAACTTTCCTAATTCAGTTTTAGAACCTCAATCCCATAATTTCTGGCTTGACTGTAGTACCTTACATTTATATTTGTCCTGCATTTAACTAGCGTGAGTATTACTCCTGTGATGCAACCTACCGCAATTGGTTAAAAATTGAAGTGGAGAGTGCAGAGGTTCCTGTCACTGAATTGTCACTAGAGGAAAAGGAAAGGTCCATTTCAGCTGCCAAGGAAACACTTAATGCATCCCTTTCACTTCTACAAAGTGAGTCAGTTCATTACCTAGTTCAAAAATATAATGTTCTCACAATATATTGACTGAGAAGCTTCTGTTCATGTTTCAAAATTAAGTAGATCATTGACATTTTAATCGACTTGTAATTCTCCTTTATGTAGGAAAAGAAACACCTTGGTTGGTTTCGACAGATCATATGTATGAATCAGCTGAACCTGTTTTCCTTGAACTTCATGCAACAGCAATGCTCTGCCTGCCATCTGGAGAGTGTTTGTGTCCAGATGCTACTGTTTGTACTACACTGACGAGTGCTCTATACTCTTCAGCTGGTGATGAGGTTGTCTTAAATAGACAACTAATGGTATGTTTTTCCAAACATTGACAGCTTAAGGCAGCAAATATACTGATGTTTCTTAAAGTATTTATTCCTGTTTGAATGGCTATAAAACTTTATTCTATGTATTCTTGCCCATCTGAATTTTATGCATGATGTGTATTCCTAATGATGTTTGTTAACTGATCTGGGAGCTATTTCAAAAGATAAACGTCTTTTTCTGGTAATCTTTAAATAGGTACATATATATACGATTTAAAATCTAATGAGCCACAATAATTTCAAAATCTCTTCCATCAAAGTCCTTTGTTCCAGTCTATTCTTCAGTCTTTGATTTTTTTTTGGACATATAGGGATCTAATTATAGAGGTTTTAAACTAGAGGGACCTATTTAAAAGCTTCCAAACAGTGCAAGTACTTGTAGATTAACTAGAGTAATTGCCAATTGCATATATTGACAGATACTAAAATTACATTGAGCAACTTCCGTTTATTTTGATTAGTGAAACTCCCTTTTCTTGAGACATAGTATGTACACTATTTTAGTCTATTAATATGTGCTACACTTTAGTCCATATTTGTTACTGGGCTTTTTCGCCTTCTGTTGCCACTAACTTTAATAGGTCCTTAGATTGGTTTGTCTTATCTGTTATATCACTCTGTTCACTGCCATCCTTAGACTGCTTTATACCATTTATAATGTGCTCAGATCTAATGTATTGACTAGTTTTCTCTCTTCATTCAGTTTGACATCTTTGGCTTTGCTTAGTATTCTTGTTGTTCGTTCACATTGATTTGTCATAATTTTTGGTTACTATATGGATCTTTTCGTTCTAATGTTAGCATATCATTGAGAAGAAAGATGGGAAGAGTTAGTTCCCCTATCCTACACGGATACAATCTGGTCCATATCTTTGCTATATATGCAGTTTGGCCTTTGTGGCTCTAGTTCCAGACTCTAATGTGGGTTTGGGCCTTGTAAAAAGGGAAGGCCAGAAGATGTCACCTGTGAGTGGGTGTCACCGGAAAAGGGTAGCATCAATCTGGAGTGTGCATGTGAACGTTCCATGCCTGAGAGAGAGCTCACATGGGGTGTGTGAGGTGGCTTTGAAACTGTGTGACAGTGGTTGGGGGTGGGTGCTTGTGAAAGGTGGCCAGAGAGCTGTCAAACAATGACAGAGGGATGTGTGGTACTGTTCACCTACAAAGAGAAGATGAGAGGATTGGATCGTGATCTTTTGATACCATGTTAAAAGCGATTACATGAATTGTGTTATTGCTACACATTCAATATTTATAATCCAAGGAAAATAAGGAATACACGGAAATCTGAAAAATATGCAAATTACAAGTTTTCCTATTTACAAATATTGAATAAGATTTATTAGAGGCCTCTACCCCTCAAAACTGATGTGTTCTAGATTTATTCCCATCTTTTTTTTTTTTTTTTTGGGGGGGGGGGGAGGGGGGTTCTTTATCTACTCACCAATGGTCAAACCTATTGCTACATGTATGCTTTTAAATGACCATATCATTTTGATGATTTCTGTCTATTTCTTTAATCTCTGCGCATATTTAAGTCCATCTTCCAATTAACTCCTTAATCCTTACATGAAAAGAAAGAAGTTCATCAAAGATGAGGAGCAGGATTTTCTGTAAATTAAAAGTAAAAGCTTGTTTCAAGAGGAGAGAAAAAATTACTGAAGCGCAAATAATTCAATTCAAAGATTTGCTTAGGTAAAAAATGAAATTTTACTTAATATGTGTCTAATTGGTTAATGGTTTACCTTGCGATGATAATTGTTATATGGACTGGCTTTGCCAAGCTTCCTTTTTTATGCATTGCTCTCTTGAATAACTATTATATTGACCGGCTTTGCCAAGTTTACGATCTATTACTTTTGCAGGTGAATGTTTCCATATCTTCAAGGGACAGTCATTGCATTGATGTTGTTCTTCGTTGCTTAGCAATTGCTGGTGATGGACTTGAACCGCATGAGCTCAATGATGGTGGTATTCTTGGCACCATCCTGGCTTCTGGTTTTAAAGGTATCAATATTATTAAATAATTGCTAGCTTTCAATAACTACAAGGTGTCACCCTATCATTAAAATCCCTCCCTTCTCTTGCAATCAGACAGTGCATTGAGGGAGTTTTCCAAATAAATGTGCGAAGACATTTAGGGTGTGCTGTTGTTATCTTAAAGTTGAGTTAATGCTTTGCGATTTCTCATTTTTTAATACTTTTTTATTCACTTTGTTCTTTCTTAATTGTCATTGTTGTCCACAAATTTAGAAGTTTAATTAATATCCTTTTTATAGTAAATTCTTTTTAATTTCCTAATATGTCTATTTTAATTAATGTCATATCTCTTATTAACTATGGCTATTATTGGTGCATTGAAATTGAAATATTCAAAGCATGTGCGATTATAAATACTTAATGATAGGTCACTAGTGGCTTATATTTGGTCTGGTTTTTATTTTGGATTTGTCTATAATTTATTGTTTGTTTTTATGATAATGATGTAATGGAGTATACGTGAAACAGTATATAAAGGGATTATTGTTTGCTAAGTCGTATCTGTTATAGGAAATTACAAAAGCTGCTTCTAATCTCTGTACAATAAATACTTGAACACTCTGTTGAGAGATTCTGAAATAAAATTATAGAAAATTTTCTTCTCTTTCAATTCTCAGTTTCTCTGAATTATAGAACCATTTCATGACCTGTTATTGAAGCTTTTATCAAGAGTGAGTCCATAACGTGGTGGTATTGAAGCCTTCTTGTTGAACAGATCAAGTAACTTGGCTGTTACTTCCATTTTTCATTGTTGAATTAGTTCACAAAGGATGGTAGCTGCCATGCTGGGTCCTTGTTTTTTCTTCATGTTCCAAGCCTAAGAAGCACCATGAAGGGATTTGTAAGAGCGTAGTTCTTATAACACATTTTCACTTTAAAGGGATTTGTTCTAATGGATAGTTTTTATAAGCACTCATATTTTTATAATTTTTTTATTTACATTTCACATGATGGTAAATTTATAGCAGAGTTTAAATTTTTATTAAGATAAATTTATAAAACTAGTTTCTTTTAAAAAAATGTTAAGATCAAATTAAAACTAAACTAATATACATAAATTAAAATATAAACAAATATTATATATCATTATTATAACATTGTTATTATTTTTGTAAACAAAATAAAAATAAAGAATTCTTGAATTTATTTATTTTTAATAAAATGTAATTTGAGAGGTTGTTTGTAGAAAAAAAGTTGCTAACATTTTAGGAATTCTCATTGTTAGGTAGATTAACTCCAATATAGTTGCTTAGAAAATACAAATACTTTTTCCTAAGCAACGATTTAATCACTCTGTACTGAAGATATTCTAAAAAATATAAAAACCATTCTTGGTATAAATTGCCTAAACACCTAAGGGCTTAAAGCTTTTGGGATTATTCGGTCACTGAGAAAACTTTCATATAGGAGTGTTTTCTGATTTGGAATTTTTGGTTATTAGACTATTATTATTATATTTGTTTCGTCCATGGAATATAATACCAGGTCAGAGACCTGTGACAAATGGGTAGAAGATCCTGTGACTTTATTTCTTTATCACAGGTGAGCTTCCTCGGTTTCAAGCTGGAGTTACGATGGAAATATCCCGTTTGGATGCTTGGTATTCTGACAATGATGGCACCTTGGAGTGCCCGGCAACATACATCGTGAAAGGACTTTGTCGTAGGTGCTGCCTTCCGGAAGTTATTCTTCGTTGCATGCAAGTAAGTCAACAGATGGTATTGACAATATATATGTATACTTCTTTTGTGGATGTAAATCACTAAAAATAAAACTGAACTGTTAATAATTGTTTCCAATGCGAGTTCATTTAATCACTGAGGAGTAGTTAATCAAGTGGGTATCATTAATTACTTGGGTGGTCAATTGTATCTAAACAGAATATGTTCACAAAGATGTTTTTTTTTCCTTTGGAATTTTCAGAGATTTATTATGTTCAACTTCTGTCTTACCAACAGGTCTCTGTTTCTCTAATGGGATCGGGAGTCCTGCCTGATTGTCATGATACTTTGGTAGAGCTGGTTGGCAGTGTTGAAACTGACATTCTTCACTTGTTTAGTCAACAGCAATTACAGGCAAGATTATAATTTCACGTTTCTCAGTGAAACAATAGGCTCTATGTTTTGAACTTCATCCTCTGTCCATTAGTCTACTTTATGTTTGCGGGGAGTCAAGAGACCTAGCCGTATTCTTTTCATTATTGGCTTCAACGCACAGGAGTAATTGAGGAGACATAAATGGCATTCGAGCCTTTATTTTTATGTTGTTGAGACACCCAATTTAATACGAAAAATATGAAGAGAAAAAATGAAATTGACTTTTCTTTTAGTTAAATTTAATTTGGGCATAAAATAATTTGTAGAGTCTCTCATAATTTTTAAAAAATTTTATTTTTAATTTATGCATAAGCTAACTTTAACTTTTAAAATGATCATATTTTTGTCCTATAAAAGTGCTTATGAAGAAGTTCATCCAAAGATACTCATTGTCTTTTTCTCAATTTCATCACCAAGGTGTGATAAGTTGTTTAGAAATAACACAACATAACACCTAGTTTCTCATTCAGCTCAAGCTGTATCCAACTCATTGAGTTACTGGATTATATGTCATGAAAAATTTTAGATGGGTATGTTAGTTGCATATATAAAAATAGCACATACTTTTCAATATAGGCCTGACTGGATGTTTACATTTTCACTTGTAGGAGTTTTTATTGCTCGAGAGGGAATACTCAATCTGCAAAATGGAGATTACTAAAGAGTGATTATTGACCCTTTAACTGAGCATGATTCGGTGCTTCTTGGGGAGCTACAAATTTTGGAAGGATGAATTACCTTATAAACCTCTTACATTTTTTCTATTATGTAGTTATTAATTTGCTTTTGGAAGGAAGAACGAGGATGAAAGTGCCTGGTGCTTAGTGCACAAAGTGATCACTCGAGCCTGCTGTTATTGTATGCTTACGCCGTTTCCATTATATTACAGGTTCGTGAGACTTGGTCCAAAATGCAAAAAGTTATTTAACAAAGTGTATTGGGAATTTTACCCGTAATGTTAAACAGATCTCCTTGTATATAATTCTGTATTATTAAAATAATATATATATATATATATATATATATATATATATATATATATATATATATATATATTAGGAATATAAGTTTAGGCTTAACTCACTTATACATTATAAAATTAACTTTTTGCCCTTATTTATGTATTATAATTTGTTTAAATTTGTACTTAATATAAGATTACATATTTTCCTTTAAAGGTAACGCAAAATAAGTTAGGGTTGAACATTATTAAATGTGACACGTTTATATTTCACAATGTTTCACTCGAATAAATAATAAAATATGAAAATGAAAACAAAAAACATTACATATATTATTTTAAAAAATATTCATATAAAGAGAACTAAACGATGAGAAATATAATAATACTCTTCGATACCTAAACTAAAACGGGCTTAAAGGTTTTTAATAATAAAATTTTAAAATAGCTTCTCAACAAAAAATAAAAATAAACACAATAAAAATAAATAAAATCAATGTATAAATATACTCTAACAAAATGGGACTTTGAAAGAAATAATTTTCTTTTATTTCTATCCGTCTTAAAAATGATATTAGTCATATTGAATCTTTAATATTTATTTTTTGTTGGAGTTAAAACAAATGTCGCTTCTTGTGGTAATTTGAAATATTACCTCTAGACATCACTTAACTTCAGAAAATTAATTTTAAAGTGAAGTTTGTAGTTTGTGTATTATAATTAATTATATATCTAATTGATACGAGACTGGTAGTAATTATGTTATTTTTCAGGTCATATATATAAAAATATAAGAAATACGTTATCATGAATAGTGCATGATTCTCTAAATTAAAAAAATAAAAATTTAGTGAATTATTTTTATGTGGACAGAACAATTCAAATGTATATGTTGTGTTTGGTGTGTCCTCGTATTTTCTCGGTCAAGCGGATATGTCATCAATTGCCTTTGAATTAATAATCCATCTATTCCCATACCGTTTCCATCTTATACTAAACAATATCACAGGTAGTTTCCATGCAAAGGTTAAACTATCTATATACTAAATAAGAAGTTATTTACTATCATTAAAAAAAAAAAGTAATTCCTAAAATTACCCTATTTAAATTATGACTGTACATGAATCCATATATTCACATGATAAATAACTTTTTCAATAAATCAGAAAGCAATTGATATGTTTATTAACAGAATAAAATTCTTTATTACCACAAAGAAACATTAATTATCAAAATTTCAATTTATTAAAAGTAGTTAATAGATATGTTCATGAGAGATGTACAACTTCATTAATTACAAAATACTAAATATTTGGTGAGGTTAAGACATTCCAATCACTGAATCCCTAGTTCTTAAGACCCTTTTTACTTACCTTTTTATATTTCTTTATAGTTTATACTATAATTTAACTTCTTATACAAAATTTATATGTCATGCATTCTTTTTGCATCAAATTACTTACTTACTAGTAAGAGACAAACAGAATATTAAATAGTTTATTATTATTAATAATAATAATAGATTTCAATGTAATTTAAATATATGAACATTCACAAATAATCTTTTATCCGGATTGAACATGTACGCAGAAAATATCCTTGTTTTTAAAAGTATAAATTTAATATTATGAATGAAGTATAAATATAAAAAATAAATATATTCGAAAAGATCATGCTTTTTTTAGTTAAATATAAATATATTTAGAATAAATAATAATTATTTTAATAATATAACTAATTATTTAAATTTAGAATCAATCATACTTATAAATTTAACATGCAAAAATATATATTTTTAATTAATTAGTTACTATTTTTCTTTAAAGAAACGAAATTGTGTTTTACTCTTTGAAATTGTAAAACTTAATTTGATATCCTAGAAAAACATCATAAAATTTTAATATTTAATCTTAAATTAGAATTTAATTAACTAATCATTATTAATTAAAATTTTCATTTATATGTCAATTGAAAATGGATATATATATATATATATATATATATATATATATATATATATATATATATATTACATAATTATAAATTTAAAGTTGAATGTGTTAAGTCCCAAAATAAAATAATTTTATTTTTTCTTTATTTTATTATTTATTTTTTGTTGTTAGTCCTTACACTAAAATGATTTTTTTAATATAATTGTATCAAATCTCTTTTTTTATGTTATTTTCAAAGTTTTTTTTTTCTTTTTCTTTGACTAGTACCATAAGTTAAAGATTAAAGATAAAATTATTACATTTACTAATTTTTGACATTTGGTATGGAAATCATTAAAAAATACAATTAGATAAAATTCAAAATTTGAATAAGAGAAATCAGAATTTTTTTATATTTTACATAAATAAATTGTAAGGATTAGAAAATAGTTATAAATTAACTTAAATAAAAATTAAAGAGTATCACATGTACGAACATTTGATTGTAACAGTTCAAGGGTGGACAGAACACCCATATTTTAATCAATATTTCATATTTAAATTAAAATAAGAATAACTATAATTTAAAATATTATTCAATATCATATTATTACAATATATAAATATATTATACTATTATAATATAAATTATGAATATTATTAAATTAAATATAAATTATTAATTTTAATTGATAAATTAATATATAAATATAAATATTTTTTAATTTATCTAATAAAATATATTAATTAATAAATAACATCTTACAAAATATATTTTTAATTAAAATTTTATATTTTAAAAAATATATAATCTTTTTATATAAAACAATTGATTATAATTTTAAAAGATTAACCCATCTGTTTATAGTTTTGCATAGGCTAGAATATATGTTTGGGTCTAATATTAAACTTACAATTTTATATAAAAATTATCTAAAGTATATTATTTAACTTTTTTTATATTTATTTGTTATTTACTCTATATATATATAGAGAGAGAGAGAGATTTACTTATTTATTTAGTTATTTTAGTCGTGGTAAATGTGTTTTCGGGAGTCCAAAAGTGCAAACATGAAACTCAGCACAAATCAAAGGAACATTTGATGTTGTGTGCGACACTGCTTCTTCATCTCTTCTCTATATTTCTGTGTTGTGTTGAGTTCGAACCTTTTAACTCAGCACACCACTTTCGTCTCTCTCTCTCTCTCTCTTTCATTGTTTTCTGCTAATTTCTAGGGTTTTGTTTGTGCTTTACCAATACCTTCAAAATTGTGCTCCCTCACCATGGGGGTCTCCTTCAAGGTCTCCAAGACCGGCACTAGGTTTCGTCCCAAGTCAATTCCCCAACCGCAAGAAGGCGCATCCGACAATTCCAAGTCCCAGGTAAGATCATCAATGCGTATCACAATTCGATCCATGGTTCCTACAAATAACCTTGGATCTCTCTTGATTAATTCACCCGTTTGTATTTTCTTGTTACTTTTCTTGTTACGTGCATGTTGTTGCTGTTGGACATTGTTTTTAATCTTTTATGGTTGGGGTTCTATTATACAAGTTAAATTGACTAATAGTTCCTCACAACTTGGTGAACGGCAGTTTGAATTCCCTTTGGGAGAGGTATTTCTCCACACTTAATGTGCCTCATTCTACTGAATATTTTGTTCCGACATGGTGGATAAAATAGAAAAAAAAAAGATTAGTTTATTATCAAAACTTATTGAAGTTTCTGTCAGTGTTATTTCGTTTCATTGATAGTATTTACACACCAAAGTATTGAAGTAGGTGTGCTTGGGAATTAATGGGGAGGAGGTTAGATGTGAAAATCATTGTCTACTAACAAAAGTAAAGTCTTTTTGTTTTATTTGGATTTGTGATTTCTGGCTTTGGGAATGGCATCTAAGGTGATTGGGCTAATAATATATAAGGTTTGAATTAGTTGAGTTTTCTAGATTTAATAAGTTCAGTAGAGATTGGTAGATGTTTCTATTCTTTTAAAGGCAGTGTCCCTGTCGTTTGACTAACAAGTTCAGTTGAAGAATCAATGTAAACAATGGAAATTGTTAAATCTTTGGAATTTAAGTAGCTTTCTGATTTCTTTAAGTATCTTTATTTACACAGAGTGGTTTTGTTGAGGCTGGTGAACTCATTGCTAATATTCCTCAGTCATCTGCTCCAGCGGAAACTCTTTCATTAGCAGGTCAGCCATCAAAGTATATAGATCACTTGTGTATAATTCCAGAGTGTTCTGATGTTTACTTAGTTACTTGTGATGCAGAGGGGGAAGCTTCTTTCACATTGAACCTGTTTGCAGATGGTTATTCTATTGGAAAACCCTCTGAGGTTTGTTTAAAACATCAATTAATATTTTGCTATAGTTGAAGGAATGACAAAAATATTGAAGAATCTCAGAGTTTGACCTTTTATGGATTCTTATGAAGTTAACTACTTTGTGAATTTTCAGAATGAGGCAGCTAATCAGTCAAAATATCAAGATTTTCCTAAGTTGCTACATCCATATGATAGGTCATCTGAAAGTCTTTTCTTGGTAATTCTCTCAGAACCCTGTTCTTCCAGTTTTAAATTTTATTGTCTAAGGCTCACAATCATTGAGTGCGACAATGAACATTTTCTGCATATGTATAATAAGCATTTCTAGTCATTGAATGGGACATTCAACACTTTCTACATACGTAGAATATGCAACACTTTATATTTGTATCTGAATTCTCATGCTAGGCTTTCAAGATTCTTGGCTTGATTCAATCAATTTTCAAAGGCTTCATAATTGAGTTTCATAATTTGAGTTTAGTGCTAAGGTATTTGATATTTGTTTGATAGTTTTCACCTTCTTTACTCAGTACCTTAAAATTGTAAACATGACTATAAATCTTGATATTTGCTGAACCCAAAAAAACTATAATCGGATAGCACAAAGTGGGATGGCTGCTATCTCAAAATTTTCTTGTCATATATAATCTATACTATATGCTTAGTTACATATGTAATGCTAAAAAAATACTCAAAACTCAGCATATTCATAATTATTGATTAAAAAAGTCACTGGTAAGTAAATAGCAAAGAACAAAACTGAAGGAGATGCGGTGTCCAGCAAAGATGGGCTGAGAGAAGACATGTTGGGTTGGGTTGAGAAGACAAAGAGAGAACTGGGTTGCTGTGGAAATGAGAGGGGATTAGGGTTTTTCCTTTCGGATCTAACCAAGGCTAATGCCATTTTTACTCCAAAAAAGCCCCAAAACAATACTGGAGCAGGGCCCAATATGGGTTGTTGTTACCCATCATCATTACACCTCTATCATGCATTACACACCTGCAGTTTGGGCCACTATTCAGCTCCAACAACAAAAAAACAACATGAAGGAGTCTTTGTAGCTCCCTGCTACTGCTCCACTCTGTGAAGGCACTGTAGAATTGCTATTACGTGCTACTAATAATTCTGATTGGAAATAGAAATAGAACCAGACATTTTCTGTTGTCTGATCCCTTTCCTTGTGTAGCTTCGCATTCTGTGGCTTGTGCAAGGAATTACTTTTTTGTTTTGTTATCATTTTCCGTTTGTCTGTTTGTGTGAAGAGTGTCATGTACTTACCTTCTTTATTTTATGTTATGTGTTTGGAGGCCATTGAGTCAGGTCACTTGCCTGGGGATATTCTTGATGATATACCTGCCAAGTATGTTGATGGCGCACTGATATGTGAGGTGAGCCTTTTTTATTTTTTAGTGTGCTTTGCTTTTACAGTTAACATTTAGATTTCAGCTTACTTTCGTATGCAAATTTAGTGCGAATTTTCTCATGTGCTTTAGTTTGGTTAATTGGTTTTCAATGTCTACTGTTCAAATCAATATCTTGTCTTATACTTTTATCACTATTGATTGTGGACTATATAGAGTTTCTTATGTGTTCCGATTCAATATTTTTCCTCTTGGCATTTTCTAATTTTATTGCTATTCAATATCGACTTTAAATGATGCACACTGTTTATAAGTGTTAGATATTGTTTAGATATTATTTGATGTTGTTAAGATATTGTTAGATATTGGTAACCACAATATCAAACAATATCTTCTGTTTATTCTGTTACTTTCAGTTACTCTTTTAGTTGTATCTCTCTACTATAAATAGACCACCCTATGTGTGATTTATACACAAGGGAAATTAATTCCAAACCCTATTTTCTTTATATTTAACATGGTATCAGAGCCAAAGCCTAACATCTTTTCGGTTATTGTCATGGGCCAAAAGTTGCCCTTTAGTTGGGTCAAAAGTATCCTTTGCCTGGTCCGGCAGGCTTCGTTGGAGGGGGTGTGTTGAAAGTCCCACATCGCCTACCTCATGTCATTTAGTATGGTTTAAATACATGTTAGGCTACTCCACATATTGACAATTGGTTTTATGTTGGAACCTTAACAATAAGATTGAGCTTTATATCAATTCTGTAACTCTCCAGGTGCATGATTATCGGAGATGCTCTTCTGAAAAAGGGAGTAGTGTGTCTGCAGAAAGTTCTCCTACTGTTAGCAAAGTTTGCCTCAAGATGTCGTTAGAAAATATTGTAAAGGATATTCCATCGATTACTGACAAGTCTTGGACATATGGTGATCTGATGGTGAGTATGATCCATCATTCATGAATTACTAATTCCTATAATATTTTCATTGATCTCACTTAGCTATATTCACATTGATAATAGGAAGTTGAATCAAAGATACTGAAAGCATTACAACCAAAACTTCATCTAGACCCTACTCCAAAGTTAGATCGGCTGTGTGAAAGTCTGCTTCCAGCAAAGGTATAAAGTTATTTTCTGCCCTACAGGAATGAAGTTCTATGTTATGTGCATCTTAATGAGATGGAACTTAATGCTACAGCTCAATTTGCCAAGAAAGCGATTAAGGAATATGCCAGAGTTTGCTGTTACTTCCACCAATAAAATTCATGGGAAGAAAGTGTGCATAGATAGAGTGCAAGAAGGTTCAATTAGCAGCAGGTTAGGTGAGTTAGGAAACACTGCATCCAATGCTATTGTGCAACAGACCCATGAAAATTCATCCATGCAAAATCTTAGTCCGAATGTGGTCATGGGCTTGAGACCTAAGAATTTTATACCCGATTCTTCCATCCCTAACTTCCCAATGATGGGACAATCAAGATATGCAATGGCAGTTGGAACTCCAAGAAGTTTGCAGGAGCAAGGACCAGCTCCTTCCATTAATTCATCAGTGGCTTCTCCTTCTACACAAGATGTCATGATTTCATATGCTGATCATGCAAACTCAAGTGCTTCTCTTCATGGAAAAAGGGATAATCAAGATGGACAGGCATCACCTTTATCCAATATTGCAAAAAGAATGAGGCCCACGTCCTCCGTTGTTGAAGCAATGCAGCATCAGCAACTAGGTTCACACATTGAATCTCTTCAAGGATCAGATATGAATTGGCAGACTACATTGCAACAACAAGCTTTGGTCAGGGGTATTCAGAAGTTTCCTCAGCAGGTTTTCGAAGGGGGGGCAAATCAAGAGACAGGGGCAGTTTCCTTTACTACTGGTCAGCAGGGCATGAGGTTGGTTGCAAAGGAAGAACAGTTTGAAATAGAAAAGGTAGATGGTGCAGAGATTAACCGTAGTAAAAGTGAGATGGAAACGGAAACAAACATATTGGATCCACAGCAGTTACGGCTTCAACAAAGATTGCCACAGCATGCATTCATGAGACCCAATTTTCCTCAGGCAACCTGGAATATGGGTCAGCCTATAGAGAAAGAAACAAAAAAGGAGGACCAGTTTCAGAAAAGGAAATCAGTACAGAGTCCTCGCTTATCCACTGGGGCATTACCTCACTCACCATTATCATCAAAATCAGGTGAATTTTCCAATGGTGCAGTGGGACCAAGTTTTGGACCATCCCCAATGGCCGCTGTGCCTGGGACATCACAAAAAGACAAGATGGCAATGGTCTCAGTTCCTGCTACTGTGGGAACTCCATCAAATGATTCTACACAAAGGCAACAGGCACAACTAGGTGCAAAACGGAGATCTAATTCTCTTCCTAAGACTCCAGCAATGAATGGAGTTGGTTCACCTGCTAGTGTTGGCACAACCAGTGTCCCACTGAATGCAAATAGTCCCTCAGTTGCGACCTCGGGTTTGATTGATCAAGGTCTTCAAAATATGCTTGAACGGTTCTTGAAAATTGAAATGGTGACAATGAGGTATTCTGTTTAAATTTAAAAACTGCATCTCCATGGCTTTTATAGTCCAATATTTCTGTTATTCCACAGATTTATTCTTAAAAAAGTAATGCCAATATTTTGTGGTATGGACTTCTATCAGGCATCAACTTAACTTTAAGAAGAACAGGGTTGAGGATTATCAGATGAAGAAGCAAAATTCATATGTAACACATTATGTAGCAAAAGCTATTGCCAGTTCAACTAGTAATGAGGGAGTGATGGACGATTCAATTTCTTTGTCAAAGTCACTTATTGGTGGGAGTATGAATGTGTGTAAAATGAGAATCATAACATTTTGTTTTCCTGAGCGTGTAGTTCAAGGTTTGTTGCAATTTATGCTCTCTGGCCTTTTGGAAATATATAATGTGTCTTCCTTGTCTGAGATTCCATTTTTATACAGGAAATGTTGTCTCTCTTGTTCCAAGGTTTCGAACTAGGATGATAATGTTTGAGAAATCTGATGGTACTGTAGCTCTGTATTATGGGGACATTGAAGAGGCTGATTACCTAGCTGCAGAGGATCATCTTCTCACGTTACCCAATACTGTAAGTTAACTGTAAACCTTTATATATATATATATATATATATGCTGACAGTAAGTACTAGAAAAAAATCTAAGCCCCACATTGACTAGAGCTAGAGCTTGAAAAGAGTATATATGTAGAAGATAATCCTTACCTAGGCAGTTTTGTGAGATTGAGTTTAGTCTAAATTCACATTCTCGGATAATACAATACGTTATCGTCACACACCAAGCTTAATAGTATTGAGTGTGGGAGGGTGTATTGAAAAAACCTTAGTGCCACATTGAATAATAAGATAGAATCTGAGAGTATAATTAAGGGGCAACACCCTAAGACTAAGGATTTACATCTGTTCATTTTTGCCATATTAACCTCTCTGAAGCCTTTCAAATATTTATTTCCTACCTATATTTATCATAGTTTCTCTTTTCAAATCTTATATGGCTTTGAGACCATTTCGGGAAATCCATTTTCTGTTGCCATTTTTTTCCCTATTGCTACTTTTCCTTTCATTTCATTCCAAGTATACTATGCTCATATTGCCATAATCTTATAGTCATATATTACGTTCTCAGCACACTTATCTGGTTTGTCTTGCCTCCGCGTTATATTAACTCATACTGTACTTCGCCATGTTATTTTGGGAAGATAGTTTTTTTGCGAATAGTTTGTTCCTTTCTCAGCATTACGTTGATGGTTCATTGGTCATTGTCGACATGAATTTGTTAATTCCTGAATGAACTATCAAAGTTATAGTAGAGCAAGCATTTGAATTCCCTGCCTGCCATGTAATATTATTGCTCTGATTTATGTGACCTTTTTTGGATCAGCATTCTGCGGATTTGTTTGCTCAACAGTTCTGTTCACAGGTATGTCACTCTATCCGAGACAGATCCATACAAAAAACATGTTTTTCAATTCGTTTTTTTAATAGTGTAATATTTCTATTGTAGATGATACACGAGGGATATGTGAAGGAAGATGACAGGATCCAACTGAAACCAAACCGTGTGAACCTTCCATTGGGCAATCAGTCTACTGCCCCTAATAATGCTGTAGTTGAAATGCAACAATATGGAGAATCCATTCCTGGCCAGCCATCTAATGAAGTTGCAAAACCAGCTACTGGAAATAATGCATCTATAAACCTATCTCAGAATCTTGTAACAAACCCAAGGATGTTGCCACCTGGAAATCCCCAAGCCTTACAGATGTCTCAAGGACTTCTCTCTGGTGTTTCAATGTCTTCAAGACCACAGCAACTGGACTCGCAACAATCTGTACAGCAGCTGCAGCAAAATCAACACACACTCATTCAACAGCAGAATCCCCAGTTCCAGAGATCTCCTATGATGCTTGGGACAAATCAGCTTTCACACTTAAATCCAGTTGGACAGAACTCCAACATGCCGTTAGGTAATCACATGCTCAACAAACCTTCAGCTCTCCAGATTCAAATGTTCCAACAACAGCAACAACAACAGCAACAACAGCAACCACAAATGCAAAGGAAAATGATGATGGGACTTGGAACAGCTGTGGGAATGGGCAACTTGAGAAATAACCTAGTTGGGCTTGCACCCATGGGCAATCCTATGGGAATGGGAGGTGCAAGAGGAATAGGAGGAAGTGGAATCTCAGCACCCATGACATCTATTGCTGGCATGGGAAATATGGGTCAGAACGCAATGAATCTTAGCCAGACTTCAAATATTACTAATTCCATAAGCCAACAATTCAGGTCTGGATCGCTAAATTCAGCATCTGCTGATATTTTATCAAAGCTTAGATTGGTACAGACTCGTGGAGGCATGTTAGGTTCCACTCAGTCTAACATAGCTGGCATCTCAGGGGCCAGACAAATGCACCCTGGCACTGCTAGTCTTTCAATGTTGGGCAGAGCTAATACAATGCAGCGACCAGTTGGACCTATGGGTCCACCAAAGATGATGGCAGGGATGAATCTTTATATGAATCAGCAGCAACAACAACCCCAACAACAACAGCAACACCAACAGCAGTTGCAATTACAACAGCAGTTGCAGCAGCAATTGCAGCAGCAGCAGCAACAAGAAACAAGTTCACAATTGCAGGCAGTTGTTTCTCCCCCACAGGTGGGATCACCATCAATGGGAGTTCCACCATTGAACCAACAACAACAGCAGCAATCAAGCCCTCAGCAAATCAGTCAACGAACTCCCATGAGTCCCCAAATGAGCTCAGGTGCAATTCATGCCATAAGTGCTGGTAATCCTGAAGTTTGTCCAGCCAGTCCACAGTTGAGCTCTCAGACCCTAGGCTCTGTTAGTAGTATAACAAACTCCCCTATGGATATGCAAGGTGTTAACAAGAGCAACTCTGTCAATAATGCACAATGAAGTTACAAAGCGTAAAATGTCCAAATGAATGCGCCCAGCCAATCTAGGTTGTTGAAAACTCTGGAAGCAAACAAATCATGTTGAATATTTGTGTATTAATGTATGCCAGAAATTGATAATTATTTACTTATAAATAAAACATAAGAGCATATTGAATAAATATGCTTGTGCTTTGTCACTATAAGGGATCACACGAGTGTTGTTTGTTGTAAATAGTTTCTTGTTCTTTTTTGCATTCATTCAACACATCCGTAAAAGTTTTACGATATTTAGGCCATTATTAGCTTGTAGTTATTCTTTAGCTCTTTTATTCTATTTTTTTAGTCATACTATCAGTACGGATTATCCTGTAGCTACTTTATGGAGCATAGTGCCAAATTATTGTTTTAAAGTAAAAAAATATCTCGATCTCAGGTATTTCTGTATATATCTATGGTGGTTTGTATTTATTCTATGCAATACATTTAATCTATTCATAGCTTTGATGGCCAGGTATTAGAAACTAGCATAATCATTGTTTGTTGATGAACAATTCGAGTTTAGATTATTTAATTTTTCTAGCAATGTTGATAGTTACAATCACAATGTTCAGCTCTTGTTTTTTTTTTTCATAAAAAAAAAAACACTCAGTGAATATAACTTAATGTAAATATACACCAAAAATCTTCATTTCCAATTAAATGAACCAAAAGAAGTAAGCCTGGTGAAAATCTAGTAAATAATAATGGATTTGTATTTCTAACAATGTTTTTAAAACCGGGGTTTTAATAAAATAATATTTTATAATATAATAAATTTATTAATAATAATATTTTTTATAAAAAGAAAGGAAAATAATAAATATTACTGTTATGTTACCCTATATTATCATGAAAATTATAAATATAAATTATATTAGAGAATAAAAAATAGATATTTATTAAAATGAGATAAAAATATAATAAAAATAATTATTATTTAAAGTCGATATAATTAATATGAGATAAAAAAATTAATAATATTATATTTGTTATAAATAATTATATTAAAAAAATTTAAACTTAATTTTTTATCATTAAAACTGGTTCAATCTAAAATTCTAACTTATTTTTTTGATTTTTTTAATTTTATCTTAATTTTTTTTATTTTGTCCTGATTTAATTAAACATTAATTATTTAGAAACTTTCTAATCTGATTTTTAGTTGAATCGACCTATCAGTCCGATTTTTAAAAAAATAATTTTTAATACTGAACGACACAATAGAGTGTATACCAATTGGTCAAGGACAAAGTATAATCTATTATATTTAAATACTTTTATTTTATGAAATTTTTAACAAGCTTTTTCTGTAAAAACAAACGATCAAATTCTACACTTTTTTAAGTTTACAGATGGAGAATTTACCTTTTTCTTTCACATAATACTATTTGACTGGATTAATTGAACCAAATCCCATTTTTATAAAGCATACCCTGTTTTTGTTTGAATCATAAAATTACTATACTGCGGAATGGTTTAACTTATCAATGGAACTAACTAACTCATTTCTCTCATTTGACACTTATTTTTATACCTAAACCAAATCTAAATTTCCAAAATACTTCTTCACTCTCACCTTTGTTGCTATAAATTTAAAATTCCGTAATAATAAATGTTCTAACACTCCAATTCTAAACAGGTACACCAACCATAACCTATTTAGTAATCTCAAACAGCTATTATATTATTATTATTATTATTATTATTATTATTATTATTATTATTATTATTATTATTATGTTTTTACAAAGTACGCTAAAATTGTATTTTGGTGATATCCAATGATTTTGGAGGGTGAAAGGAAAAGTTGCAACAGCGAAAAGAGAAATCGTGTGTCTCTGTTTTTATAATTCTTAATTTGATCTCATTCGTATTTAAACAATTTCTCTATTTGTTTCTCTCGTTCAAATCGTCATTTTTTAAACAACTTTAATATTGGCAATGTCACGTCAATAATAGATTCTATTAAATTGACACATAATTTTTAATGACTGTATCAGATATGGGAATACTTCAACTTAGGTGGATACTTGAATAATTTATACTTATTTAAATAATGGTTTAATTATTTTTTAAGTAATCTATTTATTTGTTTATTTTTATTATTTTTAAATTGGTTCAAATATTTACCGTCAACTTTATTAACTAATAATGATGACATTTATCACATGATATATAAAAAATTTATTAATTCAAAAAAAAAATTAACATCGTGAGTAATTTCACGGTGAGCCATTACTTAATTAGAAGTTAATTGGTAGGGTTAAAATAAAAAATAGACAAAAAAATAAAAAATCATAAAGATTATAGATAAAAAATGTTTCAAAATTCATCAACTTGATGGCCTGAAAACTTGATAAAACCGGTGATTCTACTTAAAAAAAATATTATTACCCAATTATACCGTGTTTTCTCTCTCTCTCTCTCTCTCTCTCTCTCTCTCTATATATATATATATATATATATATATATATATTAACTTTAGTCCCTATAAGTTACTTTTTTTTTTAATTCCAATAAATATATCACATTTTGATTTTTAATAATTAATGATGTTATAGGTTTATGTGACACTTTTTGATGACGAGATAACATTACTGATTTGATAAGTTTATTGGTGTCTTATATATTATATGATGACACTATCATGATATTATGTTGATGTCAACATCATTAGGTTAAAAAAAACTGAAAACCAAAAAATAAAATTAAGGATGAAAATAACTAGAACTAAAAACAAAAAACCCTTATATCTAAAATAAATTATTGTTTTTTACATGCCTTATTAAATATTTCAATAAATTTATGAAAAATGGTTGATAATATGAACTCCTTTTAAATTTATAAAAATAAGCTATCGTAACAAATAATAAAAGTTTCATAGAATTAACTTTGATCAATTTATTTACTCCCAAATAAATAGTTAAAGTATAATTCTCCCCCAAAAATAATAGTTTGAATTTTAGTTAGAATTCTACTTACTCTATATATATATATATATATATATATATATATATATATATATATATATATATATATATATATATATATATATATATATGTAACTAAGTACTAAATATTTTAGAGAATCTAACTATTGGGTTTTTTTTTTGGAGAAAATAAAAAGAATAAAAATTATTGATGTAAGTGTAAAGTGTTAAAGAAAAAGTGAGAGCATTAAAGCCTATCTACATTAAAATATGATGATTTGATGGAAAAAGATAAAAGTATTTGACAAGATTAAAGTGAAGGAAAACAAGAGGTCAGGATGGAAAATATGATAGGCAATTTGAGGGAAACACCACAAAATCTTGCGTAACAGACTGATATCATTTGTTGTATTTTCCAGTTAAAAAAACAAAACCTATTTGAACGCCACAACATATGAAATCATGGCCCAACGATTTTTATTTTTCGTTCACTTATTCCCTTGGTCTAAAATCATGTAAGAATTTGCAGTTGTCGCCAAAATAGCACCTACCAAGGGAGTAATGTCTACACACCTGATTGGGCTTATGGTTTTCTCTGTTGGGGGCCATCAATGGGTGAGGGTGGTTTGCATTTGCCAAAGGTATCCTATGATGAGTTCCCATTGTAAATCCAGTTGTCTTCTCAGCCATGTTAGAGTGGTATTTCAGGTTTTCTCTGAAATGGGGGTCTGCATAATTATAGTTTGCACCAAGATCAGATCCCCTCACATGACCAATATCAAAAGTATTGAAGTGACCTGTGCGATTCCAAGCTTGCTGATTATGCATATTGTGAACAGCAAATAATGTTCTTCCTAATATTGGCAATTGGTCAAATACCGGAGCTGCTGGATTATTTACAATAGAGGATGTTCCGTTCATTACATTGGCAGATAAACCTGAACTTCGAGATGGAAATTCTGGTTTTTCTGGATTATTGAGTTTATTTGTTCCTTGAGATTGATATTGTGACCTAGTAACCTGTGAATTTGATTGACATTGGTTCCTTCCTTCCTTTATGGAGACCCTGGACATATGTAGAATGCAGAAGTACATGAAATTATTTTGTAATCATGAATAATTAGTACTATAAACAATGGTAGAAGACATGATACTAGAAACCTGAAATCAAGTACCTGTTTTCCTTGGTATTTTTCCGCTTCTCCTTTTCTTGTATCCTTGCTTCTCTATCTGCCCTAGCAAGAGATCCCCTTGAGTGTTTTTCCATCAATATTCTCTGCCTCTTTGCTTCATCCTCCCATTTCTAATATTCCGGACACGAAACATATTAGTCATATAATAATATGAAATAGCTCATTAAAATCAGGAGGAGAAATGCTGGCAAACGAGGAACCTGTCTAAAAGTCTTCAGCCTATAAAGGTTTCGACCCTTAATCAGTAGGGGGTAAAGGGGAGGGAGAGGCTTTTCTCCTTTACTCCAGAGTACTTCAATCTGTATATGAACAGGATAAGTACAAGCATATTGTTACTTGCTAGCAGCTTAAACTATACTGCTATTCAAGGAGAGATAATATGCATCTTTATTGGTATATACAAATATATTCCAATAAAAGGGGACCATTCTAAAATTTCTGTAGTTTGGTAAACAAGTGACCGATAGATACCCTTCTTTTGTAAGAGTAGCATACTTTGCAAATAAGTTTAAGTCATTAATGCCTTCTAAAATAAACAACCATAATGTCAGTATCCATTAAAGAGAACTATCTATTCTCACCGTAAATGTATGCTGTTGTTTAGCGGTACCATAACTTTCTTTCACTATGCGGCCTGCAACAATTCTTTTACCACAAGGTGGACCACTGGCACTCCTGGATGCGATGTTGAACCTGAGAAAACCAATTTTGGTAAGGAAACTGGAAGATGACTAAATTAAGAATTGAACTTCACGAATATCATTAATTTCCCTTTTGGGAAGTCAGTCATCCACTGTACAATATATCCAATGGTAATATATACTAGTAAGTAGTAAGCATAACCATGCTGTGCTTTCAAGCTTTACGTATATATGTATGCCTTAAAAAAAGTTTCAGTGTACAAAATATAGCATGTGAGATCTTTGCCATTTATCGCGCATTGAGAGAGATTAAAAAAAAAAACTTACATTTCATAGACATTTTGCTCAAACAAAACAACATCACCAGTGCATGCATCACCTGCACAAGGCAAACTATTTTCAGGTTCGGAAGCCTTTAGATAATAAAAAAATTAAGGCCAACAGAGTTTGAGCCAACATAAACTAAGCGATGAGGACATAGCGAACTGCAGAATCTGTTAAACAGATATAGAGATCAGAACAGTAAATAATACAAACAAGAAATATATTTAATATTTTTAATAATGCGGATACAGGTAATTGCTTAATAGATTTCAAAAATAGAGTATTTATTAAAATTTTAACTCAGAAAACTGTTTTCAAAAAATTACCGGCTTCAAATATTCTTGTGGTTAGAATTATCACAATATTTCTCTCAAACTCATCAGGAACACAATGAATCAGTTTACATTTTATGTTAAATAATCTTATAACTCTACATTTAAATAACATATTTTAAAAAATTGCAAGAACTCACCTTTGCAATTCAACACAAAGCTAGAAGGCGGATACTTCTTCTCCCCTCCATTTAAAATGCTGAAAATCCCAAAGAATTAGAGAAACCGTACAACTTTTTTGAAAAACTACTAGTTACAGAGTTGCACAGAAAATATCAATTACTCTAAGTGCTCCCTTATGCGTTGTATAAGTGTGTCCTTGTTTCCAGTTAGCCTCAGACCATTCTTCCTCAAATACAACTTGCATTCATCCACTTTCAATTTCGTCAGCAATCCCTCTGCCAACCAAAACAATTGACAGATGAAAATGTTCAATAGAAAAACTTAAACACAGCCAAAAACACGCGTCATGTTCAGTTCTATTTCCACTTTTAAATAAGAAGACTAAATGTTTAAAAATGTGCTTTGAAAAAGAGTAGCTAAAGATTATGTATCTCTTCATAATAAAAACCTAAATTGAAATAGAAGAAGATTAACCTTCGATTAACTTTTGAACTTTTCCAAAATTCTCTCCATCATTTACAGATGCAGTGATCTCCACCACTTCCTCACCTCGAACCGTCGCTTCGACAACGCTGTAAACACCAAATTAGGACGAAATGAGGCTTAAAAATCGATTTTAAACAATGGGAAGGAATCAGTTCACGATTTTACCGCGCTTTTGCCTTGTGCTTAACTGAGAGGTTTGAGAATTTGGTATGAGTTTCTTCGAGCACGTCGTAATCGGGGTCTTCTCCCGAATCTTCCCAGTCGTAAACCGGATCGGATTCTTCCGATTCGGAGGTGATTTCGTGCAGCTCCATAGGAGAATCTTTGGTCGCCATTGGTCAATCAAAGAGTTGAGAGTTTCAGCAAGATAAAGACGAAGGCTCCTGACCGTTATAAAAATAGGGTCTTCTACGTGTGAGATTCAAAAATAAATAAATTGTAGTTAATAGATTAATAATTAAATAATATATCATAAACAGTTTATAGTTTCATTTTCAAAATTTTTCTCCTTTTTCTTCTCTCCCCCTTCTCCTTCCTACCCCATATACGAACATCTTCATAAGTTTTTATTTATTTTGAATTGATTAAAAAATATTTTTCAAATTTTTTTTTCTTTCTTCTGTCATTTTTTCCTGTAAAAAAAGTTTGTCAGCATTGTTGAAAATAATCGATGTCAACTCATTTCTCTCCAACGCAAGAATACTTCGGCTAAAATTAGGATTGAAGATGAGACTGCAAATTCTTAAATAAAATAATCATATAACTTTTAAAGTAAAATAAATCCTCAACGTAATATAAACAAAATAAGTTGATTAATTGTTAAAATAATCATACCATTTTTTAAATTGAGAAACAATATTTCATTTATAAATGGTACTAATTAGAAACAATATTTTTATTATCACACGTACAAACTTTTAAATGTATAGTCAAACACCTAAAAAACTAAATAGAATATGTGATCTAATGTTATGAAACGAAAAAACAAAAAATTAAAATGTCATTTAGATGTCCTTTTATCATTTATCATTATTCTTCCTTCATTTTATCTTCCCAAATTCTTTTTACCCAATCCAAATAATCTCATTTTATCTTAATTCTTGTTATGCATACTTTCAATCATAACATCCAATTTCCAAATAAAGACTTTATGATAATGGTTGCTTGATTCAAACAAAAATATTACCATAATTCATTGAAACAACAGTGCTGTAGCACAGTTAAAAAATATTCTTGTAATATACTACTCATTATCATTGTACTATCTTATAATACGCAATTCCAATTCAGCGGCTCAGATGGAAACAATAAAATCGAAGAGGTAATATATTTAATTCATTAACACAATAATCCTGAAAATAATTGAGAAGTATAAAGAAGAAATGCCTATATGCATCCTCACGGGGATAAAGTTTTCTCATATCCTGGCTTCTTACTATAAAGGTTAAAGGTTCCTGTTCAAGTAAAGACTGATCCAGCCATGCTAAGATGTAACAGAGGATAGCCTTTTTTTCTAAACCAAAGTTGTCCAGAAAAAGTCGACACCATCTCATGCATATAAGGTTCCCACCAATTTGCTCAAAATCGGGATAATCATGGGAGAAGCCACAGTAACGCAATCCAGGTTTTAAATGTCAGACACTGAGCTCGATCACCATATTTTATTTTTGATCCAGAAAAGTACGAAGACAACTCCAAAAACAATGGCAACAGGGGCCCACTTCCGAATCAGAGCCTACAGAAAATATTTGATTTTAAATTATTTATCCATATACCGAATATTAACAGAATCCAAATATAAGCAAGAAGCTTCAAAGCTAATAATTATTTCATAACATTGGGCAGGGCTATATCGATATTAACCATCGACTTATCATTCATCGATACTAGAAGGCCAAAATTTTGCATTAAATAACGCATGCAAACACTGCAAAATATCATTGGGATTTCAGAACTTGTAAACATGCTCTTAGGTTTCGAATACATTTGATTTTAATTGGTACAAGTACTTAACCAAAGTACAGTGATATACAAATATCTTTAACTTGCATTTAGAAACCTCAGAGAAACTCGTTAACCTATTCAGTATCTGCAACTGTTCATGACGTTAACAAATCAAACCATCAGCTGATCCAATGTAATTCTATTTGACAACCGAATGCTACAAATTAACCACAAATTACACAAACAAAAACTAGCACATAAAAAAAATGAGATTTCAAAGTTAATACAAGTGTCGAAGCATTTTTAAAAACACAGGCGTACATCCCAAGTACATAGAAGAACGTTTATTTGTATTCCAGTTAATGGAAGGATTTATTACAAAAAGGTAAATAAAGTATCATGTTTCCAATAGGTGTCATTATATTTAGGTAAAAGCCAGTAAAAAATGCGTAATTTATAATAGCTCTAAATACAAAATCCACAAATGGGATTATTCTTCTATCTAAATTATAGAAACAATTCCTAGAACAAAGCAATTTACAATTGCAGCAAGATATCTCAGTGGTCAAAACCAGATTAACATTGTCAAAAATAATCATGAAGGAAAACTGAAATGACTAACCTGCCGATTTAAATCTCTAGCCTTATCAGCATATATGCGAGATTCTGATGATAAGCGACTGGACATTTGGCTGACCTCTGCAAATTAGAATTTGAAATCAAATGTAAAACATAAATTCCATAATTCACAACTAAAACCATCATATTAATGAAAACATAAAAACAAAAATGAAACAGCATTAAATCTGGAAACAAGAGATCATCCATTAGAGGTGGAAGAATGGATCCGTGAAAGTTTAGCAAAAGATTATGAGAAAATTCTTAAAAGTATGGCTGTTAAAACGAGTAGCCTAGCTCAAGCTAATGGACTATCAAAGCAATTTTAATTTGATTGGAAAAAAAGTATTATCAAATCTGTACCAAAACAATTAATTAAAAATATATTTACATAAAAATTAAAATAGAAAATGTATTTTTAAATTTAAATTATATTAATAAAATTAATTTTTATTTAAGATATAATGATTTAATATATAAATTATTAGATAATGAATCTATTCAATCTTAAAATAAGAGTTAAAATCTTATTCTTTATTATCATCACTCATTTTTTAGTAATTTACTCATCTAAAATAATAATTAATCTTAATCATTAAATCTTAGAATAAATGATTGTTAAAGACTTACTCTAATATTTAATCATAAAATAAGTGAATCCCAAGTTAAATTAATTTGTAATACATATATATCTTTTAATAAAATAATATCATCTTTTTATTTATTTTTTAAATAATTATTATTCTATAAAATAGGCCGACCTGTACGCCTACAAAATAGCTTAGCCTAAGTAGATCATGACCTAAACGGACTGCGACAAAATAGGTCTAATTCAATTTGACCACAATTTTTTTTTATCTAATATGACCTATTTCTTGGGCCAGCTCATCGGGTTAAAGCTATTTTGCCACCACTGCTTAAAAGAGAAACTAGGAGCAGGAGACTGCACGTATATGAAGTTAATATTGTCAAGTTAAACCTAAAATCCTATTTGAAATCAGCTCGTGTTCCTTTTATTTAAACATTAACTGAGGCACACTTTGATTACTTTTCCATTACAGCAGCTTTACCCAAATTATCAAGAAAGCAAAGGCATCTCAAGAAATATGACCAAATTGTTGGAGATTCTACAAAGACTGGAAATAAGACTAAATTATAGTATATGCATACAAACTTTACCTTACAAGTTGGTTTTGTAATGTTGCATTAGGCTCAAAGTCTATCCTAATAAAGTTTGTTGAGACTATCCTAGCAAGGCTTCTTATGAAGATAGAAATCAGGAAAAGCCAACTACAATAGATGCATGTATGATAGAGGCCTCAGTTGCTATATTATACTCAAATTAATGAAGCTTGTTACTGAAAATTTAGAGTTGCATTCCACGCAATAAGCAGATAAAAATCATAAAACTAAAATTATTCAGAGATTACAAGAAGTATCTTACGGTCCAACTGTTCACCAACACCAAGAACTTCCTGCACATTACGAGTCATTATCTGGTGGACTTCATACAGTTCATCATTCAATTTTGCAATATTGCGCTGGGTATGGGTATCCTGGTAAAGTTTCTTTGTCTTCTGTATAAATGTATCTTTTAAACAATTAAAAGGAAAAGGAAAAAAGTAGATTAAGTATCTGCAGAAAAAGGCAATAATGCTAAAAATGATAATGATGGTATAGATTAAGTACCAAACTTAATGAAGGCATAAGGTCTGGCAGCAGTTTCAATTTGAGACCCATTAACACGCTCAAACTCATTCCTGAGCTCTTCAAGATATTGAAAGGCTAGTTTCTTAGGGTATGCACGATCACACATTGTCAAGTAACAAACCCGTCCTTCTATAATATAACTAAGGCTCTGTCAAGGTCACTTAGGTTATGAAACTCTTCCAAATAGTTAAAGCATTTTTTTAAACTGCAACTAATATAAAATATAATAGATCTCAAAAAATTGTAATTCAAGATAAGGGAAATATGTACCAAAACACAAAAACAGACCTTAGCTTCTTCTAATGTCCAAAACCCATAGATTCATAGATATAACAATAAAAATAAGCACATGAACAGCTAAATTAATATTGCAGGTATGCATCTCATGTCTAACAATGAGATACCTAGCATTAACTGGAAAAAACAGCACACTAATAACATCAAAATATAGACATCTCAACAATTTTAATAATTAAACATCACTCATTAACTGAAAATAATCTCTAAATCACAACATTAAACAAACTTAAATTAAAATGTCACAAATAATATGCCATAAGAACCAAATACAATAAATTAGTCTAAAATTATAAAGATTGTGAGGAAGAGATCATAGAATGAGTGAGAGAAGGCAGAACACAACACAGCAGATACTGAGAGTGAGAAAAGGCATTGGAGTGAGTTTGGGGGAAGACATGGGTGTGAGTGAGAGTGAGAGCAAGAGTAGGCACAGAAGTGAGTGATAGTGAGAGTGGGAGAAGCCAGAGAGGAGACGGAGCGCAGAACCAGCAAGGATGCTCACAGTTTGCACTTTGTACAGCCAAAGGGAAGCACATATATGACAGAAAAGGGTGGTGGCAGCAGACTGGAGGTGGGATATTTGCAGTTGACAGCAGCAGGAGAAGTTTACAGATGAAGTGAGAATGGGAGAGTCCAAGAGTGGATGACTAATGAAGAGAAATGGGGTAATTAGGGATTTTTAAAACTGGGTCAAAGGGATTTGACTCGGAAATCTGGGTCCAGTATGCCTCAGGGGATTGATAATTCCACAAATTCATGATGAAGATCACAAGCCCACCCTGACCTGTTTGCTGATGATACCATGAACGATTCCACATGCCAACAACCCCCTAAACGCATAGGATCGTAACAATCCTCTGATTTAACAAGCAATTTTAATAACATAGATTATTACACCAAGTTGTAATTTCTCAATAGTAGCCTGGAGAGGCGACCCCAAAAACACTTTAGTGTATAACAAGACACGATCACTATTATGAAATTTCCATATATAAATTAAATAATTTATAATTAAAATATATAAATGCTCAAAAATTTAATATAAAAGAACTCAAATAGAGACATATTCATAAGTGATTAAATTCCTGATATGAAATACAAGGGGTAATTTAGGATCTTTAGGGTTAGAACCTTGTAAGAAATTTAGGAATTTGAAAGAAGGTGGAAGGAAAGAATCACTCTTCCCAAGGGAGGCAACACACAAAGGATGTGACGAGTCCTTTGATACGACTAAGGGTTCTTGAATCACTCAAGAGTTTAGGAGAATCACTCTCACTAAGATAAAAGAGATAAACTCTAATATTTCTGAATAAAATTTCACTTGTTATTTCTTGATAAGAATGGTTCAAGCTGATACTGAAGCGTTGCCATCGGAATTACAAAAGACTCAATAAAAGAAAATAAATACTAATAATAACTCATTAATCTAGGAATTGAAAACTATTTAATGGAAACAAATAAAGACTAATAATGATCCATTAACCTAGGAATTAAAACTACTTAATGACTGATTGTATCCGAAACCGTGGCAACCAAAAGTCAATCAGCTATGCACCCCTTGGTCTCCCAAAGGTCGATGACTAAATTTTCAATTGGGCCCTTATTACAACTTAAAACAAAATCAAACTAAAGCCCATTAATTGATTAATCCAAAACACAATTTGGTCAACCAACAATACTTGTTGAAGAGCTTCCTTTGTTTCCCTTGCTCTAGCCCTTATCATAGGTCATGTTCACATCATTCTCTCCCTCTTGAAAAGGATTTGTCCTCAAATCGGATTCATCATCTACATTAAAAAAAGATAAGTCTGACAAATTAAATGTAGAACAAACATTATACTCACTTTTTATGGCTAAATAGCTCTGTTTCACTTCAAGTGTTTCACTCTTCTTTTGATCACTTTTTTTCTTCTCAAGTGTTTCACTAATGCTTTCTTTCTCTTTCTTTTCTTGAAGAAGTTTTTTTTTCATTTTCTTTTTATCCTCACATACTTCTTGTGGACTCAAAGGTTTGAGCACAATCTTCTTGTCTTGGTGCATGAAAGAAATCTTGTTAGTGAACCCGTTATGATTAACTCTTTTATCAAATTGTCATGGTCTCCCCAAAAGTAAATGACTGACTTCCATAGGAATAATATCACAAAACACCTTATCATTGTATTTTTCAATGGAAATGTCCACTTCAACTTGTTGTCTCACTTGCACCTCTCCATCCTTACTAAGCCATTGAAGTTTATATGGCCTAGGATGAGGTTTGGTAGCTAAATTTAGCTTTGATACTAATCTAGCACTAGCTACATTGGTGCAACTACCTCCATCTATGATCATCATGCACACCTTGTCATTGATTAAACATCTAGTGTGAAAAATATTTTTTCTTTGGTTTTCTTCCATAGGTTTCAATTGACTATCAAGTAATTGCCTAATCATCAATAAATCTCCCTTTGGAATCTCTTCCTCCTCCTCAGTGTCTTCACTCTTTTCTCCCTCTTCAACCTTTGATTCACTTATATATTCTCCCTCTCTAAGAATCATGGTCTTTGTGTTAGGGCACTCATAAGCATAGTGTCCTAGGCCTTGACACTTGAAACACTTCACATCTCTACTTTTTTTAAAGGGTTGTTCTTCATATTTTGAATGAGTCTTTGTAGGAATAAGTGTAGAACTACTAGAAGTAACAGTCCCATCTTTTTTGCCTTTGTCCTTCCAACTTGAAAATCCAAAGTTGGTAGAACTCTTCTTAGTCACTTCTTTTCTTTTGAGTTGTTGCTCCACTCGAATTGCTTTATGAAGTAAATCCTCCATATCAACAAACTCCTGCAACTCAACAATATCACATATATCAATATTCAAACCACCAATAAATCGGGTCATAGTTACCTCTTCATCTTCTTCAATCTTTGCTTGAATCATGAGCATGTCCATTTCTTTGAAATACTCCTCAACCCCCCTGTTGCCTTGAGTAAGTTTTTGGAGTTTAAATTTCAAGTCCCTTGCATAACTAGCCGGCACATACCGCTTCCTCATGATCCTTTTCATCTCAGTCCATGTATTAACCATTGGCTCTTCATTTCTATCTCTCTCCTTTTGTAGCTTGTTCTACCAAACAAGAGCATAGTCGAGAAAATTACGTTGTTGCAAGCCTCACCTTTTGGGTCTCCTCATAATTGTTGCATGAGAAAACATGCTCTATTTTCATCTCCCACTCCAAGTATGCTTCGGATCACTTTTTCCTTTGAACGGAGGAATGTTAAACTTGACTCCTTCAAGCCTACTTGGTCTTGTTACTCCATCATTCATTCTCCTATTTCTCCTTTCTTCTTCGTCTTCGGGATTTCTATTCTCCAACCGGTTCAATCTTTCATGGAGCTCATTGTTATGTCGTATCATTAATCCTTCCAAATGTTGTACCAAGACTCTCATTTGAATTGGACTAATTCCTGCTTCTTGATTGTAATTTTCCTCTTACGCCATTAATTTGATGTTTAAACCCTTAAGCCGAGACTCCGAATACCAAATGATATGAATCACAAGGGGTAATTTAGGATCTTTAGGGTTAGAACCTTATAAGAAATTTAGGAATTTGAAAGAAGGTGGAAGGAAAGAATCACTCTTCCCAAGGGAGGCAACACACAAAGGATGTGACAGTCCTTTGATACAGCCAAGGGTTCTTGAATCACTCAAGAGTTTAGGAGAATCACTCTCACTAAGATAAAAGAGATAAACTCTAATATTTACGAATAAAATTTCACTTGTTATTTCTTGATAAGAATGGTTTAGGCGATATAGAAGCGTTGCCATCGGAATTACAAAAGACTCAATAAAGGAAAATAAATACTAATAATAACTCATTAATCTAGGAATTGAAAACTATTTAATGGAAACAAATAAAGGCTAATAATGATCCATTAACCTAGGAATTAAAACTACTTAATGACTGATTGTATCTGAAACTGTGGCAACCAAAAGTCAATCAGCTATGCACCCCTTGGTCTCCCAAAGGCTGATGACTAAATTTTCAATTGGGCCCTTATTACAACTTAAAACAAAATCAAACTAAAGCCCATTAATTGATTAATCCAAAACACAATTTGGTCAACCAACAATACTTGTTGAAGAGCTTCCTTTGTTTCCCTTGCTCTAGCCCTTATCATAGGTCATGTTCACATCAATTCCTAATTTTAATGCAAGAATAAGGAAGTTACCTATGTAACTGCAACATTGAAAGAAAGAATATATAACAAAACAAAGATCATCTTTGACATGAAAAGAACACACATCAAAGGATGTGAGCAGAGACAGACAGGAGAATGTCACAGAGCTCCACAGTATGTGGGTTGGCTGGAAACACAGCTGGGAGCTCTGTGTCAGATGGTTTGTGTCGAAGAGAGAAGGGACCTGCGTCAATTAGCATTTGAAAGGAGTGAAAGTGGGAAAAAAAAGGATCAGATAAAATAAAAGGGGATGGAATCGCATGATTGACCCCCTAGAGCCAGGAGCAATTGCGATGACCACAATAACAGCCAGAATTTGCACCGCTGCAGGCCCTGACAGTTAATTGTGACATGACAGGGTTCACCAAGATGACCCACAACCACAATGCTACATAGCACTGCTATGGTGGTATTGTTGCACAAGATTGACTGCTTAGATTACACTTTGATATTTCATGCATTGTAAAATACAATAATATATTAAGTAGGATAATCAAGAAATTTTTATTCGACTACCACATATATATTATGCAATAACTATGATTCAGTAAGGATACTGAAAAACATAAGGCCCAGTTTCAACTGACATCCTTGATGCTTCATAATGTCCTCTTGAAAGATTCTTAAACAAAGCCTTGACTTGCTGTTTGTAAAATTCCGCATCTTTAAGATCACGACCATCATCCAGTCCTTCAGCTAGCGGAAGACCATCAGTAACACGGGCAATCATAGTCAACTTCACCATCTTTCTTAGCTTCACAATCTTCCACTCAGACTCAAAACTTTGCAACTAAACCAAAATACACTGCAATACCAAACCAAGAGACACCAAAAAATCGAAGTTAGTCAGATTCAAGCAGATAAAAACTAAAATCACAAAGGAAATTTACACAAACAGCATTTGCATTCCCTTCATTCAATAATTCAATACTATGTAGGCCACTAAAAATATAATTAATAATTAAAGAATAAGAGACTCATTCATACATTAACACCGAGCATCCACTCAGTCCTAACAATAGAGCTGTAAACAAAGTTTGATCCGTCAACATAAGCAACCAAATCAACCCAACTTTATAATCCAACAACCTATATGCTCCTTTCGGGATAGAAGCTCATGTGTTCCAAAGATATTCTTCAAATTGAAAAACATTAAACAAAAAATAGCATAACTAACACATCTTAAAAAAAATGAAGAAACGCGCATAGGATGCAACAATGACCGTTGCTGCCTAAACAAAACGAAATTCACAGGAAAGCCCATGCATGGCGCAAGATGTAGCAGCTCGCATCGCCAATTCAGCAAATACCCCGTTATTGCAATTGCAAACTAGATCTGACAAATCGCGATAGAAAAAAACAAAACAAAATGGCAAGTAACCTAACATACGTCAACCAGATCTTGCGCGCTTAGATCATCTAAATTAGTCCAAGGCAGAGAACAACGACACTAGGTTTTTTTTTCTTCTTATTTCAATTTCCGAAAGGAGAAGAATAGTTAACGAAGAATCATTGTTGGAGTAAAAGGAAGGGAGGAGAGGATGGGAGAGAAACCTGAATGGCAATAAGAGGGTGGCCGGAGCTGCCGCGGCAAACGGCGGCCTGGATGGTCCAGCCGAGTGGATCGATGAACAGACAGGATTGAAAATTGAATGAAAATGGTGCTTTAGAAATTTGGGCAAATGCCACGTCGTTTTAAATGAAAAAGGAAAAGACAACAACACAGGAGGCAGTAATGAACAGTTTATATTCAATTTTGACTATCAGTAAAATAAATAAATAAGTATAGTTTTCGCATGTATGCTTGAGAAATATTGTAAAATAAAAAAAAAAGTAGTACTATTTTTTTTAAATTAAGTTGAATTTTTAAATGCATTTTGTTGGATTATAAGAGAAAGAGTTACAAATTTATAACTCTTTTTTCAACAAAATAAATAAAAATATAAACGTTCTACTTTGTTAAATAGTTTTAAGCCTTTTAATTTGAGATTTATAATTTTTTCTCTTCGGACAAAAAATGAATAAAATTAGTTTTTGTTTTTATAAGAATGTTTCAATCATAATTTATACTTTTATATTGTCTACGTAAGTGATGCATCATCTATCTTTTATATGGTCTATATTTTGTTTCGTTTGGAATGATGTAATGATACATAATTTGACTTGTTTTGTCCAATGAAAAAGTCATGTAAGAAATTATATTAACACCTCGACAATGTATGTGTTTATGCTAATGTATAATTATTAAATATTTTTTCTTGTTATTTATGGGGAAAATAGAGTTAAAACAATCAAATATTTATAAAAACAAATGTTTTTTTTTAACTCTCAAGTTTTCTTCGTTTTATTATATTAGCGATTCTTATATGTTTTTATATTTTTGTCACTAAGTACAGTAGTAGCTGACGAGATCTTGACTTGACCAAAATTTTCTTCCCTTTCAAAAAGTAAGTTAAGAAATCATATAATATTTTTCTTTGTTCTTTCAGTTTTATTTCTAAACAAAAGCTAGTTAAAAAAAATATATACTTGAATTCACTTTTTATTCTCCTAGTTTTGTCCGTATATAATTTTGATTCTTATAAGCCATGTTTAAGAATGAGAAAGTACGAGAATTAAAAATAGATTTAAGCCATGGTTTTATTTTCAACTTTTATGTATCTTAATCAGTTGATGGTTTTTATTTCTTAACTTATTGTTGAGCGGTAAAATAAAATGTGTAATTGAGAAAACATCTGTAGCAATGCTTTAGTGGGTGGATCTGTCACACTGTGGTGCTGCTAACTTTTGCTGGCATTTGGTAACACCACACTTTATCTTTCAACTAAGCACTCACAAAACTCCTATTTGGTTGCCAAACTTCAACAGCACACGAACAAAACTGTGACGATTAGCATGATGAGATAGTATAAACTTCTCTTTTTAGTATAAGAAAACACAAGTTGAACAACCCTGGTCACCAACAAAATGGTTAACAACCAATGCATACAAGTCATGTCAAACTTCATAAAGTCATATCATTTTCTGTTTATAAAATCCAACCTAAACATGTGTGTAACATTACTAAGCAAACTTCTATTCCTGAAGAAGTAAATAATGTGTTTCCATATTTTCAATTCAACTCTCTAAACCACTGTTCATGGCATGAAATAATGGTAGAGGCTGAACCATGCTGGAGAAGCAGGGCACATGCTTGACTTATCTAAGTTTTGAGCTTGTGTTCTACTTCTCCAGCATGGATTCTTTCTCTTGTGACCATAATATTAATATTGGCAATGTGGTTATATAAATCAATTTGTCAGCCACAAGGTAAGCTTTCCAATTGTTATGTGTGCATGTATTAAGATGAGAAGAGTAGATTGCATGGATTTTAGTACTGTAAAGAGAGGAAGGCCATAAAGGACATTGGAGAAGTTGTCAAAAGAGATTTCATGGTAACTAACATTATTTCGATTTTAGCTTAGTCAAATAGTGTTGTATGATCATGCAGCTGATTTCATCTAATCAGAAAATCATGTAACAACTAGACTTCATTTGAACGCTGTTCTTTATTGTCTTATAAGGCAACTTGATATTAAGTTCGATATATGATATGACATCATATCACTTTACATTTTGAAAAACAGCTGGCCAAGCTTCCATTAACCATGGCTGTCTCAACCACATAAGATAACTTGACTTAAAAATAACTTTAAATAGAATATAATGCTTTAAAACAAATCATTATCCTTAAATCAGGCTCGGTTTTCCAATGCAAATGCAGCAGAGTCAACATGTAGGAGCAAACAAGAATAAACTTTTTGCTTCAATCTCTCAACAGTTTCCAATAGCTCTTCATTTTTCAAGTTTGAAGTGCTTCCCAATTTCTCCAACCATTCATTTGCTTGCTTAAGTTGTGACAATGTGAGAGCTATATGATTGGCACGATTCATTTGCCTTCCTGCAGTGTCCTTACTCGCCTTTCCCCTCTTCCCTTGGGAGCTTGTGGAAAACCAGACATCCAATGTTTTTTCTAAGTATCTCAAAAACCATGATCTTGTTTCAATCAAAAGGACTTCACTCAGTTCATTCATCTCTTTTAGACCATTTCCTGTGGCCCAGTCTTGTTTCTCAGTCTCGGATAATTCTGGGGAGTATTTTGGAGACTTTGATGAACTTTTTCCGGGCACTAAAAATTTCTTGTCAGTTTTGTATGTTTCTGTAGGAGAAGAAGTTTTATATAGGTGAAGTGATTGGTCCATGAGTTCTTGGAAGGAAAAAAACTTGTCCAATGTGACATGAGGGTTCTCTGATGCAGCTGAAGTGCAGATGTTGGCAAACATGCTGAAAAGGAAGGAGAGGCAAATAACTGAAGAATTTAAATGGAAAAAAATGTTATCCTTGTATTGGACACCATTTTTAAAAATACAATCCTATGAAAAAACATATATTCTGGTTCCTACATAAAAATTATTATTTACATATCAGTTTTAGTTGTTTGCTAAAATTATATTTGTGGTAGATTTTGCTGGGTTACCAATTATTACCTTTTCTGAGATGGCATCATGCCGTGTAGGACCAAATGCTAGCAAACTCAATGAATGTTTAACATCTTTATAATTTAGTAATATATAACAACAAGCTTTTTATATAATTTTTAAACATTTTCGAAGTAGCTAACTTTTGACCAAGTCATTAATACTAAGACAAAGTGCATAATGTACCTTAAAAACTTGACAAGGACTGCAGTAGCAGAAACTTCTTTTTGAGCTTCTTCAACAACCATGGAGGCTAGATGTTTCCTTCTAAGCAGTTCCTAGTAAAATGTGGAAATTTGTGTGATTGTCAACAAAAACTCATGCAAAGGCTGACATAGCATTGCTTTACTAGAAAAAGTCATATGAAATTTGATTTAACTTGTTTAATATAAGGGTGTGGGTTAGCTTAGCATAATGATAATAATATTTAGGAAAAAAAAACATAAACAATATAGATTATTGAGACAAAATTCCAATTTTGATTAGACAACAACACAAACACTAATTATGATGATATTGCATGTAAGTTTTATCGTAATATTTATCATTCAAAGGAGAGACAGAATTGCAATGTACCTTTCCAGGCCTCAAAAGTTTGGCTGGCAAAGTGGACCACGGAATTGTCTCTGTGCTGCAGCTTTTATCTTCACTGCTGGACAACACATTCAAGTTTGTAGTTTCCTGTTTAGTAGAATTGCGTTTGATAGATATGCGCTTAGAAGGTGACATCACAGTCTCCTGGATGTTAGATTGAGCAACCCTCTGCCTTGGTGAAGATGTTTCAAGTAGTAGAGTCCGGGTTGTATTCACTGAGAGTGCCTGTGATGCTAAAACTTGTTATGAACACTGTTATACAATTCAATACAATTCAGCATTTACCAATTAAACCTGTTATGAATACTGTACATTTTTTCCAAAATGAATATTCCCTCTATGGTAATGTGCACTGTGCATCTTTGAATTATTTATTTGTTGTTGAAGAAAAAATCTATCACTGGTTAGAGCAATGCTAGACACATACACTGCAAATGATTTCCCAGTAACCAAATATGAAACTTTGTATAGTTGATTATGTAGTTAATGATAGGGAAGTTATTGGCTAAACTAAGTTAAATATTTGGTTACATAAACCATTCAACTAGTTACATCCAAAAGTCATCTGTTATTCTGTCTATTTAAATTCTTTAAAATTTTCATTGTAGGGGGTAGTTAGAGTTGTTCCCAGGCTGCTTTCAAATCCTGAGCATACTAAAACTATATAGAGGCCAAAATCTAACGCCATGTATTCTTGAGCCTTAAAAAATGCATATTCAAGATAAGAATCATACCTGACCTGTAATTTTTGCAGTTTTACTTTTGCAGATCCCACTTTCTTACTATCTACACCATTATCAAAATAATTTCCTTTTCTTTCTTCAATAGCATCATGAACATTCACATTTGAGGTTGGACTTCTAACATCCCGCATGTACCTGGATGCAACAGCAGATTTTTCCTCTTTGATAACTATTTTCTGCTTTGGACTTCTACTCTCTTTGGCTGTTGTTGAATTCATGGATTTTGAACGATTAATTCTAGGATTGTCAGATTGCACTGGACCCTCTGATGGCTCCAACATTTGCATTAAATCCTTAGGATTTCCAATAAAAGGGTGCCGGCCAGGAACTGGTCTAACGTCAACAAGAATAGGGACTGGTGTTCCAGCCTCTATCCTGTCCACATAAATGAATTGTCCAAGCTGCAACTTATTGTTCAAGATAAGCTCATTGTCCTCCTTGGAGAGTGAGACATAAGTTGAATGAGAAGAGTCAGAGACTTTCAGGAAGAAACCTTGGTTAGGCCATAATTCAGACCCGGTTATTGCAGGCACAATGCTGATCACCTGCAGAATGACTGATCTATATTCCCCATTAACTTTCACATTAGAATCCATACTTTGGAGAAGCTTGAGTAGAACCCCAGGAATGAGGGATGCCATGCCTCTTAACTTTCTTCTGTTTTATGTATTATATTATTCAGGCGGTCAATTTTTGCATATGATATATTGAATACAAGGAGCGGCACATCAAGTAAAATTAATACATTTTGGTAGATACTTCTATAATTCTGTTCAAATGAACTTACTTTTTATATGGGTCCTAACTCCTAAGCCTATTTAAGGTGTAAAATGCAAGAAATTTTCTAGTTTTCTAATCCTCTAACATGTTAAAATATTGTTGCAAAGATGTAGTAAACTGAAATAGTCAATCGATTAATGTGATATTCAAATAAAAAAAATTAAGCAGCAAGATTTCATCTCGTTTAATAGATAAAGAGTAAGCAAAAAACAGAGGAAAAAGGTTTAAATATACAGGAAAGATAAAAGTGTGTGTTTGCAAGTGAATTTGTATGCATGTGTTAGCATATGTGCACATATTTTGTTACCTTATTCAGGGTTGAAGCATGAAGTGACACGAGAAGTGTGTGAGAAAATATTCAAAGAGGCATTGTTTGTGAAAGGGTGGTAAGAACTTCTGCACAACCAGAAAGGACAAACGGAAATAGTATGTAGGCTTCCAAAAACGAATGCTTCTGATTGCTTTTCCGGTGGATTAACCAAGATTATATAAATATCTTTTATTGAAGGCACGTTAGCATCAAGTTCTCTTGGCTTGAAAACCATGGAACAACAACACACTTGAGTGTGGGAAATATGAAGCACTTTTTGTGAGACATGAAATGATAAATCAGTTCCTTTACCAAAGAATTATGCCTGCTAACCTGGTTAGCAATTTAATGGATATTATAGAATACATGATGTTGGTGGGGCTCAATCTGGTCACCTGTCGTTTTTGGTTAGAGCCAATGTAACCACTGAAAGATTTAAGGATACGCTCATGCCCATTTATTTCGTGGCCTCACTTGCATCATTATTAGCCCCTTCCATATTGAGCATGCATTTTTATATGCATAATCATTATTTTGCCATAATCAAGAAAAAGTGCTATGGAAGAAAGTAAACAATAAAAGTTGAAGTATTTCCTTATGTAATTTACATAATCAGGTGGCGCATAACATATTTTTTTTGTTTATTTGAAAAGAAGAAATTTGACCTCAAAGATAAAACCGAATGAAGTATGATCCACACTTCAAAACACCCCAAACCAATTAAAGTGGTTCTTTCTTCTCTATTTTTATCCAAATGATTTAGGCCAATGGACCATTGATTTGTGTCAGAATTGCTATATGTTGACAATAATGTTACAGGCTCATATTATTATGATCAAGAAAAGGCATTGGCTTCAGTCTCAGCTCGAACTAGGCTAGCATACAAGCCATTTTGAGTTGAAGCCATGAGAGTGTCATGGCTCCCATACTCCACCACTTCCCCATCTCTCATAACTGCGATCTTATCAGCTTCTCTGATTGTGGAAAGACGGTGAGCAACTATTATGGTTGTTGCCTCTTTAGCAACATTTTTAAGGGCTTCTTGGATGTGCTTCTCTGATTCCAAGTCCAAGGCACTGCTTGCTTCATCAAGCAAAAGTACCCTTGATTTTTTCAATATGGCCCTTGCTATAGCAATTCTTTGTTTCTGGCCACCTGATAACTGGACCCCACTTTCACCAACCTAGTGTAGAGAAAATGAGAAAATAAATCATGTGCTTTGCTAATAGAAAAGGGTGCTGCTGGAAAATCATGTAAAAAGTGATGCACCATAAATTAGTATGAACCTGATTTAGAGTAAGGCTATGAATACAATTCAATAAGTAGGTAATAATAAAACCAGAAAAAGTTAGAGAAATACTATCAAAACATTTTTTTAACACGCCTTTTTCTTATTAGCTGAAATTTATTAAAAATCACAAATTTGTAGGTGTCAGTTTTTATTTAATGATTTTCACTTATGATTTTTATTGCTAGAATTTCTTAGTATTCTCCATAGAACAATTACCTGTGTCTCGTAACCCTGAGGAAGGCCACTGATGAACTTGTGGATGTAAGCCTCCTTTGCAGCCTCTTCAATTTCAGTCCATGAAGCATTTGGGTCCCCAAATGCAATATTGTCCCTTATGCTTCCAGCAAACAGTGCAGGTTCTTGACCCACCAAAGCCACTTGCCTCCTCAACCACTTCACATCAATCTCCCTCAAATCTATCCCACTCATCATCACCTTTCCTTGATCAGGATCATAGAACCTCTGAATCAACCATATGACCGTTGACTTTCCTGATCCACTTGGTCCCACCAAGGCCACTGTGCTTCCACCTTTGACCTTTAAACAAAAGTCCCTCAACACAGTCACTTCTGGCCTAGATGGGTATGCAAATGTCACCATCTTGAATTCTATGTTGAACGGCTTTGATCTGTCTACTTTCCTACCTTTTGCTCTATGATTGTCAATCAGTGGCCTACGTTTTATGATATCTTGAACTGCAGGAATTGCTGTATTCGCCATAGAAGTATCTGGTGCTAAACCAGCTAGTTGTCCCACAGAAAATGAGCTCAGAACAAGAATGAGAAAGATCTTAAACACGTCTCCAAGTTTTGCCTTGTGATGTTCTACAAGGTATGCACCAAACCAAAGTGTTAAGGTGTATGCTCCGTACATGGAACCTTGAAAAAACCCAAACATAAGACCTTGAAGTTGTGAACTTCGTAATGATTTTCTTGCAGGTTCTGACAGGGCTCTATCAAAGGACTTAACTATCTGCTCCTGGGCAGAAAATGTGGTAACTGTTCTTATGTTTGACACAGCACCAGAAGCAATGTTACTAGCTTTGCCATAAGAGTCGTTGTCCACTCGCGGCCCAATGTTTATGATCAAGCTTATGTAGCTTGCACCAAGTGCAAAAGGAGTTACAGCAGCTGCCACAAGCGTTAGTCTCCAATTGAAGGCAAAGGACACACCGAGGCCAACAGCAGCTGAACTCAACCCCATAAGAAGGACTGAAAATCTATCACCAAGTACTGATCGAAAACTAACACAGTCTAATGAGAGCCTTGATACCAACACTCCCGTAGAGTTTTCTTCAAAGTCAAACCACCCAGGTTCTTGTTTCAGTATGGATTGAAACAAGATGTCTCTAACCCTTTGTGTCAGCTTTGATCCGGCCCAACCACACAAACCTTGTTGTCCTGTCATGGAAAGTATGCAACCAAATCCAAGGCCAACAAGTGTTAAACAAAGGTGGGCAACTTCTCTTTTCATCTTAGAAGTGTCATGGCCAAAATATACACCCAAGGATATGCCTAAAACCAATGGGAAAAGGGACAGAATAGCACCAGCAAACATTCCCAGAATAAGTCCTGAAAATAGCATCACAAACTCAGGCTTTTGCAGCTTCCATATTTCAGAAAGTATGTATTTTTTTGCCTTCTTGTCTTGCTCATCATCTTCCATGTCCTCTTGTTTCTCCTCCTCATGCATAGATATTAAGTCTTTAGGCCTAGGGATATCAACTACATATCTTGATCCTGATAAAGCAGCAACAGATTTATCATAGATGGATAAATCATTGGCTTTTTGTATGCCATTCTCTATAGCTAGAGGTCTTGAAATGGCTTCGGTAGCAAGCTTGACAAGGTTGTGGTATGCTCCTGCTTTTGCCATAAGCTGCCGATGGTCACCAATCTCAGTGACAGAACCATGTTGAAGAACCACAATGGTATGAGCATTCTTCACTGTTGCTATCCTGTGAGCAATCACAATGGTTGTTCGGCCTGCAGAAATCTTGTCAATTGCCCGTTGGACTGCAGACTCTGACTCGGCATCAAGAGCACTAGTAGGTTCATCTAGAAGAAGGATTTTAGGATCTTTGATCATTGCTCGAGCCAATGCAATTCTCTGTTTTTGACCTCCGGAGAGTTTTGTACCCCTATCTCCCACCTGCAGAATATAGTGCTTACTATGTCATAATCAAACACCATAACAAAACTTCTTCGCAAATTTTTCCATCATGTGTATGCACTTTGAATGTCATACATATATATCTATATCTATTTTTAGATAGATGTATAGATTGTCTATTTCCTGTGTATTGCATAAGAACTACTATGAAATCTTAATTTTGTTGAATATATATTATTGTAGAAAAGGAGAAATATCATTGTCGTTAGTTACTACACCTGAGTGTCATAGCTTAGTGGTAGGCTAGTGATGAAGCTGTGAGCATCAGCAGCAATGCAAGCAGAAATTGCCTCTTCTTTTGTGGCATTATTTTTTCCCATCATCACGTTTTCCAGTATAGATGTGGCAAAGAGAATTGGTTCCTGACCAACCATCCCAATCTGATCACGTAGCCACTTTACTTGCAATGTCCTCAAATCATGACCATCCAAGGTAATAATCCCTACAGAGGTATGGAAACTCAACATAGTTAGGAGTATAAATAACTTCCTTAACTTTCACAAGATCTTTTGCGTGTAATCATATAGGTCCTTTTACCTTCAGTAGGGTCATAAAACCTCTCTATGAGAGCAAAGATGGTGGACTTTCCCCCACCACTGGCACCAACTAATGCCACAGTTTTTGAAGATGGTAATATCAAATTAAGAGAATGAAGTATCAGAGAATCAGGACGAGATGGATATGCAAAACTAACACTTTTTAACTCGATCCTTCCACGAACACCAGAAAGCTTCCTACCCTCAGGGCTATAGGGATCAATCTCAGGGATTCTCTCTATAATGTAGAATACACGGCTTGCTGCAACAGTCCCTTGTGCAAATTGTGCAAAATATGAAAGTGCCAGTGCCAATCCTCTGTTAATCAAAACAATAACTAAATAAACTTTTAATTTCTATTCGATGTCAATATAAAACTTTTTACACCATCAATCAATCAGAAATTATAACTAGTATAACTTTTAAAATAGTTATTGTAAAAATCAATGAACTTATCTAACATGGTGTATAAACAATGTACTCATAAACTCTAGCTAAACAAAGAGTCCATGTAGTCCTTAACAAACTACCTGAAGAATAATTTCCTTGTAACAAAAACATGGTTATATGGTTTTGCAAATCAAGTATGTTCTACTGAATTAAATAGAGAAGAAGTCATACCTTCCCCCAACATTGACACCAAAGAAACAAGCAATGGCTGAACCTCCATCAAGTTCATTCTTGGCAATTAATATGGAGCCATACCAGAAAGCCAGTGCCCATGTTGAATAGGTTATTAAGTAAATCACACCCATGCCTATGCCTTTAGCAAAACCAACTTTTGCCCCTATTGGAGCTGATTGCTGCAGTAGTTCAGCATATTTCCCAGCTAATTGGTTTTCTGCAACAAATGAAAACACTGTCCTAATTGAACTTACGGCCTGCTCCGCAATGCTACCAGCTTTCCTATAAGAAGCCTTCAGAAAAAACAGATAAAAAAAATGTAATGAACAAAATGTTGAGAGATATAACATCAAATTTAATAAATGATATACTCAAGTCTCTGTTTTTTTCTTTTTCCTCTTACTTCCTCTTTTGCTGTTTTTGAGAGATATAACATCAAATTTAATAAATGATATACTCAAGTCTCTGTTTTTTTTTTTTTTCCTCTTACTTCCTCTTTTGCTGTTAGGCCACCATAAAGTGCTTTGTATGCCATGCCACAGAACATTGTCAATGGAGTGACTGAGAAAACCACAAGAGAAACTTTCCATGATCTTTTAAACCCAACTGCGTATCCACATATGAATGTAAATATATGATGAATGAAGTGAGCCATCTGCAGTGCCAGAAACAAAAAATAAATAAAAATGCATGCAAGAATCAGTGTCAACCAAATTTGGAGCAAAAAACTTGTTATCATTCTCTAGGCTCATAGGATATATGAAATATATTGTATTAATAAGTTTCAACACAGTATTTACATAATTATCTGTGATTGCTGACAGTCTAAAAATATGATCATAGATGCACATGATCTGAAACTTCAAAGGAAATTATCATGTTTAAGAGGGTTTATCATGCTTAAGGAAACTATCATACTAAAAATATGCTTGCTAAAACCTTAGTAGAATATACAATTACAAGATGAGAATCAAACATGGTTGTACAACAAATATATAAGTTGATGCAGTCCAAAAATTAAAATTGAGGTTGAGATTTCCTAACATAAATAAATAAAGATTTTTTTTGTTATTGAAAATCGTACAAGAGCGTATTAAAACATCATAGGAGAGAGTATTTTCAAGCTTTTCAATAAAAAAATTCATTTAAATTTTTTTATCAACCTTAAATTAATAAGTTGGTCCTAATTTTTTTTTAAATAGTGTTTTTATTAATTATTTAAATAATTTTTTATTGTTTAAAAGTATATAATTTAATGTTTAGATTTAGGACGGTAAAATAATTCATATTTAGGACGGGTAAACTTACAATTAAAATATACTACATATCCTAATTAGTCCCACCAATGGGTGGTTTAATAGATTAGTGGCCCAGCTTGTTAATATTTTTTATATATATAATTTGTTTGTATATATTTTTAAAAATACAATTTTAATTATACGAATAATTATTAAAATTGTATTTATTAATTAATATTTTTATTAGATAAATTTAAAATATTATTATATTAATGTATTAAAATACTTAAATCAATTATTTAAATTTAATTAGTTAATATTATAATTAATATATATATATATATATATATTTCAATAATATGATAAAAAAATATAATAATTTTAATAATTTTTTTATTTTAATATATAAATGATTTTTAAATTTGTTCAACCCATTTCATTCTTAACTCGCTAAATAAAACGGATTGATGGACTAAAGCTACTAATTAATTCTACTCTATTTAAAACAAATTGATATCTCATGTACCCACCTAACCTAACCTGTTTTATCAAATTTTAAAAATGATAATAAACTCTCAACCTATATGTCAAGACTTTTTTTAACTTTATATAAAAACTCCCTTGGATTATACTAACTAATTTGATAGAAAACGTAATTTTATAAAAATCTATATTTGATTTGCGTTTTAAAAAAATTAGTAATTGTTTAATGGAGTCTTAGTTAATGTTATTGGTAAAAAGGATAGGAAAAACTTATATATTCATCCAAATGTAAACTTTTAAATTATATGGGTTTGTAGAAAAGAATAAATCAATGATATGTTTATTTGAATATGTATTAAGTGTTATAACTGATTTAAAGATCGTAGTAGTAGTATTAGAAATTAAAATTATATTAATGCAGTTTAGCGACCAAATAGTTTTTGGTAGAATAGGAGAAACAAGAATTAACCTTCTCTCCCATAACTTCTTGAATCTGTGCAACATCGCTTGCAATTCCATGCATAATATCACCGGTGTTGATATCTGTATCAAAGAAAGTAATGTCCTGTCTAAGAACTGCTCTAAGATACTCACTTCTAATTCTTTGTGCAGATCGCTCCCCCACTAATCTCCAACATGCTATCTCTGTCAATTCAGTGATCAACAAAAATTATTGCAACACATCTAAATCCCAAAAAGTACAAGCTAAACATGATTCATGTCTTAATCTCCTTACGCAAATATGCTCCAACTACCACAACAGCAGCTAGCCCAGTCATAAATATGCATATCTGAAAATTACAGTATGTCAATGAAAATAAACTTCAACTCAACTCCATAAGCAAACACTTGAGCAAGAAAAAAAGAGAGTTAGGAAGAAAGATTAGTACCTTCTCTACATCCTTCATCATCTGTTTTTTGTCCTTGTCTGCTTCTGAAATCTTATTGACTAAGTCTCCAAAAAGATAAGAGTACCAAGGAAGTGATCCTCCATTTATGAGGGCCCCTAAACACCCCACAAACACAAGCATCCAATCCCACTTAGTTGAGTACCTAAACAAACTGAACAGCCCAACAGCCTTTGGAGGCCTTGCATCTTCCTCATCCATATCCTCCTCACCTTCTTCATCATATCCTGAATACTTCTCAATGCCATGGTGACTATAAGTATAACCCCCACCACCTCCATAAAGATGGCTACCATCATGTGATGGTAGGCCATGACCAACATAACAACTCCCACCATAATCACCATCGCCATGTTTAAAATATGGGGATTCAAGACCATGACCATTGCCATTAGGTGAAATCACATGCTCTTCTGTTATGCTGTAATCTATCATACTAAGCTCATCTTCCTCAGCCAATGGACTACCTTTTCTACTACTCTTCTCTTGGATGAACCCCGGTTTGGATAATGCATGAAGCTGACTACGCTGATCAAAGTAACTATGATCATTGTGCCTTGCAACATAGCTCTTAAGTTCAACTCTACCATAGCCAGAATGTTCATAAGAAGAGGTTGCGAGACCACTGAACCTACTTGTTCTTGAAAGGTAGTAGTCGTTGGCTGATCGACGAAATATTCGGCTGTGATCAGATGGGGAGCTAGCTGGCCATGGAGTGAGAACAGAACCAAAGTTTGTGCTGTAATCGCGCCACCCGGTGGCCTCAAACTTCCATGAAACCTCTTCTTGCCATGAATGGTCATCATCTGAAGCAAAGGGTGTGGCAGGAACTCGGTTGCGGCGAGCTCTTCTGGTTGTGGAAGTGGAATTGCTATGAGAGCTGGATGGTATGAAAGAGCCAGAGCCAGACACACTGCGATAACTCACCGGTGTTGGATAGTGCCGTGTCTGGCGGCTTGAGAAAGAGTCAGCCTCAAAGGAGAAAGAATCAGCCATGGCTAGCAAGCACCTAGTTTTGATGAGAATAAGTACTACAGAAAGTAAAGGAATGAAATGGGGGGAAAAGAAAAACTTCAAGAATTCTACTTTCTGATTAATGGTCCATGGAGATTGGTACAATGTATCAGACAACTTAGATTGTTACACCCATTTTTTCTAGCATAGTCAGACAATAGTTTGAACAAAACACCAAACACGAAAAGGGTCTTTGGTCTCTCAGGCTCACGTAATGATATATACAATATAGAGGGTCAAGTCTAGTTTATCCTTTTGTTTGGAAATGCATTATACATTGAGTAATATTGTTATGCATGGACGGCATGCAAAGCTAAGTGGCCGGCTGAGCATTGTTATGACTGGGCTGTTGCCAATTTGGAAGTTGTTGTTTAGAGGATATGTTGGAATTAATTGACTCGTGTGAGTGTGTTTTTTTATAATATCAAATCAACCAAAAACCAACAAGGATTATACATTTGTCATGTAGAGATGATCTTCTGACTGCAAAGCATGTTGTGGCATCACCTCTTTGACTAGGTAATAGGTCTGCCATGCCATGTAATTAAGACTTAAGTAATAATTTGAATATGAAATTAATGTTTCAGGAGAAAAAGAAATGGAATAAAAAAACATTAACTAACCATAAAAGACTTAAAGTTTTAAGTGGAACTCACAAAGCTTAGTGTTTTCCTCAAGGGCACAAGCATATGACAGACGGTAAGTTTTATTGTAAGTTTCACACGACGCCAGCTATTTGATGGGTGAAACTTAACTTGAACAAAATGTAAGGTACGGAGAGGAATCTGGAAAACAAGGTCCGGTACGAAGTGCACTATTTTGTTGCATAAATAATACTAATAGAATAGTACGTTTAATCCAAGAAAATCAAATAACATTGTTGTCTTCATTTATTTTTGGCCGAATTGATTCCTTGAAGAGATCAAATCACAAGATTGTATCAGCTATCATCGGTTTGACTACTGTTTTTTCTTTTCTTGTGGTAAATAAAGATGGTCGATCTGATGATCATGTCCTCGCATATTCCATTATCATTCACGCTTCTTCTTCTTTTTTCCTTCTTTGTCGTTAAGCATTTGTTAAATTCCCAATAACGTCTTCGTAATTGCTAGTTAGAAGCATTAACGAACAACTTTAATCGCTTGAAGGAATATAACTAATTTCTTAACCAGAAGCAGTGTGCATCTTTTCAGAATAATTTGGTTTATTCAGCATGATATAGTTCATATAAACGTGTCATCGGCTATTATTTGATGTCCATCACGTAATTTTAATTACACAATTACCAATATTATAGTATCATTTATAAAAGTTTTGGGTATATGTAGCTCAACTCAGGACTGACAAAAATCATGTGGGAGCAACCTAATTTAAAAAGCAAGTCGGAGGTAAAATCGCTAGTAAATCACTCAGTTGTTCAAGAACATCCAAACCAAAACTAAACGGGTGGGAAGACAAAGAAAAGCTGATTACATGTATCCAAAAATTAATATAATATGAAATACAATTAGTGTTCTGATTCATTACTGCCATTGGACAGTTCCATATTCACAAGACCCAAACCAATAAATAATGGATGCAGAATAACAAGGTAACACGGATCCACGGCCAAGTTTATTTACTGTGTGATGATTTACATGAAGTAAAGTGTAGCTGTCATGAAAATGAGCATTAATAGCTGAAAGTTGATACAGCTAAAAATAACAATATAGTGGCAAAGGATAAGTAGCCAATCATTCTTATTCGTTCTTTTCATGGGGGTAGGGAAATAATCTTTTGAAAGCTACTATTTTACTCCGCAATCACATTACTGTTCTTAACTCTGACTGTACTGATTCATTCTAACAGGAGTTCAACTCTGATATACATCACACAAGTAAATCAAAATAAACGAGCAAAAGAATGCCACCACTGCCAAAATTACAATGACACTGCACCAATAGGCGACTCTTCATTGACTACAGTATGCAGCATATATCAACACAACCATGACTAACTAAATCATAGGGGAAAACCGCATGAGTCCAAGAAAATATACATAACCCCATCACATATATATTTCATATAGATCATTGTATCGAGCCTACCTCTCTTTTCTGTATCATATTTAATTTTGTCCTTTATACCCCTACCATTGAAGATGATCCCAATTACTTGCCGGGCCCAATCAGAGAAATTTCATCTGGGTTTCGAGTCACTACCCTTGCTTCGGAAAGTTGATAGTGAAAAAAATGATTTGGGAGCTGCACAAATTCAAGTTAACATGTAACTATGACATCGTGCAAAAGATACAAAATCTGTAGCAAATAAACGGTTATCATTCTTGAAATCGATGAAAAGAAATACAAAACATATGTGAATCCCAAGTCTTTATTAACAATAGCATAATATTATTTTCCCATGAGTCAAGGTTACATATATTAATCCCAAGAGATTGGCCCCCTAATTCAAGAATGAACTACCAAAATCAATGGAAATGCAAAGAAAGAGGACACATTTTGAAAATTCCTGACAACTTACACAACTACTTCATAAGCCTGACACATGAAACTACACAAAAAATATGGATGAAAATTGACCTATAATATATTATGTTACCCAGGCATCACCTTTTAATGAACTTCCTGATATATGATCATCCCTCAGTTTAAAATGAGCAGGAGGTGCTGGGATAGAGCTTTGCAAGGATTGGACTGCAGGAATTAAGAACAAAATTGATAATTAAAATTTGAGTCTACTTTTGTTTTATCCATTAAACAAAAAAAACTGAAGTTATAATTCCTTGTCCTTCCACATCAATATTTATGGATAAGAATCATTTTTTTAAATGTGCAACCAACAGTTGAAAGACATCAATGAATAAATTACAGGATCCATTTCCAAATACTAGGATAGCACAAGATATTGGCAAGATAAAAAAACTAAAATAAAAAATATTTGCACTTAAATATTTAGATTTTAAGCAATAACCAAGCATGTTGATCAGACAAGAAAGCTGAGAAAAAAATAGGTTACCCTGCTCATTGAACAGCTCATTTTCATTGAAGCTGTCATCAGAAGGATGACCATGAGAGAATCCCATTCTTGATTTCCTCAGGTCTTCTGATGACCTATTGGCCAGATCTCGGCCATCTTCAGTGTCATCATCTCCTTCAGAAGTTGTAGCAGAGATCCAATCAGCCAAACTCTCTGATCCACGAGTTTTTCTCCCAAACTTTAGCAATCGCTTAAAACCTTTAGTGACATCTTTACGGGGTTGATTTTGGGATGAATTAGCAACAAGAAATGGTTTTTGAGCACTTCCCCATTTTTTCCTCATTCGAGCAGCATCATTGTCACCCTGGTTAAGAGAATGAGAATTCCAAGACGCAGGGCTTCCAATTGGAGAATCTATAGAAGCATCAATGTCAGATGACTCATGCGGATATGAAAAAGGATGAGGCACGCGTGAATTCCATGACACAGGACTTCCAACAGGAGAATCCTGCAGAGATCTTACACCGTTGAACGTGGATGGAAATCCAGAAGCCATTTCACCCCCTGAGATAGGGTCAACCTGAGCAAGAGACCTTGTAGAGTCACCAATTTCTGATCCAGAATTACCAGACTTCCCAGATTCCTGGCTCAGACTCACCTTTCCATTATTATTATAAGCAACATCTTTGATAGCCATAGTTTCAATGTCATCCTGTTCCTCCTTGGCCATCTGCAAAGAATCATCCTCATCAAATTCAAGGTCATCAAATTCTTTATTTTTTTGAGTATCAGATGCCATTGAAGCTTTCATCCGGATAGCATTTCCAACAGAACCAGAACCTATGTTATTACCCTTTTTAAGGAAAGATCTAGGTGATTGATCATAAGGGCCTAGATCAGTCTCGTCCATATCAAATTTCAATGGAGACAAAACAATCCCATCTGAGTTCAAAGGAGACAAATCCTTGAACTCTGCAGGATTAGCAGAACTTTTCCTTAAAGACTGAGTTTGCCTTGACTTTTCTTCCTTGACTCCTTGCATCTCCTCAGTGGTGCTTTTGCTACGGGAATAGGTCCTTACCTGAGTGCGGGTTGTTTTACTGACTCCAGAAGAAGGTTTTGTATTTTCTTTTCTTAAATCAGAAAAGTTTGGAACAGACTGAGCAAGTGGGTTGTCTTTACGCCTTGCAGATGAGCGTGAGACCGACACAACTGTTGTACGAGGGGTGCCTGAAGTTGTATGTCTGTTGGGAAAATTCTTCTTACTTTGCCTTGAAGCAGCGTAAGTTTTCTCTTCTGAGAATTCAGAAAGATCTTCATCATCTTCATTCTGAAGGGAATCTACTGGATGCTGTCAATAAAGAAGGAGGATTTAAATCAGAACTGAAAATGGAATTTCATGTTTTTAATTTAAAAACAAGCTTCGCATTTGAAAAATTAAAATTCTGAAGTCATCACAAAAATCATAAAACAATTCAATGAATACCTGCTCCCTCTTAATATTTGATTTGAAATATCTAAGTTTCTCGGCACGATGAGCACCTGATGATGAATCTTGTCTGTTGCTAGAGCCCGAAAACTTGGCCTTCATTTCAGCTCTACTCTTCTCAAGGCTATCCTGCAAGGCCTTCATCCTAGCTTCCTTCTCAGCTCTGTTCATACTCCAATCTTCTCGAAGCTTAGCATTCCTCTTCTTCATGTACTTCTCATAAAACTTTCCTCTAGAATCTTCACTCAAGTTAAGATCAGAGAAATTTTGCCTCAAAGCATCACCGTAATTGTGACTATCCACCATCTTTGTAGCCGACTTAGCATCAAAGCTTGCCAAACTGCTTGAACTCGCAGTCACTTCAACCACATGGCTTCTCGTAGGCAATTGAGGAGTCGACTCCCCTACTCCAGCTCTCCTATACTGCGACTGTTCTATATGTGCATCAGCTGGCTCAACTCTCCTCGCAGAACCAGACTGGTCCCCAGGAACCCTCAGTTTATGCTCAGCAAAAAGC